CGGGCGGGCGGGCGGGCGCGGGATATTGCTCTCTTTTGCGTTGTCGATTACACACCTGACCGACGAGGCGGTGGCGTAACCGCGGCGGAGGACGTTGCGGGCGATGGAGGCCATTTTGAGAGGGGGGTGGTGATGAGGGGTGGTTGAGTGGTGAGCAAGACTGCTTGTGTCTGTCCTGGGCCTCTCGCTCTCTCTGACTCTGGACTGGCTGGGCCCTCGCCTCGCTGGGCGGGCGGGTAACGGCTCGCATAGGTGGTCGGAGCCTCCAGCCGGAGGAACTCGGTGTTACGTGGACCCGAAGGGTGGCATGAGAGAGGGAGTCACGTGAAAGGATGAATGTTTACGTAAGAAAAGCCAGCGTGTGTGGTCTGTATCACGTGATGTTGACGGAGGTGTCGGACACTCTGTCGCAGCCGCAATTTGATCCCGCTGTTGAGACCCATCGGCATGTCCGGACGATTGTGAATGTTTTGGCGGGGGGGCGGCTGACGGATTTAGGCCGAGGGACCCGAAAGCAGAAGACTAAGGTTGCGCGCCCACGGCCGCTCCTAGGCGAGCCTTGCCTTGTGGCCCTTAGCCAGCTTAGCCCCGTACCTCAGTTCTTGCCGCCGCCGCCGCCCCTCGTGCTTTGCTTGTCTCCTTGCCTCTCGTGCCCGCCCGCGCACCCAGCTTCGGTCCTTTGTCGGCTGATCATCCACTTTTCTCCAACATTTTCCTTTCCATATCGGACACTCCCCATTCCTCAACATCTCATCTTTCATCCAACAACAACTCTTCCTCGCACCCCCCCTCACATCACATCGATAAAGGGACACTTCCCTCTCTCATCCCCCGCAGATCCACTCAGTGATCAATCACGACTGCGCCCGCCCCGACCACTCGACCGCCTCTTAGGTCCTTCCCTCCCGCCGCCGCCCCCCTTCTCCACCACACGCACAGTCACAGCCGCCTCACTCGCGCGCACCTCTCATAATTCGCACCTCGACCACACATTGCCACCACCAACAACACTTTGCGTCCCAACCACCACACCCGGTTGATCACCACCCGGCATCATGAACTCGACACTGCCGCTGCTGTCGCTGCTTCCGAACGGCAACTACTCCGGATCGGCGTCCCTCGGAGACAACAACAACTTCCGATCATATGACTATGTCAACTCTGGAGAAGACAACAACGGGTCGAACGGCGGACAGACGATCGACTTTGGCTCGTACGGATACCCGGACGACCTGAGCTTCTCGGTCTCGCACCCGTCGTACCAGCGTCCGTCAAGCGGGCACGGTCAACAGAACGGAGGCTACCCGCACCTCGTTCAGCCAGACTTCTCGAACCAGTACCGGGCCGACCACGGACACCACGGATCACATCACGGGGGCCACGGCGGTCACTCTGAGCACCACCACGCTCAGCACTCGCACTCGCAGCACCAGCACCATGTGATGAACGACCACCGCAACGGAAGCATGGCTGTGAACGGCGGCGACGCGTCGCGCTTCCTCGACCTCGACCTGAGCCAGCCGGGGCCCTCGTCGTACGGACACGGCGCGAACGGGCTGTACTCTTCCTCAGAAGCGTCGCACGAGGAGGCGAACGGCTACGTCGATGCGAGGCGCGAGGACGAGCTCGTCAAGGTCGAGACGAGCAAGGAGGGAACGGCGCCTGCCGCCGAGGGCGAGGACGCCGACAACGAGGAGCCGCTCTACGTCAACGCCAAGCAGTACCACCGGATACTGAAGCGGCGGCTTGCGCGGGCGCGCCTCGAGGAGCTCAACCGCCTCGTCCGCTCCCGTAAGCCGTACCTGCACGAGTCGCGTCACCGCCACGCCTGCTCGCGTCCCCGTGGCAAGGGCGGACGTTTCCTGACCGCCGACGAGATTGAGCAGCTCAAGCGCGAAGAGGCTGCCAAGGCCGAGGCGGGCGAGAGCACCGCACCCTCGACGAATGGAGATGTCACCGACTCGGCACCCAACACGGCCGCCAACAGCGCCGCGCCGTCCAAGGCGCCGTCTGACGCCGGAGACGCCAACTCGAACACTGGCTCAGCCCCGGCCAGCAATGAGGCTTCCTCGGCCTAAACCACCCATAGCCCCTCGGACGCTCAACGCGTCGACCGGCACGAAAAAATACCACATTATAGACCCCCCCCCCAAAGTAGCACCTCAACACCACCACAATCACATTTGCACTGTGTGTACAATTACTTAGAGCCACCTGTTCTTAAACAAACTACACACTCTGTTTTTCCTCTTTTCTCACTCTCTCCGTAACTCATTTTGGGCATGATTCTTTTCTTCCTCAACAATGATGCATGGTAACTGGCATACACTCATCGCAACGGTAGTGCTCTCGACATGTTTTTCATGGGCCATCGGTCAGTTTGGCGAGTCTTGCTTAGATGGGTCAGCCGAAATTTCCAGCTGTAGTGACGAAGTAGTAGCGGCCGGCAGCGGGCTCCGCCGTGCGCCGCGCAGAGAGTAAGTTGTGCCGGTGTATCCCCCGACCCTGGCAACCTGCGATCTGCTTGCGTGCTGGTTTCTGGGCATGTGCCAGTGCGTGAGCTCTGAAGCGAGCGAGGAACCAGAATCAAGGGGCAGGAGCGGACAATCGGCCAAACAAATCACTTCCTGTGATCTCGACCGTGTGTCTGTACCTTTTGGGCGGTCGGGATCTCCAGCGAGTAGATTTTTCTCCTTGCCTGATCCTTGCCTGACCATCCCCAGGTCTTCCTGCTGCCTGCTGCTAGCTGCTGGGCATGCTGGGTTTTTTGATACCGACCGGCACCAGCGCACCAGTGCAGCAAGGGTAGGGCCAGATGTCTGCAGAAAAACCCTAGCCATCAAGCCCAATCACCGCGTAAAGCCCGCATGTACCCGTAGCACCACCCTAGAAAACAGCCCCAACCGGCCAATCACCCCAGCGCATTCGTCGCCCCCAGGGTAACAGAGAGGTGGGCCCTTGGGCACCCTTCGGGTATGCCGTGGTTGCTGGTGAAATTGCAGACGTGCATGTCTATGGTGTCTCCGCTGTGTTCTCCGCTATGTCCACTGATCAAGAGCGGCGCGTTGTTTGGTGGACGCGATCAAGTACCGCGCTGGTTGCGAGAGCGTATTGGAGCTCAAGAAATGGACATGTGGACATGTGTACGCATGATGCATGAGACATGCAGAGGGAGTGTGTATCAGATGATCCACAAGGCCGCAAGCTGCAACTCCGGGAATCGGGTGCCCAGCCAGCAACGCTTCTCCGTTTCGGCCCCTGCTCACCTGGACTTCCGCGCCGCGCACCGTTACACACCCGTCCCCCTCGACCCTCCCCGGCCCCGCTCCGCCTGAGGCGGGGCGGACTCGGTACGACCCCAACTCGATCAGCGGCAACTTCAGGTCGCTTCCTGTCAGCACATGGGCACTCCTAGGGAGCAGTGATGGGTAGAGATGGATTTATCGGACGTCGAGTCCTGTGTACCTCAAGGCCGCCTGAAGGCCTCGAAGGTCGAAGACGGGTCACATGCAACACCTTACACACATATCCGACGTGCACGCCGCACCTAGCTCCTGGACATCGCTAAGCGTCCTGATCTCGGCTCGGAGGGCTCGGAGGGCTCGTCAGCTCACCCTCGCGTTCTCTCGCGTTCACAAGCTCATCGCTTAACTTTACTTTGATTTCCAACTACCTTCTGACTCCACTCACTGACTTATGCACGGCTCTGAGCTCATCTGACCATGCACTCCACAGCTACCACCAGACAATGCGCTCGCAGGCGTCAGGTGATCTACCCCCGGCCTCCTGCGAGACTGCATGAATGAGCACGCCGCGCGCCGCCGATTCTGTGCCGAACACAGAAGGCTGTGGCGTCTGTGGCTGGCTCCACTGGCGACTGACTTTTCTGCCGTTTCTCTGCCGGATCGCCAGACTCTCCGCCGGCTATGACTTCCACCTGACACCGCTGACACGGCGCTCACGGCCAGACGCGCGCAGACGCCCGCATGGAGCAACAATTTGATTGCATTCTACATTCCTATTCGTATCAAATTCCTTTCCCCTTGCTCACCTGACAGACAGGCCCTGCGGGGTCTACAAGATTATATCTCAGTCTCTTTGGAGACTTTAGTTCTTCTCCTTCTTCTTGTCGGCATCAGCCTTGTGCTCCGCCTTGCGCTTCTGGCTCCACTTGTTGTCGAGGTATCCGAGGCCGACGATGCCTGCGAATCCGAGGCCGAGGACCCAGAGGCCCTGCTTCTCGCCCTCGTCGAGGGGGCGGTTGATGGGCTCGTAGATCTGGTCCTTCGTGTTCCACACGGGGAGAGAGACGGGCACGCCGCCAAGCTCGGTCACCTCGGCCGCCGTCAGGAGCGACTCGCGGTCGGCCTTGGACACGGGCTTGCCGCTCTCGTCCCACACCATCTCGGGCTCGAGCTGCGTGTCGCTCGCCTGCTTCTGCGAGTGCAGCGGGCCGCCGCCCGGATGCGTCGCCGTCGACGCGGGCGTGTACACCTGCTCGTGCAGCGACTTCTGGTTCTGGTTCTGCGGCGCGTCAGAGCGGGGCTTCTGGAAGTTGTCGGGCGTGTAGGGCTGGCGATCGTCAGTATGCTAGGTCTCCTCGGAGCGATGCAGTGCGCGGCCACAGTGGCCACAAACAGGCACCAACCGCGCCCGAAGCGAGACCGCGTGGCTTCCACATTGGCACCATGGCAAGCGAATGATGTTCCGTCGCTCATCGCAGTTACGTCATGACCGAGCGAACCGGCGCAACGGATAATCACCACTGTGCCGAGAGAACCTGCGAGATGCGTGCTGCAGTAGAGATAGAGCGCACGTCTCTCTCCGAGCGAAAAACGCATGCACGGTCCTCCTTGCAGGCAGCTCTGCCGAGGCGCGGCAGACGGTACGCGGTGGTGCCTTTCCTCGCCGACGAAAGGCGCGATCGCGGTATGCATGGCAGATGCGCGTGGTGTGGCGCGCACACGAGCGAAAGCAAGAAGAGAAGTACTCACAATCACCTGAGGGTCCTCCTTGGGGTCCTGGTGCTTGGGGATCTTGATGTTGATCGGGGCAGACTCGGTCTTCTCCTTGATCGGCAGGCCGGGGTGCGACGCGGCGACCTCCTGGGGAACGGGGTCGGGGCGCTTGCCGCTCGTCGGGGCGTGGACGGGGGCGTCGCCAGAAGTGTGCGCAACGTCTCCGGGCTTGGGCTCCTCGAAAGCGGGGCGCGAGGTCGAGACGGAGCGGCGGGACTGCTTGGCTCCGGGCGTCTTGACAGGCGGGACCGGGGGGAGCATGCCCGTCGTGTCCGCCGAGTGCAGGCGAGCGACGAGCGTGGCCCTGTATGTCAGTGGAGCTCATCAATCGACGTCGCCTAGCTCACTTGTTGCCCTGCTGGGAGAGGTTGCGGCGCTTCAGCTCGGCCTTGAGGGTGACAACCTTCTCATTCTTCCAGTTGCGCTGGGTGTTGAGGAGGACGGCGGAAGCGAGCGACTTGGACTGCGTCGCGGGCTGGATGTTAGCGCGCGCCGCGGCGGCAGCGGGCGTGACAGAGTTCGAGTTGCGCTTGGGGGCAGCCGCGACGGGAGCAGCAGTGTGCAGCTGAGCGGTTGCGCGGAGAGCGCCAGCCGAGAGGCGGCGGCGAAGCATGTTGCGAGATGCGGAGAGAATGATGGGCGACTGGGCCGTTGTGGCCTTTAGTGTTTATCGGGTCGGTGTTTAGAGAGAGTGGTGGTCGGGTTCGGTCGATAGAGCAGCTGACCTGTGTCGATTGTGGGGTCGGCGGCTGGTTGATGGTGTTTCGATGTTGCTTGCTGGGAGGATGTGAACTTTAGATGCCATCCCGCGCCTGGGCCACAGGGCCGGTTGAACCCGATTACAGCCCAGTCACGTGTTCGCTCCTCATCTACGGCCCCTATCCAATTGCTCCGTCCTACGGTACCCATGAAGCATCCAGTGGCGCACGTGGCGCCCTCCCCCTTGTACGGTCTCTTAAATCTTGTGCAAAGCCGATGATGCACCACCGCTGATGCGCACCCGGCGCCACCGCCCAGCCCGCAGCCGACCCGCGACCCGTGGCCCGGCAACGCACATCCTGAAACTTCAAAATATCGTGTCCACGACAGCCCTTATCTCCAGCACATCCTCCATCACCCTTACCTACTCTCCAACCCACATCTCATCATCACAATGGGCGGCGACACAACGGTCAAGCGTAGAGAAACCAAGGTGCCGCTCAAGCGGCCCGCTGAACCGGCACCCCTGACGCGCACCTGGAAGACGGTCCTGTACCCGATCTCGGCAGTGCTGCACCGTCTGCACGCGTGGTTGACGACGCTGCTCCTCGCCCTCATCGCCCTCGGCCCGATGCCCAAGCACATCGGCTTCGTCATGGACGGCAACCGTCGCTACGCACGGAGCAGGGGGCAAAAGGTCGCGCGAGGGCACAAGATGGGCTCCGACTCGCTCAAGCGGGTGAGTAGTCGTAGCGATGTGTGTGCGAGCACACGGGCAATGCGCCGCAAAGCTGTCGAGTGGCTGGGGTATAGCTGACAACCAGACACTGCAGATCTGCCTCAGGCTGCGCATCCCCGTCGTCAGCGTGTACGCCTTTGCGATTGACAACTTCAACCGGCCGCAGGAGGAGGTGGACGCTCTGATGTCTCTAGCCCGGAGCTCGCTGCAGGAGATTTGTGCGAAGGGGTGAGTTCGTGCTTCCCACACCAGCTCATGGGGCTGTGTCTGGTGATCCGGTGACCGGCGACGTGGCATGACTACTTCAACTAGTGCCTTCGCCCAGCATGCCTGGTCATGTCGCCAAGCCGAGGTTGTCCCCAGTAGTAATGAACGCTAACCCAAAGCGGGTTCCTGGACCAGCACGGCGTGCGCCTGCGCTGTATCGGAAGACTCGACCTGCTGAAACCCGACATGCGCGCAGCGCTGCTCGAGATGGAGGCCGCGACGGCGCACAATACCCGCGGCGTGCTCAACGTGTGTGGTCCGTATGCGAGCCGAGACGAGATCACGGACGCCGTGCGCGAGACGGTGCGCGAGGTCGAGGAGCGGGGCGAGAACCCGGACAAGGCGTGAGTACGAAGCGGCGCGCGAGACGAGGCGGTACCGCCCGTCAGGATCGCTGCTCTCCTTTCTCAGCTGGGAATAGAAGCCCCAAAAGCTAACAACAGTATCACGCCCTCGCGCCTGTTCTCCCGCCTGCAATCCGTCTCCTCTGCCGAGTTCATCGACCCCGCGGCCGGGCCGCTGGACATTCTCATCCGGACGTCAGACGTCAAGCGCCTGTCCGACTTCATGATGCCGCAGTGCCACGCCGACACGCAGCTGCACTTCATCAAGACGTACTGGCCGGACTTTGGGCTGAGCGATCTGCTGCCCATTCTGCTCGGGTGGCAGCAGAAGGTCTGGCTCACGCGGGGGTTGCAGGGGAGGGGGCCGGAGCCGAGTCAGGAGGACGAGTCCGTGTCTGAGGACGAGGAGTAGAGTACATCTGTGTAAGTGCTATAGAAATCTTTAGACAGTGTGTCCTTGTGTGAATCATCAGCAAATCCCCCATCGCATCGTTCGTGAGCAGTGTAAACCCATGCATTCTGTGCCAAAATCTAGCGTTCTATCTGTCCATCTAGTCACAACTTCCATCCTCGGGTCCGTCCTTCCACCTTCTCATGATATTCTTCCAGTCGCACGCGAACTCGGGCTTGCCCAGCTTCTTATTCACCTCGTTGTGCCGCCGACAGAGCCACTCGTTCAGCTTCGTTGCGCTCTCGACAGCAGGCTGGGGCGGGTTCGCCTTGATGGACTCTCCGAAATCGTCCGCGCACCACGTACATGGGTACAAGCTGGGAAGGGAGGAGAGGAGGTTGACCATGTGCGTCTTCTGCACGGGTGTCGGCTTGTCGGGATAGTACGCCGCTGTTGTGTGCAGGAACGTCCAGGTCGAGCGGCCGAGCTCGACCGTGTCGGCGGGGCACTCGGAGCGGTCCTGCGTCTTAGCCGCGCTGGCCGAGGACGTCGTGGAGGTCGCTGGCGTTGAGGAGGAGGAGCTGGAGGAAGACGAGGAAGAGCCAGATCCAGAGGAGCCAGCAGACATGGCAGCCATCATGCCTGCCATGCCGCCCGCCGCTGCGCCAGCTTTCGATCCCGAGCCAGAGGAGCCAGAAGAACTACCGCCCTTGGCATTCGGGTCCTTCTTGTACACCTTGATGCCGGCAAAGTCCTGCCAGGAGTTGCACACCTTGCACACCTTGCCGTCCTTGTCGAGAATGAGGCCGGGGGGAAGGTGCGGGTGCGTCTCCTTGGTTGTGCGTTTCGGCTCGGACATGTCGGTTAGTGGTGGTCGTGTGTTCGGTGGAGTGTCGAAGTGTCGGAACTCAGTCTGGATCCAGTGAGCTCGTGACGCCCGCGCGTTGAAGGATCGAGGACGCGAGGGAGCTAGTGAGTGAGTGTACGATAACAAGTGAACGACGCAGGCACGATCGTCGATCGTCGCCGCCGCTGCCGAGATTACTCAGCGTTCAGCGTTTCGAAAATTCGGCATCCCCCCCTACGTCACCGTCTGTGCCCTCCAGCCCTTCCACATTACACCGGTTAGTCTTCAGTCAGTCACCGAGCTACACCGATGTTCCTCGCTTCTTTATCTAGATGTCGTTGCATACACTACTGATACACTACGAGACGCGCTGCATCTTCTCGGGGCCGCCCATCTGTTCCTCGGCCTGCCGGCGCACGCCGCGCATGCCACCGCCGCGGAACCCGCGCCCCCTGAACCCTCCTCTGAAGCCGCCGCGGCCGCCGTGCCCGCCATGCCCTCCGTGACCGCCGTGGTGACCACCGTGGTGTCCGTGGTGGCCCTGGTGGCCCTGGTGCTGCGGCATCTGCTGCTGCATCTCCATACCGGGCATGCCTGCCATGCCGCCCATGCCGTTCATGGCCGCCATTGGGTTCATCATCATCATGCCCGGCATGTTGGCGGCCATGCCCTGCTGCATCGCGCCGAACATGATGCCCTGTGCAGCGAGCATCTGCATCTGCATCAGATTCGTGTGCGTCATCTTGATGAGCTGGCGCAGCTGGCCCTTCATGTTTGGCGGCACGAGGGGGTTACGCAGCGTCTGCAGCAGAGCCTGCAGACGCTCCTGCATCGTGTTCATGTCGGGCAGCTTGAGCGGGTTCTCCTCGGTAGCGCCCTCTTCATCCTGCATGTCAGCTATGCACTCAGGGGGCCGCTAGCTCACCTTCTGTGCTCCATCTCCCTCGCCTTCCTCGCCCTCCTTCTTCACCTCCTCCTCTGCCTCCTTGCCCTCCTTCTGCCCGTCCTGGTACGCCTGCACGCGGTCGCGCAGATCCTGATCGGGCTGGAGCTTGTCGAGCGATGTGATCTTCGACTCGCACTGCGGGCACTCAAAGTCGTGGTCGACGAGGTACGTCTGGATGCACTCCTCGCAGAATGCCGTGTCGCAACAGGGCGTGCGGGTCGCTTCCCGGAGCGCCTTCTTGCAGAGCGCGCAGGTGAGCTCGGCGTCGAGAGTCGACTCGTCGCCCTTGTCGTCCTTCGCCGTCTTGACAGCCGCCTGCTTTTGCCATTGCCGCGCGTCGGGGACAGCACGCACAAAGCCTCCGTCAGCGGTAAGCATTGCACCCTGCGACGAGCCCTCGCCTCCGTCCGGCTTCTCGACCGTCGTAAGCATGCTTCGGGGAATACCCGTGACACGGACGTAGCGCTTGCCGTCGGACGCGCCCGGGTCGCTGTTCTTCGGACAATTCTGAATCCAGTGTCCCTTCTGTCCACACCGGTAACAGATGTAGCCCACTGGCGGCTCCTTGTCCGTGTTCATAAAGCTCTGGTCGAACTTGGCCGGTCCACCTGGACCGCCACCGCCGCCGGGCGGCTTGAACGGTCTTCCTCGTCCCGCTCCACCGGTATTGAAGCGCGGTAGCCTGATGTCAGTGGCCAACGACCAAACCACAACTTACGTCGACATGTCCTCTTGCATGACCTCCCACGACTCCGCCTGCGACTGCAGCATCTTAGCGATCGCCTCGTCCTCCTTCGCGTCTCCGGTCGAGACCTGCACGGCAGGCTGGGCGGGCTTGTCCTCCTTGCCGTCAAAGCGCTTCGTCATGCTGCCAAACATCCCGCCCCGGCCGCGGTTCAGCATGCGGTCCTTCATCGCATCCCTCGCATGGGCTTCAATACGGTGCTCGCCCGTGAGGGCCGAAGCCGCGTCCGTGCCGACAATATAGTTCTGCGCCGTGCCGCGGCCCTTCATGACGGCCGGCCGTCTCCTGACGACCAGCGACGAGGAACGCGCAATCTGGTGGTCGTCATCCTTGAGCTCTGTTTGTCAGTTTCAATCAAATTCGGGCAACTTGCCTTCCCCGTTCTCGGCGACAACGAGATCAAAGTCTTTGCCGTTTCCGAGATTGTTGTCCAGCATCACCTGCCGCTTGAGGTCGAAGACGGAGATGTGTGTCCCGTCGAACTTGACGCGGGACTCGTCGCGCCCCGCGCCCCAGCGGTAGAAGACTGTCGACATGGTGACGAGTGTGCAATCGACACGGAGGCGGCTGCCTGACGAGTGTCACGAAGAAGCGATCGCTTTAAGCAAGTTGCCTCTCTGTACGGAATCGACGCACGAGCTCCTGTTCAAGCCGAGTGAAAGCAACCGAATGCAGATGTACCCTGTGCGTTACTCTACCCGTTGCCTTCTGTCGTTCGCGTGAGATGTGTTGACAATGGTCTTCTCCGAGTGGCGAGCAGTTGATCTGTGGTGAGCTCGAGATCGCCGAGCGGAAGCGGATGACGGGCGCTACCCACGGCAGCAACCGTGGGAAAGATGGGATCTAGCAGAGCTGACCTCCAACCGCGGCCTGCAATGTTTCAAAATCGACACCGTGGGAAAGCGTGAAACTGGCGGAGCTGACCTCCAACCGCGGGCTGCAATGTCTCAAAATCAACACCGTGGGAAACCTCATTCATTCAGGGCGTCAGTCTGCTGTCCACTATGGGAAACCCCCTTTAAGCTTTTCACGTGCTCAGTCACGTGCCATGATCGACCACCCAGAGCCGCGGGCGAGGCAAAGGCAGAGAAGGCACAGGCACCGAGCATCACTGTAGTCCGCAGTGCGCCAAGCAGCCTTTGGAGTGAACCCCGAGCCATCGGCGCAGCGGACGGGCACGGCAAAGCTTTCGAGGGGTGCGCACGACGCCCAAGAACCCGGTGCTGCGTGCCGCGCTGCTCTGAGGCAGCTCAGCGCGTGCAAACTTGAACGAGCGTGTGCAAGGGGGACGGGTACAGGGTAGATAAGGGAAGTGGAAGCTTGTCTGCCCGGCGCTCAACTGACGCACCCCCTGCGCCAGCTGCTCCGCTCCGTGGTTCTCGTTTAGCAGAAGACGTCTGCAGAGCTGCAGAATTGCGTCTGCGTGGGTCCGCCTTCTCGCGTGTCACCAGACTGGCATTCGCTTCGAGGTATGAGGCTGGGTTGCGACACGGCCGACTGGGTGTCCTGAACACTTCCGGCGGAGATGGAGCTGTGAACTGCGGTATCGGCGCGTGAACCGCAGGGTAGCAGACATGTGAACACGAATAGAACAGCCAGCGACCCCCGTCGCCGTTAGCGCGCCGATCACCGTCGTTAACCTGACAGACGTATCGGAACTGACGTCGGTGCGGCGGAGGCGGCACTGAATGACGGAGTGCGAGCTGCGCGCAGCCATGAATTGTGCCATGTGGAATAGAGTTTGGGTGACTGACCTGGGTGAATACAACTGCTCAAATGTCTGGACACGCATCATGGAGCAACCTGGCGGCGACGTGCTCAGTTGCGAACTCCAGTGGCCAACAATACCCTCCAGGACTCTTTCCACTCCCCCCAGCCGATCGGCAGAGGTCAGATGCACACGCGCGCTGCGGCAGTGGACATGAGCGGGATCGACGCTCCGCTGCTTATCGTCCAGTCACGAAAGGGTGCGAAGACGATCGAGGTTGAGCTGGCAAACCCGGCAAAGTCTGGCAAACTTCGGGCCAGCAGACACGTCAGATGGTGATCGAGGGACCCCTGGCGTTCTACGCTTGCTCGAGCATTTACGAGAGGGTTGCGTGCGGCTTTTTCTGCGCGTCTGCGGCTTTGAGCGGCACTGATGAGGGAAAAGACTTCTGATAGGCCGACAGCACGTGAAGCGAAGTTTGCGGGCAGATCGCAGAGGTGAAACGCTCGTGGATGGAGTGTCTTCTCAGCTGGTCCACCTGGGACGCCTGGGGCGACTGGGACATGGGACACGCTGAATGCAGACCGCGCAGAGAGCTTCTGGTGCAGACACATATGGGCACACGACCAGACACAGTGCGCACAGTGCAGCACAGACACCACCCTAATGCGGCATTCTGCAACACATGGACGACATGGAACGCGGCGTTCAGAATCCAGAACGCGCGCCTCACCTCGTTTCTGCCCTCAGTAGTGCATCGCGCCCGCGAACCCGCGAAGCCGTGACCTGTGCCAGCTGTGCTCATCGTATGGACGCAGCCAGCCTCCTAAAGCTCCTAGCCTCCACTCCTTCCCTTGCCGTTTCCTGCTAAATGGCGCACGCGCGAGTCTCCCTCCTCTTCCCTCTTCCCGTTTAATGAAGTGCGATGGGCGAAAAGAGAGGCACAGGCCACATTCTGTACAGAACAGGGGTGGAAGCTAATGCGCAGGGTGAGCAGGGTGTGTAGGGCGCGCAGGGTGGAGGGGGCCGGACAGGGTGCTCGGAAGCACTGGCGCACTGGCTTGCCAGCACGCTGGGCGGATGCTGATGATGATGCAACACTGCTTAACCCACCCTGGCACAGGGCGTGCAGGGTAGGGCGCGGCGGGCTAGCCTCCCTCCGCACACTCTGCGCTGCCAGCACGAGCTGTGCGTTGCCAGTCGATATTCGATATTGACGATTTGTATACAGACAGGAAAAGGTCACCATACTGTCGCTGACGGCAGCGTGAGGGATCATGGGGAGCAAGCCGTCCGGCTGCCGGATTACGTGCCTTACACAAAGTTGCACTGAGTTGCGCTCCCAGAGTCTCAGCTTTCCGCGAGAACCTCCTTTAGGCACTGCAGTCTGCTGGGGACAAGCAGTGCGTTTGGGGCATGCATCGTTGTACAGCTGGCATGCAGAGGCAGCAGCAGAGCGCAGTAGCTCGCGCGCGCCCAAATATCGAATGCTGGTCGTTAGGACACTTGATGTGGAATCAAATCCTTCCCTCTGGTCTGTGCCCTGCTTCGCTTCCACCCCACCTGGGCCACCTGGCCAAGGTCTGGATCGCCTGGCCAGTCCATCTGGCCATCTGCCTCTTGCTGCGACAGGGGCTCGCAGACATCTTTTTCATGAGTGGCGCGAGGGGCTTGAAATGCCAGGCGTCGTGCCAGGCGTACCAGGCGTACCCAGAACCAACTGAGCCCGAGCAAGGTCCAAAGATATGCACGGCCTTGAGCCTTACGCATGAGCCTCAGGCCTCGAAGCTCAGCTCGTTGCCAAAAACGTCTCAGCCTCGCTGACGAGGCCGCGGACTTGTGTTGGAATTGGGAACCCACGATTCTCTGAATTGCTGGAAGAAGGACAGGCACGCCGCATGGTTGAGCCTGTTCTGAGCCCGAAAATTTAATACAGTGCATCTGGTAGGAAAAAAGGTACGGTATGCTGGGATGACTGGCTACTGATGAAGTAATCATGACTAGACTAGTTTTGCTCGTCCGCGCACGCGCGTGCGAGAACAGGAGACGCAGGCGCTCTTCTCCGCGCTGCTCATTCTGCACAATGCCAAGACTTGCACATCAACTGGCACAAACAGTTGCAGCCAGTCAGACACCTCAAGCTGCGACGCGGTTTGAGTATGCATGCGACACATATGGGGACGCGTGCATAGCAGTGGTGGAGGCTTGCTGTCGTGCGATGATTGGAGCTAGGCTGTGGTGGAGGGTGTTTCTGGTGTGTCAAAGAGTGGCTTTTGACTGGTCGAAAGAAAAAAGAGGCCACCGAAGAGCGTTGCCCAGGGCAGGGGCGATGGGTTGACCCAGCCAGCCAGGGGTCGACGCAGTCCCCTGATGGATGGATGGATGGATGGATGGATGCACTTTGGCTTGAGCCGCGGGCGCGCGCACGACCCTGAGTCCATTGCCTCTTTCATACATGCCATCCACCACCCCCTCCCTCGAGTCCTGCACTCGTCTCCCTGGCCATCCTCCCTCAGCCGCCTTGCAGCCTCCTCCTAGCCTCTGCTGCAACAACACCTCCAGCAGCAAAGAGAGAACAGCTTCTTTACTTTACCTCGACCACCACCACTACTCAAATTCTTCTCATCTTCACATCTTCATAAACACTCTTCATCCTTGATCTCTTCATCGCCACCCAGATCGTCGTCTGTCATCGACCCATACCCCACCACCACTCATAGGATCGCCGTAACGCGACTCATTTCCGCGCCCCCAATCGACCACCTCCCGCACACACACACACACACACACACACACACACACTTGTCATCGCACACCTCTGTATCAACTACAACTCCACTGCCATCGCAAACGCACTCTCATCTGTTCAAGTGAGCTTCAGCTGAGCCTCGCGCTCGTCATGCGTAGTCATCTCTAACGGCATAGCTCTCCAAGAACCACAACGCCCCTCGGTCTGCCAAGCCCGAGCCCCATCCCATTAAAACCGCAACTGCGACTTCCTTCCACCTCGCCACCACAGCACCACCATGTACGACTCGGACGTCATTTACCAGCCGAACCCCGTCGCGTTCCAGCGTCCCATGTTCTCGAGCTCGTTCTCCTCCCCCGCCGCTTGCAGCTTCAACAGCACGGCGACGTCTGCGCCTGCCTCGGCGTCTGGCTCGCCGTCACCTCCGCCAACGCTTCTCAAGCCCTCCCACAGCCTGAGCAAGAAGCACCGCCCGCAAATGCCCAAGAAGATGAGCAGCACGACAGGCAAGCACAAGTCGGTCCAGGTCTCCCTCGAGGTCAAGGTCGAGCGGTCAAAGGGCTTCCATGCCTTCTTTGTCCCTCTTGCCCGCTCGATGCCGCCGGCACCGCCGAGCTCCCCCGTCCTCGCCCACAGCGACGGCAAGGACTTCCCCGAGTGGTCTCTCGACGGCGAGCGCAAGGGCGAGGAGCGCTGGGTTGAGGACATTGAGCAGCCCCCGCAACAGCGCATGGACCTGGACTAGAGTGCACACAGTCATGTCCTAGTCTCACGCCTCCTCGACGCACCCTCACGCACTTGTTACGTCCCATCCAATCTAGCATCTCGGCCGCTCGGCGGGTCATCCGACCTTGTATTCTGATCTCTCTCGCTGCGCGAGCTTGACAACGTCCACCATCATCAATCGCCTTGTCTTATTACGCATCTTGTCAAATTGGGCCCGATAGTTACCCAGCACTCTTAGTTTGTATACAGATATGATACTCTTGCATTTGACCGCGAGCGAAGCGAGCGTGTGAGAGCGTGAGCGTGAGCAAGCGTGAGCGGTGCGCGCACTGTTTCAACACTGACAATCACCAACGATGCGAGTGACGTAGCGCTGGGCGATGTGACGCGCTCATCAGCAGATGACTCGAGGCTGGTCGCGAGGGGAGGGAGCGCTGAATGGGCCAGCAGAGCCAAACATGGCGGCGGAGTGTACATGGCGGGAAGCGGGTCAAGAGGTGCGAAGGGCAGCCTGGGTGCGAGTGCGAATGAGGGTTCCTAAGTTTCGCGCGTCCGACCAATCGATCGCATGTCTGCTTGTCTGTGTACGCCCTTTGTACAGCCCCGCGCACGGACCATGTTCTGCATCAGAGTGGGAGCGAGGAAGACATGCAATGTCAAGCCACGAAGCGAGTTTCGATATCACCTGCAGCTTATTGGATGTTGAGAATGGCATTCCGAAGACGGCGAAGAAGCGAAGCTGGTGTTGTAGTCACGAGTAGTCACGAGCAGTACAGTGGGCTGAAGCCCACTTCCTCCCATCTTCTCACCAGTGCAAGCAGTGCAAGCAGTGCACTCGCGTCTCCCCCCACATCTACTGTATGCAGAATTCCCAGCCCACTTCCAATCTGACAATCTGACGATGGGTGACACCCAGGCTTTGGCTTGACAGCGAGAGCCAACTCGTGAAAGCAGCGTGACATCTCTGCCCACTCATCATATAACGTTCTGTATATCGGCGGCATGCCAACTCGGTTTTGGAAGCAAGTGGACATGACCGCCTGGAGTCTCGGAGGAATAGACGCATCAGCTGACCATCTTCCACGCATTAGCAAGTTTGAGGCAAGTTTGGGATTTCCCCAAAAAGAACCAGAAGAGGCAAGTCCGGCCGCCGTGCGTACGTTTCCTCACACGACGCCGTCATGCGGAGCCCTGCTCTTCTTCTGCCTCTGGCGGAGAAAGAAGCGGGGCGACAAGGTGGCACACATGAACGACGGCAGTGTCGTTGACCTGACCCACGGCCAGATTGCGCAGGTTTACCCCTCCTACGCGTCTAGGGCCCACCACCGTCCGGCACCGGAGAGCACGACGTCGGAGAGACGCGATGCGTGCGGTCCGTTATGCTCTGAGGCAGGGTACGCGTGCGCCAGTGTCCGAGCTTCTGCATCTAGCATCCGCATGAGGTAAGCAGGAGCACGAGCGAGATGCCACTTTGCTCCGCACCATGCTACCACGCCCTGCAGAGGCGCCCATGCACTGATGTGAGTGCTGTGAGTGCTGTGAGTGCTGTGAGTGCTGTGAGTGCTGTGATGCGAAAGGCACTGCGCACTTGCACGCCTGTGCACTCGGGCAGCTCGGACTGTCTTTCGAGATCTGTCAATGCGTGCGTGAAGCGCGTCAAGACTGCAGGCTTGCCCGTCCTCTTCCGAGTTTGCTCGTGCGTTCTAAACGTGAACGGCGCTAAGGCCCGTTCTACCCTTCCACACGCGGTCGCCGAGGACACGAAGCTACTTCATACCTTTCGTGGTTGTGCCGACTCGGCCTGAAGGTTCGGCGATTCGGCGACGTCGGCGCGCGTCTCGACGTCATATACCGCGGCTGAGGAGACCTCCCTGTGTACTGCTGGCTGGCTGAGCTATGAGCTAGGCGGTGACACTTGAGTCGGCCAGTAGCGCCGCAGCGTCATACGATTCAGCCTGCGGTTAGAGCAGTGTATTCGGGCGATGTAGCTGTGATCGGAACGATAGTCCTTAGTGTTCAGTAGTTTGTCAGTAGTCCTCGCCCCCGACGTCATGGGCTTGTCAGATCGCATTGCCGTGAACTATTCCCGTCAGCCGTTCATCAGTCCAGCATTTGGTTAGAATCAGCACTTCCTGTGGTGCACGAGACTCCAGCTTCATGACTTCTTAGACTTCTTTTACGCTTCAGCCACCTAAGCCTGGGGCAGCTTCACTTCGACGCCGAGGAGGCAGATAAACTCCTTGAGCCAGACACCGATCGCCCTGGGTGTCAGCTAAGTCCAACATCAAAAACAACAAAGCTGGCTCTCGCTTCGCTCGAGCTTCCGACTTACGGGTAAGCAGGCGCCGACACCAGGTTGTCATCGACGTGAACGTTCTTCGAGAACGCCTCAAAGTCGACATACTTTCCGCCGGCGTTCTCGACGTCGAGCTGGCACATCGGGAACGCAGAGCACTCGCGGCCCTTGAGCACGCCCGCAGCAGCGAGGATCTGGAGACCGTGGCAGAGCGCGGCCACGGGCTTGTTGTCGCGGAAGAAGGCACGGACAATGTCGAGGACACGCTTGTCGCAGCGCTGGTACTCCGGGAAGCGGCCGCCGGGGACAATCAAGCCCGCGTACTGGTCCAGGTTGGACGCGCAGTCGGCAAAGGTCGAGGGGAGGGGGAAGGGGTGGCCCGGCTTCTCCGAGTAGGTCTGGTAGCCCGGCTCGAGGACGTGGAGGACCGCGTGGATCTCGTCGCCCTCCTTCTTGTCGGGACACACGACGTCGCACTGGATGCCCAGCATCTCCATCGCCTTGAGGGGAGCGCTGCGGTCAGCTCAACGATGGCAAAGCGTAGCTTATCAGCTGCACCAGGGCAGCCATCCCCAGTACCACTCACTAGAGCTCGTAGTCCTCGATGGCGTCGCCGGCAAGCATAAGAACCTTCATGGTGGGCTTTGTTGTTTGGTGGGGGAGAGTTCGGTGAGAAGAGCACAGAGATGGGGGCTCAATTGTGGGGGGCGGCAGAGGGGGCGGCAGCAGCGACACGGGTCGCGATCGGCGAGCGCGACGTCCGCTGTCGGGGGGACCACCTCCACTCTGGGGCTGGCCGGCTGCAGATAGCCAGTGCGGCAACTTGCGGCTCACTTGCCGCCGGGAGCAAATCGGTCCGCCGGCTGAATGCGATAACGGCGCGAAGCAGGGGCTGAGAGCGAGCGCATCTATTTGCTATCGCTACGTTTACGTCGACTCGACTTGCGATGCTGAGACTGACAACACAAGTACGCAGGCGGAAGGGGCGAGCAAGACAGCAGTGGCGAGTACGTGCGATCGATTTGCAGCCCCATGACATCGACTTGTCTTCGTCATCCCAGTACGCTTGTCTGCGCCGACACAAACAGTTTGCGTCAATCGTAAGCCTTTGCGAACTTGCGTCCATGACCCGCTGCTCAGCACACAGCGCGACTCCGTCTCACGTCAGTCCAGTCCCGCAACGTACATCATACAGTCTGCACTTACGCACCGACGCCCCGCACACCCACTACGCCAAGCCGTGCAAGCCGCGCACACGGTCCGTGCGCAGCCGTCGTTGTGCGTTCACGTGTGGGTCTTGGCCGGTGGTCCGATGGTGCCGGCTGGAATGTTGGGCGTGCAGGACGTGCTGGCAAGACATATGCTAACCCTTGGAACTCATGTTGCATCTTGATTCTCACTCATTCCTCTCACAACCCCACTGCTTCACATTTACAGCAGCTGCTGCTCTCCGGCCCGAGTCCACACACCATCAAGGCCGAGAACGATAGCGCCTCCTGGACCCTTCCGTTTATTATCAACGAGCACGAGCAATAACAAGGAGTCCCCCCTGAGTTCGGCAACCTTAGCAGGACTCGGAGCATCATGGTCCCCCTCTACCTCCTCGTCCTCCCCATCACGATCGCCGAGTATGTCTACTACGAGGCGAGCGACCCACACCGCGGCGTCAAGATCTTTGGTTTCGTCATGGCCGCCTTGTGCGGCGCGGCACTCATCGGCTACGTCTGTTGGGTCATCGTCCGCCGCCATCGTCTTAGCCAGCCCGTCCTCCCTCCTCCCGTCGCTTTCAACGTGAGTTCCCCTGATACTGTTCCCCTTCACTTCGTCTCCATCCGTTATCAAACGGCAAGTGGGTTGGGGTCGACTCTGGTCATTTTGGGTACCTCGGTGTGCTACATGGATACCGAATGCTAGCACTGACCAACAGCCTGCCCAGATGGTGTATCACCCTCCAGCCCCGCCGCCGAGCACACTTGCTCCCGGCTCGACGCGCGTCTAGCGCACAACAACTGTAACATGTCTGTATGATTTTTTGGGATTGCTTACGGATCGAATGTAAACATAAATTCGGGCTGCAGTTCGATTGGCATTACCGACGGTGAGCGTCAACGGGATCAGCAACGAGACTGCCCTGCCTGTCAGCTCTGGGTGAGGGCAGCCACCGAGCGCTGCCTACTTGCCTTGATGAGTCTCAGACATCTGCTCTGCGGAGTACACAGAGCCTGACGAAGCTTGGTCTCTGTCGGTCAGCTCGGGTCCTTTGGGCGGAGCCCACCGTCAGCGGCTTTGCATGACGCTAAGATGTCAGCTTACAGGTACTTGTTCAGCTTACCCGTGAGCCTCTCGTTCGGGAACGCAGTACGATGGCTGAAGTCAGCTTCGCGTGAATCTCTAGCTCACGTAGGCTGGGAGATCAGCTTTTCAGTCGAGCAGGCAGCACACCTCTGATTCAGTGCTCAGCCTGTCGTCAGCTCGCACTGCCACGGGCCTAGCTCACATGCGCACATCAAACAGCCTGGATGGTCGATGCTGGGGTCAGCTCAGACCGATGATGAGTAAGCTCACCAGCATAGCTGCTCGTGCTCGCTGCCACCTAGGCCCGAGGGTCTGGGACTCGAACAATGGGAGCAGCTGCAGTCAGCTATCTGAGGTCAATGCTAGCTGAGCTTACGTACGATGGGCTCCCGGCGGACGCCTTGAAGTCAGCTACGACTCTGGACCTAGCTGATGCGTACGGGACTGCGGATTTCGACCTGGAGAGACCCGTTGAGTAATGACCTGCTGTTAGCTTATGCTGCGAAACTAACAGCTTACGGCAACCTCAGATCTGACTCCTTACCTTAAGCTGACAAAGGCATATCTCTCAGTTTTCGCTCTTCTGTCTGCGGGTCAGCTAAGGGCGATGGACACCAAGCTTGCGCCGTCCGAATCTGGTTCACATGGTCGGGCCGGATGAGCCGAGGAATGCCTGTTCGTGAGCTTCATCCCTAGGAAGTAGCTCACAAGGCTCCGGAGCCGTACGAGGCGGTCAGCGCTACTCCTCGCTGGAGTCTGCTGGTCAGCTATCCGGCGGCATGGAAAGCTGGACCCACGTCGAAACTACACCCATTGCGAGAGGCTGGGAGCTCATTTCGAGAGACCGAGGTTTGATGGACTGGGGGATGATTCTGTCTCCACCTGGTCATACCTGACGAAGAGGTTCCTCGTCCATGCAAGGTTCACTCTGCACCTCAAAGGGCCAAGCAACTGCATGTGAGCTAACCTTAAAATCAAGAAGCTCTCTTACTGTCATTAGCTCATCTACCTCTGAAGCCGAGCTCACCGGGGTCTCAATAAGCCCCCCGATCTGACGCAAATTTCGGTGCGAACTTCCGCGCGACAGGCCTGCTTGTTAGCTGCAAGATCCGAGGGCTCAGCTCACCCAAGTCAGCATGCTAATACAGCTTTGGCCTGCTGTCAGCTTCAGCCTACGACTCATAGCTTACCTGCCATCGATCGTCGCCGAGGACATCGCCACCTGCCGTCAGCTCGTGCCAGCGCTCCCCGAGCTCACCGTCACCCGCCGCCTCCAGGGTTCGCAACTCGTGACTATCCTTCCTATCGCTACGGCAACACACAGCTTCGCATTACCTGGCTCTCTGCTTTCGCTCCTAATCAAGGGCAATCGTCAGAGAGACTGGCGGTAGTCGCAACCGACGTCGTTGTTCCACTGCTGATCAGCTGAATAGCGAGATTCAAGTAGCTGCTCACGCGTGCGGGTATCCGCTATAGTGTCAGCTCTGTCGAAAGGCACGTTTGGCTACCAGTGTCCGCGAAGAGGACGGCCTAGTCTCAGCGTCTCACCTCCAGAGGCTTCACGGTAGACTCCGTATCAGCTTAACAATCTGACATGGCGAAAGCTCACATAGGCGAATCCACCAGTGCTGGGCCTGTTATCAGCTGATTGAAGCGATGGCTGCAACGGCCCCTCACTGAACGGTTATGATGGTACCCGGCAATCGTCATGCGCGCTCTACGATCAGAACAACTCAAAGGGCGGGGCAACGAGGCGATATCTGCGTTTGTCAGCTTGTGGACGGTACGGTCAGCTTCCCTTCCATACATCCCCAGTCTGGCCATCACTAACGCGGGCACGATGCGCGGCTGCAACCGCAGACTGAAGACTATGGACGAGGATACCCAACCATTCCGGAGATGAAAAGGAGCTGAGTGTCAGCTGGGATCTCTGGAGGAACAACAACTCACCGAAAGACAGCGGAGCAAGGTTGCCTCTCACCTAAGCTCCCAGTCTGTAAGTCAGTTGACGCCATCCACGCGCAACGGGCAGGAAGCAGGAGCTGAGTACCCCCGTGCCCGCACTCTCGAGGGCATTGTTCCAGACTTTCTCGACAGCCATTCGTGGCAGATGGGGTGTGCTGGTAGCCAGCGATTTGCTTAACTGGATGCGAAGGCGAGTGGGTGTGGAGCGAGAGGATGCGAGGTGCTAGGAGCAGCTCAGTCGTGTCAGCTCGAGTCAGGTGTCAGTCCAGCTGTTTCCGTGCGCCCCTCCACGATCATCGAAGATCGTCGTCAGAGAGGGGTGCGCACTCCAGTCCCTCAGTGATCGGTGCTTGAACCACCCCTCTCTGGCGTATGAGAGGAGCGCGTACGGGCAGCAACAGTGCCGGCGGCAAGCGAGACGATACGCTGCATGCCAGTGAAGACTCTGTCGGCTCTGTCTGCTCGTTGCCTCAGGATGTGAGAAATCAACGCTGTTCCTCCAAGGTCTTCGTACTCCACAGAACTTCTTCTGTCTATCGTGTCTCCGTCCCAGAGTCTCCAGTCGGCCAGGAGTATCAAACAAGTGCTGCGGCTGAGTGAGGGCCCGGACGTGCACTCGTCAGCGACCCACGGTCCGTGTTCTTCGGGTGCTTCAGAATTCAGAAGTGTTGATAGCTCAGACGCGCGATCAGACGGTAGGCAATTGTGTGAGCCATTACAGAACACTCCTCCGTCGACGTCATTTGTGCGTCAGGTGGCCAGATTGCGGTGCACCTTCGTGCGCTGAATGGCCGATACGTGCAGCGCCAACAGGGTTTCGGAGGCGTGTGACCGATCTGAAACGGCCCTCGCGGAGACGTCCGCTGCGACGTGCGTGGAACCGGCTGAAGCAGATATGCTTAAAGGGTATGGACGGGTAGAGCATTCCCACCTGGTCGTGTGCTTGCTAACGCAGGCTGCGCACCGTCGGAATGCACGTCAGTTCAAGTTGACGCACGAAGAGGAGCGTGTCACGGAAGGTGCAGGGAAGGGGTAGCTAGCCGTTTCACGTGAAGGAAGTAACCGAATTGCGGCCCCGCACCCGTACCGCCGGTGATACGCGACTGATTGAATGCGTTGACTGATAGCAGTGCACTACGCACAGCTCTACCGGTGTGCCAGCGTGCTCGTGTCGCGGTGACACACGCGCAGCCGGCAGTCCTTCCTTTACTTCTGGCGGCACTCGACACCTTACGCACGAGCCTCCTCTGTTCCACTTTCCTTCCACACTCTCGCTCTCCACGACCAGACTGACGACCTGCGACGACCAGCCAACGACCACTTGTATATATACCCTCTCTGCACAACGCGTGACACACCTTCCTTCACGTCTTCTCCCGGCGCACTCCCGCCCTCACGCTCTTTGGCCAGCATGGCTTCCTCCCCTCCGAAGGGCAGGCTGCCCGCTATTAATACCAGTCTGCCCGTGAGCTCTATCACCCCTGGCTTCTACCTGACAACAGAACACGATGGCAAGCCCGGACCGTACGCTTAGCATGCTCGCCAGGCTCCAGCGCATCGAGGAAGCCAAGCCGCGCGTGAGTACGGCTCGCACTCCCGTTCGACCATTACTCTAGCTCCCTGTGCATTTCGCAGAAGCTGATGACAGATCTCCAAGATTTCGTGGTTGAACGACGTCTTTGTGTACCGCGAGAGCATCCTGCCGGTCATCATCTACCCTGTCCTGGGCTTCACGATCTTCGCTGCTGCGGTGGCCGTCGCCGATATCTGGTACAATCGGACTATCGCTATTTCCAACAATGTTGGTGGGTTTCACAGACAGAGAATTATGACCAGCTCCCCGACCCGACGTCAGCTAACTCCAGTGCCTCTGCTCTCAGTAGTCGTCGGTCTTCTGCTCGTGTTCCGCAACTCGACTGCGTACGAGCGCTATGCTGAGTACGTTTCCAGCTCGGCTAAGGCTAACGCTCAGGGGCCGCAAGGATTTCACGGCGATGATTGCTGCATCGAGATCTCTTGCCCGCGTGAGTGCCAGCTTACTTATACCCCCAACCTAGCTGACAGACAGTCTATCTGGGTCGAGGTTGTCCCGCCGTCAGGCTCGCACTGGAGTGCGGCGCAGCGCCGCCAGCTGACTGAGCAGAAGCGACAAGCGATCCGCATGATCGTCGGCTTCGTGGTCGCGACCAAGCACTATCTGCGTTCGGAGGGCGGAGTGCACCACGCCGATCTGCAGGGGTTGCTGCCTCCTTCTCTGGTCAAGTTCGCTCTCAGCGGGAGCGGCAGTGGCCCCGACTCGCCAACCTCGGAACGGGGCACCGTGACGGGAGCGTCGGAGTGCTCGTCGCCTCGCTCGTACTCTGGCGTGCACGATGAGGAGCGTGAGGTTGGTCTGCCTACTGGTGCCCGCGTCCGCCCGCCCTTATTCACGATCTCATCGAATGCGACTCTGGTCGACACCCCCGAGCCCTCTGGCTTCATGCGTCAGCGCCGCCCCAGCACTGTCAAGGTCCTCGACGACCGTGTTCCTCGCAAGGGCAGCAAGAGCCCGCCTCACAAACTCTCGACTATGAGCGAGCGCACTCCTCTCATCAAGGCCGGCGTCAGGCAGGACCACAAGCACTCGTCCGTCGACCTCGCTGCACGCGCTACTGCCCCGTCTGTCGAGGAGGTCGGACTCAGCGGAATGGTCGAGGTCGGCCTGCCCCTTGTCATGTAAGCTATCTATAGTTCCAGACAAGCTGACATCAGTTCGCACGAGATCAGCCGCACGCTCTTCCGTTTCCGCCGCCAGGGCTATCTCGAGGACATTGGACCAGCCGTGAGCATCATGGAGCGGGAAGGGGGAGGGATGGGGCTTACGACCTTAGGGATACAATGCAAAGCAGGCTTACGTGCAGAGCATGATTGACCAGCTCGGCTCGATGGAGCGCATCATGTAAGTCAAGCTGTGAGTAATGCCTCGGAGCTGACTGCAGTCAAACCCCGCTGCCGTACATGTACACGTCGCACCTGAAGCAGTGTGTGACGGTGTACCTGCTCTGTCTGCCTTTCGTGCTCGTCGAGAGTCTCGGGTGGAAGATGATCCCCATTATTGCGGTAACGTCGTTCACGCTTGCGGGTATCGAGGGCCTCGCGTGTCTCTCCGAGGACCCGTTCGGATCGTAAGTACTCAGGCGCAGAAGCCAGCCGCCGGTTATGCCATCTTCTTTGGAAGCTGACAGCAGCGATCCTTCTGACTTGAACCTGGACCTGTACTGCACCGAGCTTCTCGTCGAGATCGAGGCCGTGCTGGAGACGCTTCCGGAAGGCGACCTAGACGAGGAGATTGTGTACCGCCGCTCGGAGCGCCAGATCCAGATCGACGACGAGGAAGACGGCTAAGTGCGAGCGTGCGTGCTTAGCGCGCGCCCCAAGCTCATTGTTTGTCTCCCCCAACGTCCAACCGCGCGTAGTGCCATCAGCCGGATCTGTAGTGAGTCACTTGACGCGCGTGAGATGGACGGAGCAGTGAGCGACCCTGTAGTGAATAGGAAACGAAATGATCCAGCGACGATCTATCCAACGTAGCCGCCCGTTTGTGTATACTTGTCCTCCTTCCATGTATCTATGAGTCACGAACGTTGTTGTGTCACGCAAGGTGTGGGCAGTGATGAAGAGGTGAGACACGGCTGGGTGAGGGAAGGTAGTGCAAGGCGGTGAAGCACCGATGGAGACCGACGAGGTGAGTGGGGTCCCCGTGCCCCGGTCATGCGTGTGGGAAGGATAGCGCGCGTGATAGTAACCGCCTAAGTGGAATGTAGCCGAGATGATGGGTGAGTAGGTGCGCCATTAGGTGAGCAGCTCTCCCACTCCACACTTAGGAACGGTCGAGCGCCAGGAACGGTAGTGGGCGGTGAAGGAGGATGTTCGCCACCCAGCGCCAAAACGAGCAATGGCGGTCGAGCAATCACAGGGCAGATTACTCCCGCTTGCCCATCTTGGCTGTGGTGATGGCCCCGGCTCTCAGCCTGTGTCTCTCAGCCTGCCTGCCAGCCAAAACCCTCACTAAGGGCCCAGTGAGTCTCCTGCACATCTCTCATGTTGCTGAATCCACATCCCGCAATTGGCCACACCCCACTCCCCTCCAACGCCATCCTCACTACATCCACCAACATCCCCTAAGCACGACCACACACACGCATCTCCATCCACGACTACCCCGCACTCACCCTCGCCCCAGTCACCGTCCAACTTCAGACCATCCATCAGACGACACATTCATCACCACACCGACCCCACCACCACACCCGACAGCTCCGACTCCGACAGACGTAACGCTCCCACGACCCGGCTGACCTAACAACTTGGCCATGTCCAAGCCCAAGCCCGGCCTGGGCAAGGGCATCGCGCGCACCCTCGCCCCGGTGCAGGCGACTCGGAGTGTAGCGCGCCTTCACCCTCCTGCGCCAGTGCCGCTGTGGGAAGCGACTGGTAGGCGCTCCTACAGCGCAGCCCCGATACGTTCCTCGGTCGATGCCTACCCTTATCCGTCATCATACCTGCCCCCGTCGCTTCTGTTCGACCGGCCGCGGGCCGGTCCCTCCAGTGCGCGGTTCGAGTTCGCCCCACCAGTGACGACACTGCCCGTCCTCCGCGTGCCCTCACCGCCTCATCCGGCCAAGACAGCTCGGCCATTCGAGACGCACACAGTGCTGTCACCGACAGGGACTAGCGCACCGGTCCCACCGCCGCTGGCCTTTGGAGCCCGACCAGAGGAGATAGAGGTCACGACGGCGGCACCGGTGCCCGATCCCAACAACCTGAACCTCTACTCGTCCAATCTCATCTTTCATCTCGGCGCAGCCGGATCGCCAAAGGACCGACCACCAACTCCGCCTCGACGAGGAGGCGGCGACCCGCCTCCACCGCGACAGCGCTCCTTCCCCTTGCCGGACGTGACGCCGCCTGCGTCACTGACATCAACAGCAGTCGGCGAGGACAGCTACTTTGCGCGTGTGGACGGGGTGTGCGTCGCTGACGGCGTCGGCGGGTGGAGTCGCTCCGGCAAGGGCCCAGGCGACCCGGGACGGTGGGCGCGGCTGCTGACGCACTTCTGCGAGGAGGAAGTTGCGCGCTGGTGGGCTGGTGCGGACGAGTATCTCGCGGACAGCGGGGACTGGAAGCGCGCCTTTGCTCGGGACAAGCAGCCGCAGCGCCGGCCGCTGGACCCCGTCGAGATCATGCAGAGGGGATACGAGAAGTGCCTCGCCTGCGCGGCCCAGGAGGGCATCTATGGCAGTTCCACCTGCCTCCTCGCGCTGCTGCACCACAGCACTTTGCTCGTCGCAAACCTGGGCGACTGCTCCCTGCTCGTCGTGCGCCGGGGCGAGGTCGTCTTCCGCACGAGCGAGATGCAGCACGCGTTCAACTTCCCACTCCAGCTCGGCACGCACTCGCGCGACGAGCCAATGAAGGATGCGAAGCGCTACGACATTGGCGTGGAGAAGGAGGACGTGGTGATTGTCGGCAGCGACGGGCTGATGGACAATCTCTTCGACGAGGACATTCTCGAGACGCTGTCCGAATTCGCGCCGCCGGCGCAACAGTCCAACCTGCCCCCCTTCAGTCCACAGATCGTGAGCGAGGCGCTGTGCAACCGCGCGCGCGAGATTAGCGAGACGACAACGGCAACGACCCCCTTCATGATGCGCGCCATTGAGGAGGGAATCGACTTTGTCGGAGGCAAGCGGGACGACATTAGCGTCCTCGTCGGCGTCGTCGGGGACAGGGACTCGAACCTCGTGCTCGAGGCGGCGTAGCCTGCCGAGCTGAGCGCCGAGCTGAGCGCAGCGAAGCGAGGCTGGGCGAGGTGCAGCTGGTGTGTGTGCGGCGAGGCTGCGACGAAGCACTCGTGTGGAGAGCGCCGCAGCGTGCGTCCAGCCATCAGCGAAAACAGAACAGGCGTAGCGCCGTCGGTCCATCGGTCGAAGTTTCGCGATCCAGTGACCAAAAACATGGGTGGCAAACGTCACGCAACTCGTTTTGCGTGTCAAACAAAGGCCAGCGTGATCGTGTGCGACTGTCCGAATCCCTCCGAGCTTCTCCCCAAGCGTCATCATCATCACACCGACACACCGACCGGCGCCCGAATCTCTGCAGAGTAGGAGCAAAGAGAAGACCAGTGGCACACCGAGCCCAAATCGTATCTTTAGACCACAACAATCAAAACAACACACCCCAACATTGAGCTTCTAGAATCCCATCCCATCCGTTGTAAGACCCCGACCCGACGAGTTTATTAGAATTGTGGTATATACGTATATTCCCTTGGATCAGGGAGGAGCGTCCGCAAATGCATAGTGTTGTCACATTCTGTCTAAGATCTAAAGGATGAGTCGACAAGAAGAAGGAATGGGGGAATGGTGACTGAGAAGGGGGAGATGAGATGGGTTGAAAATGGGTGATTATGTGTTTGTTGTTTATGCTACAGAGGCTCGAGGCTCTGCCTATGAAGCCTGCGCCTCGACGGCGTCCCGGGTCTATTGGTGGTCTATGATGATGGATGCCTCTACTCCATCTATGGCCTCTATGCTCTCCTCTTTGCCTTGCCTCCTCTATACTGTCTCCTCTTCCGCTCGGCATTGATCCCGAGACCCCGAGTCGCCCATTTGCTCGGTATAATCCCAGTTCACAGCTAGGGTAGGCGCATGATCGAGATCGAGCTCGACTCGAGGCGCGCCGCTAGACCAAGTCTGGTCGAGACAGGCGGACGTCCGTGGTCGAGCGGTGGCCGGATCCTGTACAGTCGTCAAAATCCTTGACGAGCTCACTTCTCCTCCTTGTGCACGCTCAGCCGCTCATGTGCCCCAAGCCACCGCCCCACGCCCTCATAACACGCAATCATGAGCCCACAGGCAGGCGCAACCTTCGCACACCGCGGCACGACGCCCGCAAAGAGCGCGCCCGCGCCCTCCGTCTTGATAATATGCAGGCAGAGCGGGATAGTCGACGCGCGGTGGTTCAGCGCCTCCGGGGCGCAGGAGGGAGAGGGGGTGAAAACCTGTCGCCGCGTCTTGAGCACGTCAAAGGGCTGCGTCAGCAGCGCGGCCACTATACCGCTGAGTGCGCCAGAAGTGAAGGAAATGCCGACGGGGGACATGGAAACGGGCGCCTGAGGCGAGGAGAGGCGCGATTTCAGCAGCTCAAAGCCGGCCCAGTAGATACCTTGTTGTCAGCTTTCGAATGGAGTCAGGTGAACTGGAACTTACCGGAAAACGGGACGTCGCGCCAGAGCGTTGGACCCAGGCCGCGCCAGAGGATCGAGACGCCGTCGGCCTTCACCAGCGCAGCCATGTCCCGCGCCGTGCTCGCGTAGGTTGGGGGTGCATGACCCGCTATCTGTCAGCTATGTTCGCTTCTTGTCGTGTTGCTTAGCCATATACTCACGTGGCGGCAGCGCCTGCAGTCTCGTCCTGAACATTTCGATCGGCGAGATGATCGTGGCACTGAGCGTTCGGGCGAGCGAGCCCGCGACTAGCGGTGCGGGGGTCAGGATGGCGTTCTGCCCCTTGTTGGCGAACATGGGCGCGAGCACTGAGAGGAGATACTCGTATCCGAGCATGTAGATCGCACTCGATGGGACCGACATGGTTCTGCGGTTAGCTCAAGGAACAACGCACGAGCTCTGCGCGGAGCGGAGTGATGAAGCAGTGATAGAGTCGGCCTCTAACTGCGGGGCTGAAAGTCTTGATCGGAGAGCGCTATTAAGCGCACTCCACGCCCGCCTGATGCGCTCCAGCTCGGTGTAACTCACAATGTCGTCCCTACTCCCTTCCACAACCCCCTCACTCCCGTCTCCCTCCTGACCGCCGCAATCTCGTTCCAGAACCCTCCCTCCTTGTGCACCTCTAGCGGCAGACCGCCCGGGATCCCTCGCCGGATAGCCTGCTCAAATGTGACCGCCTCGGTCGCCTCGCCCCAAATCCCCGCCCACTTGCTCGGGTGGTAGCACCCAGCGGGTGCCATGAGGACCTCGCCACCGGACGAGCGCAGGAGGGTCGCCCCCGCTGGTCCTGGACGAGCGCCGGGGATCGTGCTCGTCGCGCACTCTCCATTTGACCGGGAGGGAACGACAACGACGGTCTGGCAACACTCGGCCGGCGGCCGGAACTCTGGACGCATCTGGGGCTGCACGGTTTGCAGGCGAGTCTTCAGCACATCGAAGGGTGTCACTGTTATCAGCTCTCTGCGCGCACTTTGAGCTCGAGGGTTACCTCGTCCATGACATGGATTCCAGGATGATTTGGAGGGAAGGTCCGGAGCTCGCTCGGAGCTCGGCGCTCGGCTCTACTCACTCAGCAAACTCGTCGACACGGCGCCCATCATGGCGGCAACGGCCTTGGCGCCGAACGGGCTGATCTTACTCGTCGGCGTTGACGGTCCCGCCTCGTTGTCCCGCTCGGCGAGCCCTTGCTGCTCGCCCCATGCCAGCTCCTCCCCAGCGTCTGGGAGCACGGGGTTCTCGAGGTCGGGGTGCTGCTCCGGCGGCGGCGGGCGGGGGTGATGCTTGTGCGGTGGCGGGTGCGCGAGCACTTCGGCGGGCGGCATGGTGTGTCTACTCGGAGATGGACAGGTGGATCGGGAAATGCAGTCTAATGGCTTGTGGAACGTTCGTTGATTGTGTGGGTCGTTTCGTTGGGGTTCGAGACCGTCAGCGTCGTTTGCTCTGTCAGACCAGAGAGATCGTGCGGACGCAAGTTATCGACGGCCGTCTTGTGGAGTGCGCTGATGTACTCCGAATGCGTTGGTGGTGAAGCAGTGATGTAGTTGTGGAAGTGGGTGATGATTCCTGAAATTCTTGGGTCGGCTGACCAGGAATTGTTGGAACGGAAACGATGACGATCACAAAGGTATGGCTTCTTCCTTTGCCGCTGACTCGGCTACCTCTCGTATAGAGTCGTATTTTGACGGCCAAGGTCCACACGGTGGCGCGGGCATGGGCACTCACCCAAGCCAGCACGCGATGATGCGTCGGGCCATCCCCGGATCTCCGAATAATCTCCAGTGCGGAAACCCTCCACCGGCCGAAACCTTGCACGTGACTTTTATGACGTGGCACCTTCTGTGAGAGGGTGAGTGGACTGATAAGCGGCGACGGCCTCAGTGGAGCACCTCGCAATGGAGCAATGTTCCCACCCTCGTCCTGCGTCCCTCTTACGCGTCAGGCAGATGCGGTTGATTTCTCTATCGCCACCTACATTCGTCGTCATCGTTCTGTTGTCAACAAACATCCACACCTCTCCATCCACCCTTACTCCTTACGCCAACGTGTCATCCGCAGTCTACGCCACACCGTCATAACACTGCACTCGTCCTTGCATCACTTGCACCAAGCCTAGCGACACAAACAATAACCCCATTCACGCCTGGAAGGACTGGAGCGACATGAAGGAACTACCAACCACCCGCGTCCCGCTCGCCGAGCTCCCGTTGTCCGACTACGTGCGCGACCCCAACCTGCCCCTCTCCCCCGTCTCGCTCCCGCTGAAGCGCCCCGCGACGCCGAAAGCGGCAACGGCTACTCCGAAACGCGTCGTGGTCGAACTAGACGCAGACGAGCTGGGAACGGGCCGATCGCCAGCCCGCAGGCTGTTTGACGCGACGCCGCGGGCGTCCAAGATTGCGAGGGCGCCTTTTGGCGGGAATACGGCCGGAGGGGACGGAATCGCATCGTCCAGCTCGTCCAGCGGCTCCAGCGGCTCCAGCGGCTCCAGCTTGAGTGGGAGTGGAATCAGTGGAAACACAAGTGTAGGCGGACTCGCGCCGTCGCCTCCCCTCCGCTCGCGCCGGGGCTCGGATGCCCTCCCCACCCCCGTCTCGAGCACGTCCTCATCTACCTCGTCAAACACGCCGAGTAATGGACGGGTACACGATCCCGGCTTCGTGATCTTCAGCGACGACGATGTGCTCGCGCGTCCGGTCTCCCAACTCTTCGTCCCCGTGTCGGATACGGATGAGGAGAACATCCCTCCAGAGGTTGAGGTTGAGGTTGAGGCGACGCCGCGACGCAAACGCTTCGAGCCCTCCAAGCTCTCCACGGTGACGACCTCCAGTTCGAGCTCGGTTGTGGAGGAGAAGGAGCAGCCAGCGATGAGTGGGAAACAGGGCATGATCGACGAGGCGGATGAGGTCTAGTCCCTCTCCCTCTTTTCTTCGTCCCTCCTGTACTCCAGTATACGCGCATCGTTGTCATTTTTCTCCATCTCCTGTCGCGGTTCCGAGAGCGCTGAAGCGACTCGCTGGTCGTCAGTGCCTCCGGCCCAGCCGCTGTTGTACGCCCTCTCAGGTCTTCATTATTGTACACTTGAGCCCATATGTATTTGTCATCGCTAGTCAGAACCATATCCAGGCCACGCTCGCAGTCCACGATATCTCTGCATCGCGATGAGCTTGACGCGATCAACGCGTTGTTGACAGTGGCTTATCTCAGCCACACCTTCAGCCTCGATCGCCTCGAGCTTCCTGTCCACCTGACCACGACCCAGTCCAGCACATCTCCAGTCTACCCTGCACACTTGCTTCCTCTACTGCAACAAAAGTGGTCTAGTCATAAATCACAGATCACATCTAAGAATGACACTGATCACATTAATGCCGTGGGGGGATGCGGTGTACGTACGGCGCGCAAGAAACCAAAAATGGGGGGTAAATGGAAATGAAGTGGGAATCGTCTATGTGCGCGGGGTGCGTGTGGAATTGTGGGAAGTCTATGTTGGTGTTTGTGTTAGCTTGATGTTTGTTAGGAGGGGGTGGTTCCAGCTGAAGAGCGACTTAGAACCATTGCACGCAGCCGAGGACGGCCAGCGCGAGGAAAAGGATGGGCGATGAGAGGTTGCCCGCGCCGCTCTTGACGGCGGCCTTGTTCGGGTCCGCGACCGCGACTTGGGGCTTGTTGCCCGCCTCCTTGACGGCGGGGGACTCCTCCTCGACGATCAGCTTGGCGGAGGGCGTAGCCTTGGGCGAGGGAGAGGGGGAGGGAGACGGCTTGGCCTTCTCAATCACCTCGGGCTGGGGGAGGACCGTGGCGGGGCCAACGGGCTGCTTGCCAATCTGCCCATTGCCGATCAGGACCATCTCGCCCTCGGACGGGACGCCGTTGACGACGAAGAAGATCATGGCTGGGCCGGGCGTGAAGAGGTTCGGGTTGGGCGGCAGCTGCGACACGTGCACCTTGATCTGGTTCTTGTCCTTGTCCACCGTCGTCGACGTCGCGAGCTCGAGGTAGCGCTGGCCAAAGTTCATGCCGTGCGTGCTGAAGCCGGTGCGGATGAGGACGACCTTGATCGTCGCCGGGTCGGCGGACGCGTCGTTGTAGGTCAGCGACCACGCGTCGCCACCGTACGACAGCGACTCAGGGAAGGCGCTGACGACAGGGCGAGGCTCATTGTACCACGAAGGGTACCACTTCTCGACGCTGTACTTGGTCGGCCACAGCGACATGGTCACATCCGGGTTCGGGTTCGAGCCGGAGATGAGAACCGAGCCGTCAGACAAAAGAATAGCAGTCGAGTGGTACATGCGCTCCTGAGTCGAGGTGCCGAGACCGTCGCGGTTGAAGCGCCTGCCAGAAGGCGCGTTCGGGTTGTAGACAACAGGAGTGTAGATCGGGTTCTGGCCGAGCGACATGCCGACAGAGTAGTTGCGGTCAGAGTAGCCAGCAGTGCCCATCTTGACACCGTTGCCGAGCCACATGGTGCCGTCGGGGAGGTACACGAGCGAACCCATGCTGCGGCCCTCAGGGAGGTGGTCGTCGTCCTCGTACTGGGGGCTAGGGTCGTCGGGGCGGATGCGCACGCAGGTGTTGTCGGCGGGAACAGCAGTAACGTTGTAGCCGGGGTTGCCGTCGGTCGAGTTGCGGAAGTCGGCGTCGGAGCCACCACAAAAGACGAGCTCGACAGTGTAGTTGTTGGCCGGCGTCAGAGGGAGCATGGCGGCGGCAGCAGAGGCGGGGTACACGCGCGAGGCGTACGGCATGTCCGGGAGGGGAATCTCCTGGCGGGTGTCCATGTCGTACAGAATCGTCTTCTTGGCAGCCTGCAGGAAGAGCTTGCCGCTCGGAAGGAGCCACGTCAGGGGGAAGAGGCAGAGGGGAAGCGTGTCCTCGAGGAACTTCATGGGGATCGAACCCGACGACCGCTTCGGCCAGTACTCGTACGTCGGGTTGTTCTGCTCCTTGACGGCGACGTAGCCACCGTTGAAGTCACCGCCGATGACAATGACGGATCCGTCGGCGAGACCCTCGACGGTCGGGTACCAACGCTTGCCCTGGAGGGGGTCAGTGCTGCCGGAGTAACCGGAGCTCGTGCTGTGCACCGCAGCCCATGTGTTCAATGGTTACTCACCGTCATGGTAAGGTCGGGTCCGTTCTCGGCCCACTCGCAGCTGCCGTCGTCGCACGGCGTGATGACGCGGACGGCCTCACCTCCATCAGTGTTGAGGTAGGGGTTGACGCCGGTGGGGTTCTGGACCTTGTCGTTAACGGCGACGCCTCCATGGGTGACGGGCTGGTTTCCTCCAAACACGGCCCAGGATCCGTTGGCGACGTGCAGACCACCGGCGCAGAACGTGTTGGACGTGACGGCCATGGGCGTAGCCTCGTGGCTCTTCAGGTCGTACTTGGTTCCCCAGGCGGGGTGTCCGCCGATCTGGAGCGAGTTGTTCTCGGCCTTGTCAAGAATGTACACCGTATTCTTGGTACCGAGGAACATCATCTGGGCCGACACGCCCGAGTCGCCCTTCTCGACGAAGCCGCCCGGAACCGCATCGCCGTCCAGGAAGCTGATGGTTGTCGACTGCCCAACGTCGCTCGCCGACGAGCCCGCAGCCGCCGACGCCTGACGGGCGAGATGGCGGTGGCGGTTCGTCGGGCCGTGGGCCGCGCTCGCGGTCGCGGCAAACAGCGCGAGGCTGGAGAGAAGCATGGTTTAGATGTGATCAAGCAAGTAAGAATGACTGTATTTCGGCCAGCGAAGGGTTGTGAAAGTGTTTAGCAAAGAGATTGTTCTGTTTTGGGAGTAGAAAGAGAGTGTCGGTATGCCTCGAGCGGGCGAGTCGAAGCGAGGACGGGGCGGAGGGGAGAAGGCGAGGGGAGTCGGAGAGTCGAGAGGAAGGAGTGTGAGGGAGCGAGCGAGCAAAGGAGAGTGAGGGGGTTGAATGAGAGTGAGTGATTAAAGAGCGTTGCTGCGGCCGGAGGGGAGGTGGTGGTCGCTGGAGGGTCGTGCGTTGGGCGTGTGGTGTTAGTGGATGTCGACTGGGTTGTCAGGCCAGCAGCGACGTGAGTGAGGGGCTAGAGGGATGGGATGGGTGGTCCAAGCAGCGGGATGTTTAAAGCAGCAGCAGCAGCAGCCGCAGTGCATCGCACCCACCCTCCCATGGGAGGTGCAGCGGGCACAGCCAGGCTTGCGGTTGCTGGATGGACGACGTCGCGCAGTGGTGGCCGGGTCGAGGCGGAGGACGATGACGGGCCGCGTTGGGCTAGTCGGTGGTTAGTCTCAGGGCAGCCGGGTGGAATGCCATTCAGTCAGTCCTCGTCCCTCAGCCCCGGAAGACGCATCTGCCAGGGCCGCCGCTTCAGGTTGCTGTACGCCCATACGCCCAGTTCAGCCTCGAACCACGCCCATGCACACTCAACGGCCTCCTCTGTGCGCTGTCTCGCTGTCTCGACGATGTTTGCATAAGGCCAAGTTCAAAGCCCAAAGGCTGTGTTTTCGCTGTATCACAATTCTATTCTTTCAGACGACCGACGCAGAGCCGCATGGCAACGGCTCACCCTGCCCGCACGGTGTCGCATGTCCCTCCCAGGGTGTATCGCTGATCTCCCCTTCTGCACAAACGACATGCATGCAGCCCTGCGTCAATCGCGCCAAGGCTTGGGCCACAGAAGGTTAGAACTATGCTGATCGGGAGGGTTCGCTGGATTGCTTGGCTTGCATGGCTTGGGTGACGACGATGAGTGGGCATTGGGCTATTGGGCATGCGGCACCGGGGGGGCGAGCGAGGGGTAAAGCGATCTGGTACCTCTCCTGTTGTCCTCCGAGTGTGCGCGAATGTGCGTGTGGGACATGTCCTGCGCACGAATGGACCGGCCAGAAGCCACAGTAACCGAACAGCCGTCCACTCAAGCCTTGGAGCCCACTGCAGCGCAGACACGATCGCGGCTGACTTTACTTGATCCGGCCACCCGGCTCGCCCGTGAATCCGTCAATACTCGGTCTCTGCGCGTTCTGCGCCTGTGCTAAGCCGCAACCCGCTCGGTTCCTGGTACTGACCAAGCGTGATCCCGCGGTGCATCCCTTGGAGTCCCCCTTCCCCTCCGACCGCAGCCTCCAACGAACGGAGTCTGCAACGTCTGCAACGTTTGAACCTCGCAGCCATGCTCCATCGGCCGAAGGCCATGATACGCAGGCGATGATTTGCGCTGCTCCTCCATCCCCTACCCCGTACCCCGCTGTACCGAAACAGAAGGACAAGGTTTGCTACACTCGGGCAGCGCCCAATAGCCCACCGCGCCAATCAGGGATCCAAGACCCGGATGACCGGAATGCTGGGCCCTGAGGCGGCCGAGGCCGCCGCCCCTTACAAGCCTCGACGCGTCACGCGTCCTTAAACTGTCCACAGGGACAGTCAGATCTCTTAGTGCGGCATTGGCGTCAATTTGCCCCCCTCCTGGCACCAATCAATCACCCATGACCACACTCGAGACTGACTGCCGGACTCGGCGGAGCTTTGTGCGAAGCATGTGACGGCCGGAGGACCTAGGACTACGATCGCGCAAGCAACAGCGAAGCACACACGGCGATACGCTGAGCGCCGTGAATTGGTCTGCGTCCTCTCGGGACAATCGCGGGCTGCAGGAAACATGGTCGTAGCACTATGCTCGACTGTGATCGAGCCCGTCTGCGCAATCACGTCAACCACTCCCAAAATACATGCGGACCAGCTTGAAATACACGGGGTTCAAGCGATTAAGAGAACTCCTTCCAGTCATTCGCCTGCTCCCACGCATACGCCGCAGCGTACAGCGTACCCTCGTCCCAGCGCCGGCCGACAAGCTGCATCCCGACTGGCAGCCGGACGCCAGCGTCGTTCGCGAGCATGCCGACAGGGAACGAGAGCGCCGGGTGCCCTGTCTGAAGCGTTAGCGTGCCTTTTGGACCTTTTGAACCCTCTCGCTCAAGCGATCAAGTTCCTTTTCGCTCGAATTCGCTCCCAATTCGGACTCAGACAGATTGCTGATTGTCCACGTCTCGGCGAACAGAACAAACAGCCCGACGACGAACCGGTGCCTGTGCTCGTCCGAAGGCTCTGAACACTCCGAGCACGGCGGGAGGGGACATGCGCTGGTTCGCCGACATGCCGCGGCCAAGACTTCGCTACCTGCTTGGCCGCAGTCGTGATGGCTCACCGCCGTGCCTCGGCGCTTGACTGACGCAAACTCACCAGATTGAACGGCGCCGTGTTCAGCGTCACACCCGTGCAGTTCTTCATGACCTCATCGAGCTCACTGCCCTCCTCAATGTGCTTCGGCGGCAGGTTCGGCAGCGTCGGCATCAGGAGGATGTCGACTTCGTCCATGACCCCGTCATATGCGTCGCGGAGCTTGCGGACCAGGTTTGTCGCCTTACCGTACAGCGTCGGGTTCATGTGCTTCCAGCCGTACTCGCCGTTGACGATCGTGTTCTTCGAGCTGACGAACATGTCGTTGAACGACTCCTGCGTGATCGGTACGCTCTTGGCCGTAAAGTCGTTCAGCGCCAGGTGTCGGCGTCCCGTGCTCCGACCCAGCGCGACCTGGGATGCACCAAGGCGTCCGATCACCGCCCACAGATCGGGGCCGTTCTTGTGCATTGGCACAGAGACCGTGGATACGACTGCACCGAGAGCTTCCAGCCGAGCGGCTGCCTTGCGCACCAGCTCGCTGACCTTTGGGTCGTGGACGGCGGCAGCGAAGCCCTCCGTCAGAAGACCAATGCGAAGGCCCTTCACCCCCTTTGCCGCAAGGGCAGAGTAGTCGGGCACCGAGCCGGGAAGAGGGCAGCCAGCAACCTGCCTGTCGTCGATGTTGTCGGCACCAGCAATGGCCTGTAGGAACTTGGCGTTGTCCAGGACAGTCTGATGTCAGCTGCGTTCAACCACGAGCCAGCTAGTACTCACTCGGCTCATGGGTCCGACATGGTCAAGCGTCGGCTCCAGGCTCACGACGCCGGTATACGGCACAAGCCCATGGGTCGGCTTCATGCCTACGATACCGTTCTTCGATGCCGGAATGCGGATCGAGCCACCCTGGTCGCCGCCAATAGCGAGATCGACGTCGCCGCGCGCCACGAGCACTCCGCTGCCGCTTGAGCTGCCACCGGCGGAGTAACCATCGGCGTAGACGTTGCTGATGGGTCCGGTCGCACTCGAGTCGCTGAGTCCCCACAGGGAGAGGTTCTCACAAACGGCCTTCCCCAGCACGGTGCCTCCTGCCTCGAGAATGCGCGTGACGACACTAGCATCGACGTTCGGTACCCAATCCTTGACTGCGTTGGTGCCGACAAGCGCGGGGACACCTGCCACAGCGACGTTGTCCTGATGTCAGCTCACGTCTGCTGCAAAACTCAGCTGCCCTCGATCCCGAGGAAGACCACGTCCCGTCGACTAAACGACCCCCACGTACCTTCAAAGCCACAGTCTTGCCCTTGAGCAGCCCCTCGTTCTTCTGCTGGTCGCGGATGGTCGCCTTCCACGCCCAGGCGTTTGCGGGGTTGTCCTTCCCCGTCGGTCGGTGCACGTTCTCGCGGGGAAAACGTTCCTCGTCTACGATCGGAACATAGTCATCCATCTGTTCGACGCGGTCCCAGATCTCCCAGATGCCCTTCAGGAAGGTGGTGTAGTGCTTCTCCTCCTTCTCCGGTACGGACAGCCCCAGCGGCTCGAGCGTCTCGCGCACAGAGCTGTCTGTGATGGGATTGTTGGGCGAGAGCTCCTTGGGCGGCAGGGCGGCGGACATATTGGGCTCCGTGAGGTGGTCAGAGCGTAGTGATCGTCCTGTTCTATTTGGGGTGAGGGGCCAAGACGCCGATGGGGTCTATGCGAGTTGGTGCTAAAACCGAACAAGTCCTTGGATGCAGAGATGAAAGATGTGATCATGCAGAGCCGAGGAAGACACAGAGGGAAGACCGACATCGCCGAGTGGGCAGCAGAGTGGACAACGGTATCGGACGAGGCCGAAAAGACGGTCAACATGGCTGCGGTGTCGTCATGTGGACCGTGCCTGGCATGATCGGACCGGTGCCGGACTCGTCGTTGCACGGTGTTATTCGGCGCAACGACCGCCAGCATGTCAGCATCTCCCATATATCATGCAGCGCCTGTCGCGTGCTGCGATTCGTATACACACCCCTGGCATTCAAAAACGCACCATGGCTGTCCACAATGTCGCCGTTGCCGGCTTTGGCGAGGGCACAAACGAACTGGTAAGTGTGCGACAACCAACCTCAGACATTCTCGAATCTTTGCGCGAGACGGGGTGCGCCCTTCCTCGAGCAACGGTACAGCATTGTCTCCTGCTGCGCGAGATCTTCATACCACTGAAGAGAATGACTTAGCTACGAACCTGAGTGAAGTCAGACTGACGACAGTACGACCGCGCGCGCCCTTCGTACCCCGCTGCAGCCCTTCAGTTCATCAAGAAGGAGCTCCCCGACTCTCCCCTGACCATAGTCGAAGCGGGATCGGGAACGGGCATCTTCTCGCGTCTACTCCTCTCGCCTCCGAATCCGGAGTACCCCCGCTTCGACGTGAAGACGCTGGCGGCCGTGGAGCCGAGCTCGGGCATGCGCGCTGCCTTCGAGAAGGGCCTTGCAAAGGTACCAAAGCAGGACCTCGAGGGCAAGAACGTTATCACGGTTGACGGCGGGTTCGACGACTTCTCGAACTCGGGCGTCGCCAAGGGAGATGCGGACGCTGTCGTCATCGCCCAGGCATTCCACTGGTGCCCAGACTACCAGAAGGCTCTTGTGAGTTGTGGCTTTGGCAGGGCGGGAAGGAGAACTAAGACTGACCTGCGCCAGACCGAGATCGCAGAGTACCTGAAGCCCGGCGCGCCGCTCATTCTCATCTGGAACCTGGAGCAGAACCAGGACGAGTGGCACCAGGCGCTGCGCGACCTGTACCAGCCGCTCGACCAGGGTTCGCCCCAGTACTACCGTGGCGGGTGGAAGAAGTTGTACGACACGGATGCGTACAAGAGTCTATTCGAGCCGGCTCAGATCGAGCAGTTCCCGTGGCACATGGGCATGACGGAGGAGGGCATCCGAGACCGCATCTTCTCCAAGTCATACCTGACCGAGAACAACCTGAAGGGCCAGGAACGTGAGGACTTCGAGAAGAAGCTGCGCCAGCTGATCGCCTCGGACGGCCCTGGCAAGGAGTACATCGACAAGGACGCCGGCATCATCAAGTACAGGTACAACACGGACCTGGTCATCATGCGCAAGAGGAAGTAAGAATGAACAGAGAAAGATACATCTCTGTGCACAGGTGCTTATAACTTTATATGACACTAGCTGTAGTCGATATGTAACGTCGTGATCGATGTCTAATCCAAATTCTACTTGTCTTCAGACTTGCCGCCGGCTGCAGCGCCGGCTCCGGATCCAGCTCCGCTCGCCTCCTTGCCGCCCTCGGGCTTGGGGGTTTCTGACTTGCCGCCGTCCTTGCCCTCCTTGAACGCCTCCTTCGACCCGGCGCTGCCTCCGCGGCCGGCTCGGCGGCTGCCGGCGCGAGACCCACGTCCGCGCTCCGCCGCCAGTCCGCGCACGGGCGGGTTCGATAACTCGACAGTGACAGGGGAGTCACGGATGTTCTGCTGAGACGAGTTAGCGATCTCCCGATGCTTGAAACTTACTCCAACGGGAGCGAGCTTCAGCGCATCCTGCATCTCCTGCTCGTTCGCGTAATCGACGTAGGCAAAGTTCTTCTGGCGGCGCATGTGGTCGTAGACGAGCTTAATACCGATCGCCTTCTCACCCGCCGGACCCATGAACGCCTTGACCTCAGCCTCGGACGTGGGAGTCGGCAGCCCTTTCAGGTAGAGCGAGAAGCGCTTCGGGGTCGCCTTGCCCTCGGACTCCTCGCCGCCGTCGACGGGCTTCTCGCCGTTCGTCTTCTCCTTCTTCTCCTTAGGCAGAGGAACAGGCGTGCTGCTGGGTGAGGCCTTGGCCTTGCCAGCTGCAGATGACGAGCGGTCCGTCGGCTTGAGCTCGCCCTTCTCGCTCTTCGCGTCCTTCACCGGCCGCAGTCCACGGGTAGCCGCCTGCGTAGGAGATCCGGTCATCTTAGGACCGGCTCCGGATGACTTGGCCGCTGACGTGGAGGGCGCAGCGTTCGTGCCAATCGGCTTGGGCGGGACAGACTTGGCACCGGCGGCGCCTACGATGGGCTTCTCCGGTCGAGACTGGGCGAGAGGGGCAGCAGCACCAGAGGCGACCGGTGCAGTTGGGGGCTGCTGGGCCTGGTTCGCACGGTGAGCAAAGTTGAGACCGTTGCTACGCGTCTCCGCGGACACGCGTCCGTCGTTGATCTCCAGAAGCAAATGTCCACACATGGCATCGGTCAGAACCCAGTGCCATGTGTTGGTCCACGCGTTGTCCTCCGACGTGGGGATCTTCTGGACCATACCGAGAACCTTCTTCAGGAGGGCATGCTGCTGCTCACTGCCAGTCAGTTCGGCATCCCCCCTAGATACTCACTTTAAGCTTCCGTCAACACGGTCCTTCACGACATCGTACACGCTAACAAAGTTATCGCGCGCAAGGACAAGCTTCTGGCGGTACGAGTCAAAGTCTCCATAGATGGCGTAGTCGTTGAGCGATGCAGGGTAGCGGACTAGGGGGTCAGTGCATTCGTTACAGGTTACGCACAGTGCAATCCGCCGGAGATGGTCAAATCAGCCTTGACGGCCAGGGATAGGAGCGACAGAAGGCCAGTGCGAGTGACTGGAGCCGAGGTCACCAGCATACGAGTCTCGGTGGGATCATAGACACGTTGGGCCGTGTCGACGAGTTCACCCATCTGTAGCGCAGTCGTCCACATCGTGCCCTGTCCTCCAGCGATCGTGGCGTAGCCCTCGCCGTTGTCGACTGATGATGTTAGCAACGTCCACGCGAGATCGACTCACAGAGCTTGTGCATCGCGACCGCTCCTCCCAGTCCGAAGAGCCTGAGCTTGATTCCGGACGCCTCGATCAAGGCAGACGACGCCTCATCGATCACAGTCAGATTGTTGACCTCATACTCTCCTGTCCTGAACTTCTCGACGATGCGGACGTCCTCGATCAGACCCCACACAGTGAAGACTGGGACAGGGAAAGTGATCGCGCCGGAAAGGAGATGCGGGAACTGGGAAAGCGGGAAGTGAATCGAGGAGCTGTTCAGCTGGTTGATAAGGGCGGCTCTTCCAGCCTGCGCCGGGATGGACAGGAGCTGATTGCGCGTCACGGGCGGAATGAGCGGCGAGTATTGCAGCAGATGCCGCAGGATCCTGCTTCGTCAGCACAGCGCTCCGCAGTCTACCCACTTGTCACCCATACGCTCCAACGAGTCGGCGTTCAAGAAGCCAAAGTCACCCGTGTGGATGACGGCAGTAGCCTCATGCTCGCGGATCAGGCGGTTCAGTTCGTGGTCTGTGCGTCAGCGGTCGCGAAAGTCGACGATAACCCAAACAACTCACAATCACCGCGAATGTCCGCGACACAGAGAATGCGAGCTGATGATCCGGCAAGAATCACGCGGGGGTGGTGCGTGCCTGCACTTCGTGGAGGCTGAGGTGCAGACATGACGCCATTCGAGGATGCCATGAGAGCGCAGGCGAAGTCGGAGTCGTGAACTAGGGGTCGTCGCGGCCGAGGTCGTGAAATATAGAGTGGAATGTATTCACTCTTCGCAGAGTCCTGACGAGAAAGAAAGCCCGAGTCGTGTGAAAGCGATGGAAATGATGCACTCGAGCACCTTGAGGTATGACAAAGTCGCGAAGAGGTCAAACCACCGATGACACTCATCGACGTCGCACGGAAGCAAATGGAAACCACGCGAGCGCACGGGGCCCCTGCGCAGGGGTGTGTGGCGATCTGACTCGTCTAGGGCGCAAAAACTGGAAAATATTCTCAGCCAGAATGCATGAGAGTTGGTACTGAACGCGACACAGCAGTTGTCTCTGAACTTGACCCAGTGGTTGACTCTATGTCTCTCTATTGAGGCTCATCCTAAAAAAAGAGGAGAATTCCAGCTCGGCTTTCATTTTGATACATACAACTAAGTAGGATGTACACGATCTTATCCTACACTGGCGTACACCTCCATCCAGCCTATAGCGCTCATTGAAGAGTGTCGCCGGCCTCGCCCAACGATTGAGTCGGGTCGCGGTGGAAGACTACGGCCAGAAAGGCTGTACTTCCTCGCAACGCTTCCGGAACGATCGTCTACTCCGCCTCGGAAAGGAAAGAAGGCCGCGCATGTGAGCTGGCATGCTCGGCCGCACTGCGCAGTGGCGAGGCAGCGTCGGGGATCGCGTCGACGTCTAGGCGTGCGGTACCCACTCCGCGGCCACTGCCCGTCTTGTCTCCGAGCGTACTCAAGAGACCGTTGTCAGAAGCCTCGGGCTGTTCCTCTGTCGCGGCGGCCTCCATCGTTGTTTGATCCTTCTGTGCGGCTGCTTTGGAGACAGCAGGGAGAGCCTCAGGCTGCTCATCCTTCACCGCCGCCTTCCTGTTCTTCTCTTTCTTGTTCTTCGTCTTTCGGTCATGGGAGCGCTGGTGTTCCCGCTTGTCCTCGAGAAGTTGAATGTCCGGAAAGAAGCTCAGAGGCGGGCAATCCTCCAGCTGCTCACCCCATACCGAGAATACGGCCACGGGGAGGTTCTCCATCGACGGCTCGGTCTGCCGCAGAAGCTGTAGCGCGGCTGTAACGGCGGACGGGGGTCTGAAGTCAGTAAAGCTGTGGCTTCCATGGTTACCTACACCGCAACCAGCTCCTTGTTTGTATACGCAACGCTCGAGGCCTCGCTGTACAGGTGGATGTGAGGCTCGTACGGCAATTCTCCAAACTTCGAGTCCTCTTCTGGGGCCCAGAAGCCCCAGGAGATGGGAGTCAACCCGTCCTCAGCCCAGGAGGAGAAGATGTGAGGTCCGGGACGGTTGTAGAAGCCGATGAGGCTGCCAAGGGCGAGCAAGGTGCAGAGACCCTGCATCACGAAGGTGGCCTGGTCGCGAGCCATCCGCCTCATGTCCGCTTCGACTTCAGCCGACCATGAGTACTCCCACCTCTCGCACTCCCTCTCCCACCAGCCACAGCAGATCTCCTCCTCGTGGAGGAGGACATCCCGGAGAACAGAAGACCAGAAGTCCGCATTGTCGGCTTCCGGGAGAATGCCCAGCACGGAAAGCAGGTCGGTTGGCCAAAAGGTGGCGGCCTCGGTTGGCAGCGAACCGTTCCGCCCGCGGAAAGATCGGGGAGGAGGAAGATACACTTCTCTGGGCAGTGACAAATTCGATCGGTTGAGGGAGGGCTTGAACAGGTGGAGATCGAGTGGCTTGGTGCTCCCGTCGAGCAAGACACCCTCGAGGCCACCGCGGCCATCGAATGAGATGCCACTCAGGAAGGCGCCCGATACTGCCGCCGCGAGACGGAGCGCTGGACCGTTCCCTAGAGCTGCTGTCCTCAAAGTCGCCTCCATAGAGATAGAACATTGAAGACGGTGCACCATCGATGAGGGGAGCTTCTCGCTCTCCAGGCAACGAGAAGTGCAGAAGAGCTCGATCCCTTCCCTGGTAGGTCCCTCATCCCACGCATTTTCGTCGTTCAGTTCACCATGGAAGCAGTAGCATTCCACCTCCTGGCGCCAAATTGCGACGCCGTGCGAGTCGGCCCACTCGGACGACACTCGACTGAAGGGATGGACGATGCACTGGCAAAAGTCATTCTCAGCGTTCTTCCTCGCAATCCTGACGGTGAGCGGAGCCGAAGTTTGACGTGTTATGCAGACTTACGTGTATGCAAAGTAGGTCACATCCTCGATCTCTGATTCGCGCACGATGCGATACCCGCACTCGCGCATGACCTTGGAAGACGCGATAAGCCCATCTTGTGACGCACAGAGGCGGGTATCGGAGTAGTCCTCCAACGACAACAGACGAATCGTCGGCAGGAGACCACGAGCTGGCCCTCCCTCATGCAGCCGCTCATTGTAATAGAGGATCTCCTGGGCCTGGTTCAGCGCCATACGTGACATCTCCCTCCGCCTGGAAGGAGTCCAGGGCTTCTTCTCCATAACAGTCTTCCACTTATTGAGGCTCTCGTTCATCAGGTGCCCGTCAAGACACTCGACCCAGAGAAGTGGCGGCTCACCGCCAGGCACGTGCATCCCCAGGAACGCGTTCTTCAGATCCCATCTCCAAAGCGTCATGGCTTCAGGAGGCAGGTCATGGTGGAATGGGCGCGGGGTCAAGCGCGCGGGCGGGGAGGATAAGGAAGGGACGGGCAAGGTTGACGCGTTCGCAGCTTCGAGGGCGCAGCTGATGCACTCCGTCTTGCAGGGTTTCGATTCGCTGGGGATGTGTGGTGATTGGGGCGAGGAAGGTACATTCGAGGACGGCATGGCAGGCGCGGGCGGGGAAGCCATTGGGGAAGGAGGAGTGTCTGAAGCCGACGAGGGTAGAAAGTGGCGAGGCAGGTGTGTGCAGGTGACGGGGCTGGTGAACTGGGTGGCGGGGGCAGCAATGAGGCGAGTGAAGACAGGGAGAGGAAGGGAAGATGGTGGGGTGGATAAACGAAGAAGCGGTGATGAAGCCGAACGAGAGGCGACGGCGCCAGCGCTGACGGGCTGGAGTCCAGGCTGACGGTCAAGAGCGAGCGGGCGACCGACGGAGCGGCGGTGGTACTGGAAGCGGCGAAAGATGAGAAGTTGAGGCTGTGGGAGGAGACGGTAGCTTGGAAGGGAAGAGACTTGGTGTTGTGATGGTTCCACGTCAGGTGTTGGCAGATGTTGACAGCTCGACAACTGGTCGAGGGAGGCTTGTATGGAGTTAGGGGGTTGGGTGAACAAAGAAGATACTGGCCCAGACGGCTTGGGTCTTCGCCCCACCAAAGCCTGCCCCTGATCTGCGCCCCAGAAGGAGGGCACTCACACAACACTCCTGGATCTGCGATCCCTACGCAGAGTCAGACAGTCAGAGAGTCGCTGACTACCGGTGCCGGTTCAGAGGCGAGGCGCGAAAGGGAATGGGAGGGGAAGATGAGGATCTGGGGAGGATTTGACTTCCACAGTGACGGGCTGCCGTGAGGAAATACTTGGCTGTCTCTGTCTGCAAGTGTGACGAAAGGAGTCGACACCCAAGTGCCAACATGCCAGGTACTCGACCACCAACAGCTGGCGGACTACTCCCCGGCAAGCCTCCACGGCGGTGACATGTGATGAACAAACCCGCTGAGACGTGCGCGCATCCGCAGATACGGTGAACTGATGGAGTGCTTCACAGACCCAGAGTGCAAAGTGTGACTGCGTAAGATGCTTACGAAGTCGAAAGGTACCCAGCTATACGTGTGCTTGAGTCCCGGAGAGGCGAGGCCCAGCAGGGGCGCACAGTGCGAGGCCGGCCAACGCTCATCAGCGACAGCGAGTTAAGCGGTTGCTTCGTCGGAGCCCCTCGCTACCTGTACGTGCGGTGCCCACCCCGTTGTCTTGTGTGACGCAGAAGAGAGCCCCAATGCAATTGACATGCCCTCCGATAGGTGCATGTCACACGTTTCGAAGGTTTTGCAGGCTAGATCGAGCGACGGTACAGCTGACTCTGGAGTCTCAGCGAAGCGGCCGCAATCTCTGAGACGTGGCGACGCCGCTCAAACGTTAACGGTCGTGTCAAACAGAAGGTGCATTCCACAGACTGTAATGATCAAGACAAAGTGAACGCTACTGGAACGGCTAACCTGTACTGCGTGGATCTGAGCTCATGCGGGATGGATGGGGAATATGTAGGCGTGATGGAACAGCACCCACGATCATGGGGTGGTTCGGTTAGGTGCATTGGGCTACGGCTGTCCAATGCGTGAAGCATAGTAGGGATCCTTCAGATCCAGCACACCAAACCGTGAGGAAATGCCAAAGGGCTTGAGGATCTCCGCCAGACCGTTGTGGACCGTCGCCAGCAGTTCAGACTGCTTCTTCGCCATCTTGCTCATCTCTGCCCGAGCGCTCTCGGAGCAAGCTGTCTCCAGATCAACGTCTGACCTCACCGAAGTGATACTGTGGTTCGGCGAGACGTAGTAGCCCCACTCCTTAGCCGTTCGTTCGTACCAGACCTCTTCCAGGATGTCATACAGCGTCTCGCTGAAGAGGTTGAGGCACTCAGCCTACATAGCCGCACCAGTGGGTGCACCGTGGAAGACAAACGCGGACAGAAGTCCGTCGGGCCAAAGAGCTCTAGAGACTTGAGGTAGAGGATAACCGACGTGATCAAAGAAGCCTTCTGCTAGCCAGCCGGGTCCACTTTGCGGCGACGATGACCATTCCGGGCCGATCTTCGCGCTGCGTGGGCCCCCGATCAACTCTTCCAAGGCCGGCTGGTGGGTCGTCTGGTCACCGCTATTGAGATTCCTCCGTTGGTGCTGTTCAGTAAAAGTACTGATGAGGCCGGGAATCACATCCAAGGGGAGATCGACTTTGCGGACGGCCGACCCTGGGCTGGGCGATGTTGAGCAGAAGAACGAGAGGCGGCTCATGGAAGATATGGAGCACAGCGCTCCTGCCTCTCGACAACAGAGGCAATCACCTCTCCGCCAAACCACCAGCCCAGAGAGCTCGGCCCACAGACTCTTCACGCGAACGAAAGGTGGCGAGAGGCATACGCCTGGGTAACTTGGCAAGGGTGTGCGATGGAAACGGCACCGCACACAGCAATCGTGCTCGTCACCATTGCTGGCGGATATCAGCTCAGTTGAGGGTACGAAGGTTGGAGATAGTGGCTTACCGGTATACAGCTGGCTCCGGTGGAAGATCGAACTTCTTGAAGTCCTCGACTGAGGCTGGGTGGTAGTCGAACAGCGCCATCACCTCTTGTGAGGCAAGCGATTCTGGAGACTCTTCCGGGTCGGTGAAGAGTAGATCCTGAATGTCAGGATTGGCGGAGAGAGGCGGGAGCAGGACAAGTGGTTCCTGCACACTCAGGTGAGTGTCGGGATAGTCACCCAACGTCAAGGGCGGAATCTTTGGCAGGAGACCACGTACAGGCCCCTCCTGGTGAAGTTCCCGCTGCCAAGACAGGACGCATTCGGCCTGTGCGCGTGCCCGACGGCCCAGTTCATGCCGCTGCGACTCCTCTCACAGATCCATCGGAGTCTTCCCATCAAGCCACGAGCTCCAGCTGCTGAGAAGTCTCTCCATCAGATGGTCCATACGACCCCAGAGCGCTGGAGGAGCCGCGTGAGTCACGCGGTAAGCCGTGTACGATAACTTCAAATCGAATGGCCAAAGTGTTCCCGGTTCAGGAGGCATACCAGGCTGGAATGGTCGTAAAGGCAAGTACTCCGCAGTACAGGGGTCGTTGACGGGAGTAACAGCGAGACGAGGCAGTGCGCTGGCTGCGAGCGAGGAAGGGATAACCGGCGGGTCGGGGGAATGTTGAGATTCCTGCTTGTGCTGAGGCTGCATGATGTGAAGAGGAGCGAAGGAGTGGAAGGGTGAACGATGCTGCCGGTAGCTTGTCTTCGTATATATATCGCCTGCTTCGGGCCCACCTGTATCGATACCCCCTGGCGTGAAGGGCAATGCCCTTGTGACACGATGCTTCTCCAAGAAGACAGTGTCGCAGGCGCATGTTAGTTCCCCTACCTTTTATCTACCCCGGGCCAACCTCGCGAGACAGTTGTCCTCCGGTTCGGGTGCGAGGTTGTCACGGCGTCTCGGGCGTCAAAGACTCATATGACACTGACATCGTGTTCGCAGGAGTGTCGCCAGACGTAGAGCGTCAGTTGCCCGAAACACTCAAGGCTCCACACTTCAGAAGTGTTGGAGAGTGTGATTTTGTATCGAGTGAATGAAACTGGAGCTTCTGTGCAGGAAGGGTGGAACGACCGAGTCAGTGGGCGCGGCGCATAGGTGCGTTGGTGACGGAGGTGAGGGTGGAGGTGGAGACGGAGGTGAGGGTGGAGGTGGAGGTGGAGGTGGTCCAGCAGCGCGGGGCTCCCAGCGTGGCACTGGGGAGCACTGTGCGGTGGGAGTGTTCGAAGAAACTCTCTCCGCCGAACTCTTCCCGCTGTCGACAGATGCCTATAGTGTCTCTGGCTCCGAACCATCAGTCTGAAAGTGGCGTATAACACTTGGGACGATGCGCAGGCCACATTTCCCGGTGCTTTTGAGGCTGGCACGGGGCCCGACCGAAGAGGACTCTGCGACCAAGCGAGCCCAACCCCCCAACTGTCTCCGCCAACTGAGAGTCGACGAGACGAGCTTTCGCCTTCAAACCAAGCCTGTTTGCAGCCAAGAGGTAGATATACACTGATACCCATGCATGATTATGATAGTCTAGTAAATATGATGGATGAGATGCTGAAATGAGTATGATTGAAAGTGTGGGCGCCGGCACCTGCCGCGGCGAGCCCGCCTTGGGATGCAATATGGCGATTAGGGGTCCAGAAACTAGTTCAGGGGTAGCGCCTGACACAGGGGTAAGACGTTTTACTCCTTAACAGCGCGCTTCGAGCGCTCCCTCACACCACCTCCGTAGAAGAAGAAGATGTACGGAATCGGCGCGATAACGCATCCGATGAGCGCAATAAGCAGTCCCGCTTGCCAGAAACCCATCTTGTGGAATTGGATCGTGACCTACGCGTCAGCTGGGGAAAAGAACAGCGAAGTTGTGAAGAAAACGGTGGAGATTTTGAGTAGTGAAGTCGTGAAGAAAATTCCGGGTGGATGCGGAAACAAAAGTTCGCCACACCTCGAATTCTCGTCTCCGTACTTCAAGGTGGAGGTGGCTGGATAGCCAGGGAGCTGCAGTAGGGGATAGGGGGTGTACTTACCCAGAGAGGGACGGAGGCACCGATGCACGAACGCATGAAAGTCTTGGCAGCGACAGCGGAGGCAGCGAAGTTGGCGTAAGAGTCAACGATGTAAGAGTTCGCCGAGATGTAGATAATGAGCATGGAGAAGCCGAAGAGCACTCCAGCGACCATGGGACCGATCCAGTGAACAGGGTGGTGCTCGTAGGTAGTGAAGGCGAAGATGAAGAGAGAGATCGGCATGACGATGGCACCAACCATCATGGGGTAAAGACGAGCCTCAGGCACGGACTTGCCAGCGTTGTGGCAGTGCGTGGCGTAGAGCTTCTCCTGGAAAAGCATGCAAAGCATGGCAATCGAGATACCGATGATGATCGAAACGAAAGAGACACCAGTCATACCGATGTTCCAGCCACGGATCTCCTCGAACGCGATCGGGAACGCGAAGAAAAGAGCGTAGAGGAGGGAGTAGATGAAGGACAGGAAGAAGGACATGAAGAGAATGATAGGCTCGCAGAACATAAGGACGAAGGGGCGGAGAAGCGAGGTCTGGAGACGCTCCTTGAAGGGAGGCTGGTCGATGTCGTGCTTCGAGATGTACACGTCGGTGTTGTGCTCCTTGTTGAGCTTCTTGGCCTTGCGACGGAGGAGGATGGGAGCGTAGGTCTCGGGCATGATGAAGGTGAAAACGGAGACGACACCCAGGAAGATGAAGAGGACCCAGTAGATCCAACGCCACTGGTGAGTCTTGAGGGCGATCCAACCACCAAAGAGAGGACCGAGACAGGGGCCCATGAAGAGGGTCATCGAGAAGATGGCCATGGGAATACCACGCTCCTCAACAGCCCAGACATCGGCGATCGAGCCACCGACGTTGGTCATGGGGGCAGAGGAGGCAATACCGGCGATCATACGACCAGCGAGCATGGTAGCGATATTCTTGGCGAGACAAGACGGGAGGGTGAAGAGGAAGTAGAGGCAGATCGAGACCGAGTAAACGGGCTTACGGCCGATCATCTCAGAGAGGGGAGCGAAGATGAGGGGACCGACGCCGAAACCCAGAACGAAGAGCGAGATGGAGATGAAAATGACCTCCATGGAGACATGAAGATCCTTGGCCTGCGAGGGCATGTCGCCAGTAGGCATGGCGGATCCGAGAGCGACGGAGATACAGAGGAGGGCACAGCCGATGGTGACGAACCACTTGCGGTGGTTTCCCCACTCACGGGGGTCCTCCTTCGTTCCAGGCTCGAAGTCGACGAGGATCTTGCCATGGTGCTTCTCAGCCTCGATGGCAGCCTCGTGGCGGAGAGTCGGGTCGGAGGCAGCGAGCGAGTTGCGAGTGACAGCATTGTCAAGCTCGACACCCTCGTCCTGGAGGATCTGCTCCTGTCGGTCGTTGTAGATAGGCGGGCGGGCCATTTCAGCCTCGACGGGTTCGATCATGATTAAAGAGGTTCTAGTTCGAGGGAATGGATTATGCAGTTAATGAGTCTGTATGTGTGCAGTATGTCAAGGGAGTGGTTGCTGGGTAAGTAGTCGTACAGAGGCGAAGGAGAGGCGACAAGATATTATGCTGGGAAGAGCCTGCATGTCATGACCGAGGAGATACTTAAGTATATTTTCCAGTTGCTGGAAGATCTTGTTACAGGCCCGCTCCACCCCGCACATAGGAGAAACCCCCATGGCTTTACACGGTCTCCGTGAAGCAAAAGACGAGGGGAGAGAGGATGGCGATGATAACATGCAGGTCCTGCAGCCCGGCCGCGCTCCACTACGGAAGGGCCGGGCGTCACCCCGTAAAGTTCGAGGGGTAATTACCGAAAAGGGCAACATTTCAATTGAAACGCACGCGATTAGCACGTTCGGCACGTGATACCCTTGATCTTCACGCTCCCCTCACCCAGGGCCCACCGCGGCCGAGCTGAACGACGTCGGTCTCTTGGACGGATCGAGGCACCGTTCACTGAAAATTTCGCTTGCAGTGCCGTCAGCCCCGTCAATTAGACTCATCCATGTCCGCGATCTCTAGCGGTCTCAGGCGGGTAGCCTCTCCATTGCCTGTGCTTCCCCCACTCAAAGCCCGTCCTCCGTCCTCTCCATGCCCCCGGTCACCCGCCACTGCCGCCCACTGTGAGCCCTCTAACTCGCTCGCTCGCATCGACTCCAGGGTCACAGCAGGGGCGGCAGGGACCCGACCGACTCTCGTCTCGGTGACCCAACCGTTGAGTCAGATGACGAGCCTCGACCGTTCCTGTCCACGGTATGGTTCGGCGGAGAGAACAAAATAGTCCTCAAACCCGATGGAATCAGCGTTGTTGTTTCGCTGGCGTTGGCGCTTGCCTAGCGGTCGCCGGCGTCCTGGACGCACCCTGCGCCGTTCCAGGACCTCGACCTGATGGCGACTGAGGGAATTATGCTCCGCCAAACAAATGTGATTCCCGACCAGACCGACCATGTAGTCTCTGGACGCTGTCATGTTTGCTCAGCTCATCACATCTTGCTCGAAGGGGAATCGCTCAGGACGGCAGGTGCGGACGTTTCACCGCGTTGCGAAGCTGCGGCAGGCCCGAAAGCCACACACGCTGACCCTTTTACCAGAGTTACTATCCTGGGCCAAGTGGTTCAGACTCAATGCCAATGATGACCGAGGTCATTGGTGCCTTGAGTTATGAACCCCTTGCCCAACCCTCGCGGGACAAGCGAGGCTTCCCCGCCATCTGGAACCTGCATCCATCAGGATGTAAACAAACATGTGGGCCAGAGCTTCGCTTCGATCAGTGCCCACATGGGGAGCGTGCTGTATGCGGTCTTATGCTGCTCCAGAAAAGTATAGGACGTTTACGCCGATGGATTACTCCGACCCCGCTTGTCCATACTGCGGGACCCATCATCAGTCCATCGCGTCCCATGCGGCAACGGAGAGGTCACCGAGGTATCAAGTTTTTCTGCATGTGGGGCTACACATTGCCAAACGGAGACGGGAAACTCGCAAGTCCATTGCAGGCACTGCAACAATATGGTCAAGTGACGTCGTTTGGTCGCCTAAAATTTGCCGGACCAACCGAGGATTCCGCCACGGGGGTAGGGGGTGCACAGCAAGTGCGCAATGTGTGTTCACGATCGCGCATCAAACTTCGCTAGCGATCAAGAACCCCGACAGCTGAAGAGCTCTGTGCCTCGCGCCTCCGGACCGCGGACCTCAGCCCCCGGCCTATGCAGTCCGCCTGTGGCTTGACTCACCTGACCATCTGAGCACTTGACCCAGCCGGAGCCACGGAGTCCCGAATGCGCCAAGAGGGAGAGCGCGGGACCCTCCCTTGGATTCTTTGGAACCGCTGGAATCTTGGCTGATCTCATTGATTTGTACCGGTGACCTCACGTCAGCCAAGCTTTAGCGAGTCAGCGATCAAACGGTGATCAGCGGGTTCTGGCTCACGGCCGATCGGTCCGCGTGCCCGACACGTGTGCTGCCGATAAGATACTTCCGCTCACTTCATCAGCCAGCCGCCGACTTCGGCACAGACGCTGACGGAAGTGCAATCCGCCCTCCACTGACGGTGAACGTGGTTGTTTGGTTCCGCGGTGATCGACGCCAGTTACGCCAGCGACCGTGAGTTGAGCGCCGTGACACGTCCCTTGCGCCACCGACGACCCCGACGCCTTGCTCGTCGATCCGACTCCAACTTGTCATCTCCTCATGTTCTCCAGAGCCATCAGACGTTTCGGAACCACCATGTCCCAGTCGCCAGAGTACGTCTACAAGGTCTTCCCCTCTGCCTCTGTGGACAGCAGGTACGTACAGCGCAGCTGCGTATGCCCAATTTTCGGGTGACCCGGATGTGACGTGACGAAGAATCGAAGGGAAAGCTAACCGAGGTCACAGGTTCTACTTCCCCCAGCCGATCCCCGCGTCGCACGAGTTCTTCCTCTGCGAGAACGACCTCCAGGATGGTTTCGTCCACATGTCGACCGCTGAGCAGGTCCCTGGCGTCCTGAACAGGTACTTCGGTGACGTCCCTTCCGTCAGCATCCTGCGCATCGACTATGGCAGGCTTTCGGCCTTCAAGCGTGTCACCTGGGACCAGGCTTCCAACGGCGAGAGTGAGTGAAGCACTGCTTGAGCGCTCGCTAACAGCTCAGAGTACCCCCACCTTCACGGTTTCCTTGAGGGCGAGAGCGTTGACAGCTTCAAGGAGATTGAGAAGGGCCAGAACCCCACCTGGGACGCTTCCCTCAAGACCATCTCGGACTGGCTCAAGTAAACATTGTATACCGCCCGCGTTGGCCCAGAGTACGTTGATTGATACAGCTAATAATATGCATACCGCAATCCGCAGTGACCTCATCGGCGCCGGGCTATCGGCTTAGGCGTCGGCATCGATCCTGAAGCAGACTAACATCCTTGACCTCGGGCCACTGTCGAGCCTCTCGCAAGCTCTTCGCACTCACTCTTACGCACGCCAGATGTGTTTGACGTCCCAGCTGGCCTCGGTATCTTCGTCCGTTCCTGCTGTGCCTGCATTCATCATCGCCAACGCCACTGACGTGCGATCACCGAGCGGTCCACCGAGGACTCGTAGCACTCTCCTTCAAGTAACCGCAGAAGGAGTCTACATCTGCAGTTTGGACATCCCAGATATCGGAGTCCGCAATCTGGGAAACCGAAACGTGCGCCGGGTTCCTGGATCAACGAACACCCTGCGTCGGCCACTGACCACTAGGCCCGAGCTGCCACATGCGTTCGTCATGCTCTCGTGTTGAGTTCGCCATGACGTAGGCATGCAAGCAGCTGGCAGGCAAGCAGGTAAGCAAGAGTCTATCGGTACTCTTGTTCTGCATCTGTCCAACTCTGTGCCTATCTCGATCGGCTCAGATTAAGGTGTCTGAACGAAGCACCCGGCACGACTCAATTAGAGCTGTCGAAGCTCTGTTGCCCCCATGTCTATGCCCTGGGACGGCTCTCTCTTGGGCGGGCCGCTGAGAAGTCGGTCTCACTGTGCTCCTCGCATTCCGCGCCTCCGAGGTGGTATATGGCAATTGTTGGAATGACCTTCGACACTCCGACATCCGAGGCTCATAGCAGCCGATGCCAAGATTCGTCATCGGGGCAAATCTACTCCGCTTGCGTCTGGAATGCCAGGACACAGCCAGGACACAGGGCTCTGCCCTGTCTGACAACAACGGGTCCGGCTGGATCTCAAGGAGATGCGATCTGGTGCGAGGTGTCGTTCCGGCCGACCTGCCAGGTGGGAAGTCCCAGGTCGCTAGAATGTCGGGCGTCCGCCCACTACCCGGCGTCAGAAAGCACTCTGCTCTTTAGGTTTGCTCACCTGATGGAGGTTGCCCAACGCCAGAGGATGGCAAAATGAGGTGCCGGCCCTCGGTGTAGGAGTATCAACGACGCCGCGGTGGCCTTGCCCTAAAGGCCCAACCGTTCAGTGGCTTCTCCGTTCAACTCACCTTCGATGACCGTCTCTTCATGACTCAGTCACCCGATTGCGCGTAGGCGTCTCCAAGCCTACCACTCCCGAATCGTCTTTCACACCACTCGTGAACTGCCCTCAATCCAGTGGCCAAGGTCTGCCATTGGACAACACCGGCGGGCACAGGCCGCTGCTTGGCCGATCTCGAATTCGAGTCCGCCGCAATCTAGACCTGACTCGGGAGCACAGAGAGGGAGATGAGGTGGGAGGCCATGCTAGGCGACTCTTGCGATGCTACATTTGGAGTCATGTTGATCCACGAAGGGGGTGAGTGGAGGTGCGGGCAAGTCTGCCTCTGTCCGTGGATAACGGCCACTATACTCCGCAGATGGACGTCTTCCCATTCTCTCGCGCACTGTGCGTTCCAAGACAGTGGTTCGACAAACCCGAAGTTCGTCGTTTAGCTCCCGAGTATCGGCGTCTTAGATACCCTTGTCCTCCCTGTGGTCCTTTCCGCATAATTTCCAAGCCCAGTCCCGCGAGCAACCAATCGTCATCACAAGCTCCAATTCTGCACCTTTCTTATCGAATGTTGCTTTAGTGGACAGCCTGCATTCCTCGGCTTTTCGCATCCTGTTGGCCCAAGTGTTATCGTGACTGAGTAAAGCAAGACGAGTGCTGAGTAAGAATGGAACATTGCCATGGCCGCGGACTCCGTGCGGGCAACAAACTTGTGCGCACTGCGCCACCTCCACCCGCCGGCAGAGGCCTCCACTTCAAGATCCGGATTTCAGCCTGAACTCAACCGACGAGTCGATGCCCACCGATTACGCGACTCGTTGATCAGCGCGTATCTGGGCTTGATCAGCAATGCACCGCTCTGAAACATCGCAACGATAAGACGTATATAACCCTTCAGGTCTTGCTTCTGTCATCTCAACATCAACCGCGTCTCTCACTCACTCGAGACATTACTCAGCGTCGTTCTCGACTCTCGACACACCGCGCCCACCTTCTACAACCCGCCAACTCCGAGCAAGCCCAGCAATCTAGCTGCGTATCAGCCTTCCTCCGCGTCTTCCCCCAACCTACCCCGAATCAACATGCACATCCCCGCATACCACGGCGAGCACGACTCGGCCACCCTCGAGTCGTTCATCAAGACCAACCCTCTCGGGCAGCTCACGACGGCCATCCCGCTCGCAGGCCAGGAGACGATCCAAGTCTCGCACATCCCCTGGGTGCTCACTCCCTCCTCTGACGGGTCTGCGGCCAAGCTTCGGGGTCACGTCGCCCGCGCCAACCCGCAGATCAAGTCTATCCTCGCCTCGCTCGAGAAGACCGCGGGCGGCCGGACCGGAACGCTCGAGGACAATGTGCTCATCCTCTTCAACGCGCCCGTGCACTCCTACGTCCCGCCGCGCTTCTACCAGGCCACAAAGCCGACGACGGGCAAGACGGTGCCGACGTGGGACTACGCCGCGGTGCAAGTGTACGGCAAGCTGACGTGCTATGGGTCGAACGACGACGAGTCGCTCTCCTTCCTAACCACGCTGCTCGACGACCTGACGCTCGAGAGCGAGACCAAGGCCGCCAAGCAGGACAAGACGGACACGCTGTGGACGACAGACGAGGCGCCCGAGTCCTACCGCAACATGCTGAAGAAGGCGATTGTCGGCGTCGAGATTGAGGTGGAGCACATGGAGGGACGCTTCAAGCTCAGCCAGGAGATGAAGGGCGCGGACCACAGTGGTGTTGTCGAAGGATACCGCGCCCGAGGGACTGCGGAGGGCGACGAGATGGCGCGCATGGTTGAGGAGCGCGGCAAACTCCGGGACGAGAAGGCCGCGGCCAAGGCGGCCGCTTAGCCCGCGATTTGTTCGGACTTCGGGGAGTGAGAGTGGAGTACAATGGGCTGGAGAGAGACAATTAATGTGAATATAATGGACTTGGAAGGGGGGGAGGCGCTCTGTGCATCGGTTGTCTGGGAGGAGCGTACTGACGGGGATCCCGATATTGAACACAGGAAGGGCGTCACGCAGGGCGGCAGGAGACTGGACAGGCGGGCGACAGGAGTCTGGGTAGGAAGGAGAATACGAAACGACGCCAATGAGGTCTAAAATGGTAGGGCAAGCAAAGCAAGTCCGCCAACGAAGAGCTGGAAGAGACACACTCTCGTACTCTCGTACCTCTCGTCTCGTCATGACCTCGGGGCACTCTGCAATCGCACGTTGTCGTTGGGTCTGCCCGGGAGCTATGTAGGGCCGTCGAACACGATGTCTATCCCAGTCGCTCGTAGCGACGGAACCCATCACGAATGTGCCATCGACTCGGACTCTCGCCCTCGCCGTGCACTTGATGAGTCAGTATGAGTGTCAGCTATACCTGCGCTCAGGCGCTGCGTGATATGCGCTGATCCTGCTGGCCCGGCGTCGGCTGGCCGGACGCAAACATCTCCCCGGACTCGGGCTACAGGGTCGCCTCGCTCGCTGGATTCGCGGCATTCACTCTTGCTCCCCCGTCTCCTCGCACGCACTCACTCATGCTCCGCAGACTCGCGTGCTCGCTCCGCTCGCGGCGCTCGCCGTTTGTGCCTATACTTATTCATATGATGGATACATGCTAAGGGGGGGTGGGTGGGGTATACTACTATTTCCTTTCCCGTGTGTGTGTGTGCAGGATTTTTAGAGCTCGTCGTGGGCGACCTCGTCGTCCTCCTCCGTGGCGGCGGGGAGCTCGTCGTCGTCCTCCTCGGCAGCAGCGTCAGAGGCAGACGTGTTGGAGGCGGCCGACTTGCGGTTGCTCTCGACAAACTCGGTGAGCGACTCGAGCGAGCGGTCGCCGTTGTAGTCGAGGAACTCGTCCGAGCCCGCAGGCTTGAACTTGAGCGTCGGGAAGCCCTGCACCTTGAAGGGCGCCTCGGCGGGGATGTCGTTCTCGGTCGCGTCCATCTGCGCAATCACGACATTGTCCGGCTTGTACTTCTCGCCGAGCGACTCCCAGATCGGCGCAAGGCGCTGGCAGTGGCCGCACCAGGGCGCGTAGAACTCGACAAAGACGTCCTTCTCCTTGTCGCCGAACAGGTCCTCCCACGAGTTGGCAACGAGCTTGTACACGGGGCCGTCCTGCGACTCGGGAACGGGCTCAGACTTGACAGTGGGCTTGATGTCGCCAGAGACAACACCGGCAACGTGCTTCTTGATCGAGTCGACAGTGGCGTCACCAGACTGGACGTACTTGAGCATCTCGGTCAGGTCCTGAACGGCAAAGGCGGGGAGCTTGTCGGTGGCAACACCGAGCTGCTTGCCGTACTCGCCAAACTTGACGCCGTCAATCCAGACAAAGTTGACCTTGTCGCGGAGCTCGCGGGCAGTGTCCTTCAGGCCCTCGATGATCTTCTCGCGGGGCTCAGCGTCGGCGGGGTCGGCGAAGAGGAGAGCGAGCTTCTTGCCAGACTCGGCGTAGGTGGCAAAGTTGTCGGGGCCGAGCTCGGCGAAGAGGGGAACCGAGTTGGCAGCAACAAAGTCGCCGAGGTCCTCCTCGGTGATCTTCTTGATGTTCTTGTGCTCAAGAACGTTGTGGCCCTCGTCGAAAGACTTGTAGAGAACAATGGCGGGGAGCTTGGGGTTGCCCGGGAGCTTGGGGAGGTTGTCACCGACGACCTGGCCAAAGACAAACTGGTCACGGGCCGAGTTGGCGTACTTGGCGAACGACTCGGGGACGGGGTGCTTGGCGTCACCGTAAGCAATGACGACGACCTTGTCAGTCTTGGTGAAGTCGTCGTGGTTCTCGGGGGTGACGTCCGAGACGGCAGGGAGCTGCTGCTTGTTCATGTACGAGACAATGCCCTCGGCCTTGCGGGGACCGCTGTAGTCGGTGGGGACACCGTTGCGGAAGACCTTGAGGGTGGGGTAGCCCTGGACATCGTACTCGCCACAGAGGTCCTGGTTCTCAGTGCAGTCGACCTTGGCGAGCTTGATGCCCTTCTCCTTGAGGGTGGTGGCGGCCTCCTCGTACTGGGGAGCGAGGTTCTTGCAGTGTCCACACCCTGGTTGTCAGTTACAGGTCGATCGCGGGTCAACTCACAAGGAGCGAAGAACTCGACGAGGGCGAGCTCCTCACCGGCGACCTCGTTCTGGAAGTTGTCGGCGGTGAGGTCGACGACGTCGGAGGCGGCGAGGACGCCGGAAAGGAGGGGGAGGAGAGCAAGGAGGGACGTGGTGGGCAATCTCATTGTGGATCGATGTGTGGGGAGATGAGAGAGAGAAATGAAGATGAAGGATTGGCCTGACTAAGTAGGGGGTTACCCCGGACAGGATGGTGGACCACCTCCACGTCGACGCGACATTGGGCGAGTTGGGTGGAATATGGGATGCTTGGCTGGCATGGCGCGCATCGCCCGCATATCCCGGCGCCTGAGTCATGCCGCTAGCCGTAGGCTGTGAGCCGCTGAGCCGCTGGGCCGCTGGGCCGGGAGAGAGCGGCCAGGTGTCCAGCCCGGGCAGGGTGCAAAGGTCCCAGGGTGGGATCCGAAAGGGACGAACAAAAGATGCCGCTGAATCATCGTCCACCCATACACGCTCACTCGCCCATGATGGCCCTGCTACATCCGGTAATGTCCGCCAGGCACCACTGCTTCGCCCTCGCGTCCATTTGTCCACATTGACGCGCGGCGCTTGCTGCAAGTCGTAATCGCATTAGGAAACTTGATACTGCCCATGATGAGCCCTCCCAACCCAATCATGCATCTCCCCTGCAGCTCACGTAAACCACAGTGTCCCGCACATCGATGCGGCATCTCCAGCTGACGTGTTCGCAGCATGTGTTTTCGGCCATGTGCCTGCCTGCTACACGCTGGCACACCCCTTAGTTACAAGACTAGACGATTAGAACGGGGTAAGCGGCGACACTGGTGCATGCACGAATCTGGGTCAAGTGGGGCCCTCCTCTTAGCCTGAAGCTAGTGCACAGAAGACGCCTCTCTTCGGCGGCGCTTGCACATGGGTCAGCATGCCTGGCTCGAAGGACAGTGGGGCCATGAGGGCCACCGGGTGACTCCCAACCACCGCCCACTTCCACCGCCGCCCGCACACACACAACATTCGGCAACACACGGCCTCCTCCGCAACACTGGCACACAGCCATCACACCCACACTCCCACACTCACGGTCTGTCAGGCAAGGCAGATCACCCACCCAGCCCCTCGGCCCAGGTCTACCATAAGCACTACGGCCCCATCATGACCGTCCAATATCTAATCTCTCTCCGATCTCACCATCGGGCTTCAACCTCGGATTTACTCTTAGTCTTATTCACGTGCCACTTCTTTGCCTGGACCTCGCGCATCGGCCTGTCCCCGCAGATGACTCTCTCAAACGGTGCTCACGCAATCACAGCGCTCACATTACTCACACGACCACTTTGACGCAACTCAAACATCTCACATGCATACATGCATAGCTCTGGAACACATTCCGACACCATATGCATATCAGACGAACAGCGTAGCCCGTCGGACAAAGTCGGTCGTATTATTCGACGTCACTGAGGAGGGCGCACGTGACTTTGATGCCGTCGGGGTCTCTGGGGAGCAAGCATAACTCACCACACGGAAAAAGTCAGACGGACCGCCTACGGAGCCCGGCAAAGTCCAAAGTCGTCACTGTCGATATCTATCGTTAAAAACACCAAGCACACATCGACGATAGAGAGAGACTTGTCTGTACCCACCCACACTCGAGTGTACAGTTAGCAACACAGATCTCTCTTCCGAGGACCCCCCCGTCTTCGTGTCGCTGTCGACTTTCCCCTCCCTCTTTCGCCTCGGCTTGAACTAGATCCGACCGGCCGACACCAAAATGTCTGCGAACGAGGCCAAGCCCGAAGCCGTCCCGGAGGCCGTCCCCGAGACCGTCGCCCAGGAGGCCCCCGCCGAGGGTGCCGAGGGTGAGGCCGCCGAGGAGCAGCCGCAGCGTGGGTAGTCACTCGGAAGCTCCAGAGTCGCAGGAATATTGACATTTTCCCAGTTCCCCCTGTTTACGTGCGCCTGCCCAAGCCCAACTCGTCCCGCACGCTGCCCAAGGCGACTGGCACCGAGAACTACTCGTCGCTCAAGCTCTACTCGCAGCCGTCGGAGACTGTGCAGGACCTGAAGCTCGCCGTCAGCGAGTGGATCGGCGGATACTGGCTCGGACCTTACTCGCTCCGCCTGCCCGGCCAGCCGGGTGAGGCTCTTTCGCAGTCCAAGGACGGCGTCGACGTCCACGCTGGCGAGAAGCTCAGCGAGTGGCTCGAGATTGGCGACGTCTTCGCCCACGTCCCCGAGGAGGGAGACCGCTCGCTCGAGGTTGTCAAGGGTGAGTTTTTATTTTGACTGTCGAAAGATAAACGCTCGGCTAAAACTGCCCAGAGCCCTACACTGAGGCCACTGCTCGCGCGGCCGTCGTCCGTCTCCTCGACTACATTGAGCCTTCGGGAACCTCGGTCCACACCCTGTCGACCCCCATCGGTGTCGCCCCCGGCGCTACCATCTTCGAGTCGGTCCGTGACGGCAAGGTCACCGCCCAGACTGGCGGCCTCGCTGCCCCTGTCTACGAGGAGGTCGAGGCCCAGGTCCCCACTGGCGGCAAGAAGGGCAAGGGCGCCAAGAAGGAGACTATCAAGATCAAGAAGGAGATTCCTGCCGAGAACCTGCACGCGTTCTCTGACTGGAAGGAGGAGTGGCAGTCTCTGCCCCTCTCCAAGCTTCCCGTTGCGCAGGCTCCCCTCGAGGTCCTCTCCTGCCTCCGCTCGATCCAGCTCTCGCCCTTCAACCCTCCCCCGGCGCACCTCCGCCAGAAGGGCCACCAGCTGTACCTGCAGGTCTCGATCCTTGAGGGCGACGTCTATACGCTCGTGTGCAACTCGCGCGGCTGGTACGTCTCCAAGTCGAACGTGAACCACTTTGACCCTGCCCCTCGCGCGGCTGCCGACGGCTCGATCCCCGCCCCGACGCACTCGCTCATCGATCTGCTGCACACGCTCTCGCCGCTGTTCTCTGAACGCATCTTCGCCCTGCCTTCGCTTTCGTCCAAGCCCCCGGCGCTCGACCCCCTCTCGACCGTTGCGATCCCGCAGGCCGAGCCGGCCTACCCCTGGCTCATCTCCGCGCCCAAGCCGGACACTGTGCCGGATGTGCTCCGCACGCAGCTCGCGTACCTGCACACGGGTGCGACTGTGCCCGAGGCGCTCGACTCGTCGCGCGACTGGAACGAGGAGATCCAGGGCGTCAAGGAGCTCCCGCACTCGACGATGCAGGAGCGTGTGTTCCGTGAGCGCATGGCGCAGAAGACGTGGAGCGAGTTCACGCAGGCGTCGCTGCGCGCGATCCAGGCCGTGTCCCGCGGCGACGTTATCCCGCTCAACCCCAACGAGCCTTCGCGCTCGCACATGTGGCTCGCGTCCAACATTTTCGTGACCAAGGCGATCGACTCGATCGACGCGTACGCGCACCTCGGCGGCGACGCTGCCGCGCACGTCTCGCACGCCAAGGACGCCGAGGGCGTCAAGCTCCTCAACCGCCTGGACGTCGATGGCGCGTACCTCCTCGGCCACACTGTGATTGACTGGCAGGGCGACCGCTGGGTGTGCCAGTCTGTTCTCCCTGGCATCTTCTCGCGCCGCGAGCCCGCTCCCGAGGCTGCCGCCGAGGAGCCCGCCGAGGGCGAGGACAAGAAGGAGGACTGGGTCAAGGTCGAGGGCGAGGGTGCCGATGCCTCGAACCCGCTCATCATCTACGGTGTCGACTCGGAGCAGACGGGCACGATCCACTGGGACGAGGCGACGCACAAGATCATGGAGCAGATTGCCGCGCAGCAGCGTCTCGCGCCCCACAAGGTCAAGTCGGGCGACGACGAGCGCGAGTTCTACGCCTCGGCCGAGGTCAAGGGTCTCCGCGGCTCCGACGGACGCCGCTACCTCCTCGACCTGCCGCGTCTCAACCCCGTCGACATTGAGTGGCTCGAGAAGGACTACAACGGCAAGCTTGCCGGCCCCGAGGGCGCCGAGGGCGACGCCCCCACCTATCCCCACCGCATGGCGCTGCTGCGTACCGAGCTCGTCGAGCTGTTCTGGGAGTCGGAGCTGAAGCGCTGGGCGCGCAAGGTTGCCGAGGAGCAGGCGGCCAAGAAGAAGGCCGAGGAGGGCGACAAGCCCGCGGCCGAGGGTGCCGCCGAGGCTGCCGAGGGCGAGGAGAAGAAGAACGAGCAGCCCAAGGAGACCGAGGAGCCCGCGATCGACCCCGAGACGATCGCGTCGCTCAAGGACTTTGAGCTGCGCTTCAACCCGGACGCCTTTGTCGACTCGCTCCCCGAGGAGGGTGCGACCACTTTCGGTCCGGCCAAGTACGCGGACGAGTCTGACCCCTCGATCAAGGCTGTGCGCGACGCTTCGGTGTTCCTGCGCACGATTGCCGTTCCCGCTGTCGCGCTCGACGTGCTCACCGGCGCCGCCACGGGCATCATGGACGGTATCTCTCTCACGCGCCACCTGCACGCGCGTGGTATCAACATGCGTTACCTCGGCCACCTTGCCGCGACGATCGACACGTTCTCCAAGGGCAAGGATGGCGAGAAGCGCGAGTCGTCTGGCTACCTCAAGTCGCTCAAGGACATTGTGCAGCATGAGATGGTCTTCCGTGCGTCCAAGCACGTGCTGCGCCGCCTCGTCCGCGACCTGCTGCCCGAGCAGGTTCCCGCGGCCGTGGCGCACTTCCTCAACGTGCTGCTTGGCACCGAGGTCAACCCCGCCCCCAAGGCGGTGTACGAGCGCTCGGACGTCGGACCGGCCAAGGAGCCCGAGTACGTCTCGCTGACGCCTGAGCAGCTCCGCGCCGAGCTCATCGAGGAGATCGAGACGCGCTTCAGGTGGAAGCTGGACGAGAGCTTCCTGACGCAGGGCCTGCGCAAGCCGCAGCTCCTGCGCGAGCTCGCGTCGCGCTTTGCGTTCCAGCTCGCGCAACGCGACTACGCGTTCACGTCTGAGGACGCTGCGGCCGAGCCCGAGGCGCCCAAGGCAGCCAAGGGCAAGAAGAACGCCAAGGCTGCTGCTTCCGCCATCAAGCGCTCGACGACGTTCGAGCCTGCCGACATTCTCACCCTCGTGCCCGTCATCCGCTCCACCGCGCCGGCCGTCACGGTGGCCGAGGAGATCTTCGAGGCTGGCCGCGCGACGATTAACCGCGGGCAGGTCGAGCTTGGCCTCGAGTTCATGCTGGAGGGTATCCAGCTCTTCGAGTCGATCCACACCGTGATCCACCCCGAGGTCGCGGCGGCGTACAACCAGTACGCGTCGACTCTGCACCAGCTGGCGCGCATCAAGATCCAGCAGATGGCCGCGCAGGAGAATGCGGACCCCGAAGCGCCGCTCGGACTGGACATTGCAACCGGCCTGCGCCTGCAGCGCCAGGCCGTGATCATCGCCGAGCGCACGCTCGGCGTGTACCACCCCGACACGCTGGCGTACTACTTCCAGCTGGCGATGCTCGAGAACCTCGAGGGCAACAGCAAGGCGTCGCTGACGTACTTCCGGCACATCCTTTTGCTGTGGGGCGTGATCTACGGCGGACAGCACCCCGAGATCGCGACCATCATCTCCAACGCCGGCATCGTCCTGCAGGCGCTGAACGAGCACAGTGCCTCCGTCGTGCTGCTGAAGCAGAGCGCGGCGCGCGCCCGCGCCGCCTTCGGCGACAAGCACACGCAGTACGCGGCCGCGCTGCACCAGCTGACGCAGGCGCATTTCCTCGGCGGCGACTTCCCCGCCGCCCTGGAGGCGAGCGAGGCCGCGCACGCAATCTTCAAAGATGCCTATGGCGAGGACAACGCGCAGACAAAGGAGGTGGGCAAGAACGCCGAGCTCCTCCGTGCCGTCATCGACAACGTGGAGCGCCAGAAGCAGGCCCAGGACGCCATGCGCGCACAGCAGCAGCAGCGCCTCGCCCAGGCTACCGCCGCGGCTCGCTCCCCCCGCCTCCGCCCGTAAGACCGCCGGCGCGGGGCAGAGGATTGCCTCCGGCGCCAAACTCCCCGGCCAGCTCGCCCAGACCGCGCAGCAGGCCCAGGCTCAAACCCAGTCAAAGAGCGGCAAGAAGAGCCGTATCGGCGAGAGGGGCGAGGAGGCCATCGACGACCTCGTCAACTACATCCAGGGCAACGCGGGCAAGAATGGCAAGAAGGGCAAAAAGGCGTCGAAGAAGTAAAGGAGCCCCCTGTCGAGCGAAGCGAGACGGCGCGAGGCTAACGCTCGGCGTGTGGCTAGGCTAGGCTTACTGTCGAGCCCAAGCTCTGCGCCGCGAAGTGAAGTCAAGTGAAGTGAAGTAGATCTCTAAAAACACCCCATCAGCATAACTCTCCACTCCCTGCATACCCCCCCTATGCTATTCGCATTTGTTTTTGCTCTGTCCCTCGCTGCAAACAAGGATCTAGGAATACAGGTTCTGCATCGCAAAAGGTCATTAACGTGGGGCGTTTCAACTAAGATAAAAAAACCAAGAAAAGTCGTGTAACTGATATCGATGGCCAAGGCCGAGTGTAGTGCGTCGAGGTGTCCAAGATGATCGACGTTGGGAGCGGAGCTTGCCTCACTGGTGAAGCTCGTGAGGAGCGAGTGTGGCGCTCGCCCCACTCGCTTCGCTCGTGGCGCTCGCTCACGCCTTGAGACGGAACACCTCGTCCCACCCCAGCTCCCTTCCCATCTGGCCCAGATGCCGCGTCCAGACCCAATACGCGACTCCGAGCGCGAGGGCAAGCTTGGCGAGCGTCTTGAGCGCGAGCGCGGCGGGGCCGTCCTCGTGCTCCTTCCGCGCCAACCGGCGCGAAACCACACGGTTGACGCGCGAGATACGCTTGGCCTCGTGCCGGCGCTGGCGCGGGGGCATGTTCGGGCTGAGGGTGGGGCTGAAGGCGGGGTCGGCGGCTGGCGTGGTGCTGGTGGGTACGCTGGAGGCGGGGGTCGAGTTGAGATACAGACTGGCGGAGAAGGGCGAGTAGGGCGAGTAGGGGGCGGACGTGGGCGGCGGGGACGAGACGGTAATGTCGACGGTGCGCTGGCGACGCGCGGCACGGATGCTCTCGCGATAACTGTCCACACACGCCTCCATCGCGTCCCACCACGTGAAGCCCCTGATGCCGTCCGTCGCCGCATTCGCGGACATGCGGCGGCGCATCTCCCCGTCCCGCAGCACGCTCGCTAGCAGACTGGCATACGTCTGCACCAGACGCGAGTCCGCGTCGAGATTCTTGCACGCCGACGCCCAGCCGCCCTTCAGGTCCGCCTTGCCCTTGGCCTGTTCTCCCGGCCCCATCGGCATGGGCAGGAGGAGACCCGTGTGCCCGTGCGCGACCAGGTCGCGCGTGCCCTCTGCGTCGAGACCGACGACGGGCAACCCCGACGCGAGGGCTTCGAGCACGACCTGCCCGAATGTCTCGGTGAAGCTCGGGAAGGCGAATACGTCGGCGGACGCGTAGGCTGCCGCCAGCGCTGGGCCGGAGAGATGGCCCGTGAAGAGCGCGTCGTAGCCGTGCTTCTCGCAGAGCGCTGTGAGATCGGCGCGCGCGGGGCCGTCGCCGACGAAGACGAGCTTCGGCCTACTGGGCAGCAGAGAGTACGCGTGCAGGAGGAGGGAGAGGTTCTTCTCCCATGACAGCCGGCCGACATAGAGGATCACGAGGTCCGGCTTCTCGTCCCCGGCCACGGAGCTGGCGGTCGACTGCGCGGGAGAGATCGGCGTCAGAGGCGAAGAGGTCGCTGGAGTCGAGATCACTATGGACGCGAGGGACGGAGCAGCGGGGACGACCACGGGACTCATGGGCGGCGTCGGGGGTAGGCCGTGCGCGAGCTTCTTAAGCGCCACGGGGGAGGGAGGGAGGGGCGCGATGGGCGCGGGGCCGACACCCCAGATATCGCGCAGGGTCTGGGACCGGTTCGAGGGGCCGAACTGCTCCAGGTCCACGCCGCGGGGCCAGAGGCGCACGTCCGAGAACGCGTTGCGTTCGAGCATGTCGCGTGTACTTGGCGACGGGCAAAGAGTGAGGCGACACTTGGCATACAGCCAGCGCTGGAGGGACCACATCAGCGGCTCGAGCCAGGACAGCCCGAAGAGCGTGGCGTAGGTCGCCAGGTTGCTGCCCGTCAGCACATACACCGTTCCTCGCACTTACGTGTGGTAGCTTGCGACGACGGCTCCAGCCAAGCCCGTGCCGACGGCAGGTCCCCGCTCCGGGACCCACTCTGCACCGGCCCAGCCGAGCTCCATGGCGACGAGGGTCTGCGCGCCGAGCCAGATGGGATCGACGAAATGCACGACGTCCGGCTCAAAGTCCTTGATCGCCGTTAGGAAGGCGGGACGCAGGAAGTTGAGCTTCAGCCCGGGATACACGACGAGCGGGATGCCCGCTGTCCCCACCAGGGGGTGGGAGGCGTAGTGGCTCTGGGGTGTTAGTGGCGACTCAGGGTGGGGTGGGCCGATGGTGTGGTGGTGGGTGGAGGTGAGCAGGTGGTGTATGTTTGCCGCTCGCTTGCTTGCCGCCCCGCCCTCGCTCGGAGCAGCGGCGTACTCACCATACCGGAACCAGGACCCAGGAGCATGCACTGGTGGCCCTCCTTCTTGAGGTGTTCGAGGAGACGGGCGAGCGTGCGAGTGACACCGTCGACCTTGGGCAGAAAGTTCTCTGCAATGGTTAGCCACACGCTCCAACTGTTGACGTGACTGCGCCCCTCGACTACGCCCCACATTGCGCCCCTCTCGCAAACAAGCAGGCCGTCAACTCACCAGTCACAATCACGATCCGCAGGCCGCTGCGCCCCCGTGCGTCCGCGATCCACGACTCGCGCGCGTCCTTCTCCTCGCGGGTCATGCCCGGACGCCACCTGTACTTCTCGTTCTCCTCGGCGTCTGCGTTGTTGTTCTCAGTGGCGAGTGACGGCTCGGGCATGTCGAGTTCGGGGACAGAGTCCAGCGGCATCGGCGGCGGCAGCTCGAGCTCATCCTCTATAGGCCCGGCGAGAGGGGAGGAGATCGAGGGCGTGTGCGCGTGTGCGTGCCGCCTGTTCCAGCGCGGCGACGACGTCGTCCGCACGTTCCCGCTCGAGAACGGAAACGTACGTGGAGTAAGGGGCGGAGTCGGGAGTGCCATGGTGCTGAGGGTGTTGTAAAGTTCCAAGTTGCGTTGCTTGGTCGTGTTACCGAGTGGCGACTACGAGGTGCTCCAAGACGCTCTCTCGTCAGGTGGCTGCGAGTTGCGGAGTGCGGCTGCGCGGGCGGAAGGAGGGAGAGAGAGAGGGGAGCGGCAGAAGGCCGGGGGCTGTGGGAGGGCACACAAACGCCGTGTCGATCGCGATGTTCGCGATCTCTTCGGGTAAAGAAGGCCGGCGCTGGTCGAATCGTCGCCGTGTTGGGCAACTGATGTCTGGGCTGCCCAAAGTGGACCGAGCGATGATGTTCCCGCACGTCAAGGGGTTGTCGTGCGGAGTTGATCTGTGAGACGATGAGACGAATGAAGAGAGCGATCACAGATTGACGCGCCCTTCGTGCTGACTTGAGGAGTTAAAGAGTGAAATGAGGTGCCGGGGAAGACGCAACGCGTGTAGTCTTCCTCGTGCTATATGACTTTCTCTCATGTTGTCCCTTGTTGCCCCAGCCTCCGCTCGCCGTCTCCGCAACCCGCCTAGAGCTCCCGCATGTGCGTGTGGAGCGTAGCGCCCATGGAGCCGCGGCCTAGTCCGCGTTGGCGCCGTCGAGCAACGCTCAGTGTTTATGCAGCGCTGCAAAAGTGGTTGGGGCAGCTAAAACCTGATCGCTCAATTACTCCGTCATGGACATGTCACGACGACGACACAGACTGGAACACGTTCGTCGATCCCTCCACCTCCCAGCAACCGGCTTCCCCGGATAGTCACGGCGCGGCACGCACGGCACGCGGCACGACGCCCCGGCTGCGTGTGGGCCGCCGCGTCGTGGGTCCTGGGAGATTGAAGTGCAGCAAAGTGGTTGGTCGAATGTGGGACGCACAAACAATCGAAAGAATGGAACGTCGGGAACGTGTGTGAGTATTGTCTCGATGCGGAAACGTGCGTGCATGATAACGTTCAGAGCCACAACCTTGGCCACCCAGTTACAAGGGGCAAGGCACTGTTCCCAACCCGGGGTCTCCACAACTCCCAGCAAACCTAAATTCTGGGAGGCGGCCCGGCTGATACTGCCACGTGCGGAATGAAGTGTAATCTGAGACTTCAAACCGGCTCGGCTTCATCACGTGACGCCGGAATATCGTCGGCCCTTCACGGCGGTCATGGTCTGTGCTCAGGCTCGCACCCGATCGCTTCAGGAGCGAGCGAGCGAGGAGATCTATACCGCCGCCGGCGGGGTTTAAAAGCGATTGAGGACCGCAGACGGAGTGTATTTGCGTGCACTGCAGAGGAGGATTCGGAACAGCACGTGACATGGTGTGCCTGTATGCGGCAGTGTTATTCCGAAGTGGGCGTCCAACGGCCTGCTCTGGCTGGTCAGCGTGGAAGTGGGTGGATGTAGCCACGCCGACGTCGCGCATTACCTCGACCACGCTTGATAACAAGGGGGAATGCTTGACAGCCATTGGCCGGTGTTACAATAGACGCCCAGATCCCATCCGTGTCTCATTGGCTGCGGCGGCGTGCAGGGGGGAACAAACTCCAGGCCCGGATCCGGGCCACGCGGACGACCCAGGCGGAAGAGCAGAGGACGGTGGTTGCGGGCCAACTATTCTTACCAATCACACACGCCGTCTCCACGGGCGGAGGATTCCCGGCCCTTTTCTGCGCGACTCGATTTCTTCGCTTAGCGCCAAACGAGGCGTTTTTGCTCCCGCTCAGGCATTCGCCTGCATCGCCTACCCGCCCACCTCGACAGTCCTCGACAACCCACGCCCCTCTCCCCGCATGCCCCGCTTCTTAAACACTCGACTCGCCGCTAACCCCCACTCTTTCTTTCCTTTTCTTCGTTCCACCCCTCAACTGCTCTACCACTCCATCTACACGCACCACCACCCACCAACGAGCAGTTTACCACGCCTAGCCTCTGGCCTGACCCACACGACCCCTTCTCGTGTCTGATAACTTGAACCTTGCCTACTCCCAGACCATTCAAAATGTTCTTCACCGCCTAAATAACGGTCGGTCCTCACCGTCTCATCGTCGTCCACCCAGACGATTCTTTGAATCTACTTTAAACACCCCCAAGTCTTCCAACGAACCCCTCCCGGTTCATTCAGTTGCCCATCATGGCCTCCTCAACAGTTCCCCCCGCCCTCCCCACTCTCCGTGTAACCTCGACCGAGTACACGACCCAGTCCACCCCCCAGTCCCGTCCCTGCTCTCTGCTGGCGTTAGCCCGAGAACAATCGCAAACAATCCGATAGACGCTACCCCCGTGCCTACCGGTTCCAACACCGCTACTATTCAACCGAAGGATCTTTACGACCTCCCCCTGAGCTCCGCAGCTAGCAGCTCCAACAAGCCAACGGAAACCCCTACTCCGTCCAACAACAACAACACATTCAGTATGCTTGACGAACTTTTCACCTCCACCGCTCCCTTTGACTGGGACCAGTTCCTGGTCGGGGACCCGGAAAAGGTTGCCGTTCCCGAGAACGAGGCCTCGCCCGCCTCCGCCATCCTCAACCTGTCGTCCCCCGCTGGCACTCCTGCCTCGGCTGGCGACTCGCCTCAGTCCACCGAGTCGGAGCAGTCGCGCTCGCTCGATGGTCCCTCTGGCATTGACCTCCTCGACTTTGACCTCGACCTCCCCGCTCCCACTGGCATCGCGCACGACCCCCGCGACATTCTTGCCACGCTTCAGGCGTCTGCCCCTCCCGCTGTCCCTGACGCGACGCTGAACTCGGACGCTTTCGGCTCTGCGTTCAGCGGCTTTGGTGGCCTCGCCTCGCTCGGTACCGACGCTGTTTCCCAGCTCCAGCTCGGTGACCTGCTTTCGCAGATCAGCAACGCCAACCCCGCGGCTCTTGCCACGCCTGCCACTCCCGCTCTGCCACTCCCGCTGCTCCGGCTGGTCTCCCTGAGGCCTACGCCGCGCTCGGTTGGCCCGCGTCGACTCCCGCCGCCGGTGCTGCTCCTGCGATGAAGCGCAAGGTTTCGGACGTTTCGGACGACGGCAGCGTCAGCAGCAAGCGCCCCCGTGGCCGCCCTGCTTCGACTGCCCCGCCCGCCAAGCGCCCCTACCGTCGCCAGTCTAAGCCTGGTCTCAGCCTCTCCCAGCTCGCCGCTGCGGCCGCGTCTGGTTCTCCTGTCGTCGTTGGCGACAAGAAGGAGCCTCTTCCCCAGTCGCCTTCTCCTGCTCTTGAGGAGAAGCCCGTTCGTCTTACCTCGACGGGCAAGCCTTCGACCGCGCGTCCCCAAGGCTGTCGTCCCCGAGAAGTACATGAAGAACGGCGAGGCCCAGGCCATCACCGGCATGTCCACTGAGCAGATCCTCAGCTTCCCCAACTGGGCTGCTCTCATGGAGTGCGTCGACGACGCTCACCGTGCTGGTGCCGAGGTCTTCGGCAAGATGATCACGGAGAACCGTGACAAGGCCAAGTGGGCTGCCAAGAAGTCGCGTGACGAGCGCAAGGCCAAGGTCGAGACCCTCGAGGGTCAGGTTGACGAGCTTCAGGGCAAGATCGCCGAGATGCGCGGCCTCCTGCTGTCTCTCGTCGGTCGCGGCGCTGTCTCTCTCGCTGACGTCGAGGCTTACATCTAACTAAGTCTTTCGCGTTAGTACGGCCATCAGTTCTACTTTTTCCCCCATCGGCTCTTAACTGCCTTTCAGTCCAACGTTGCGACGTTGGTGTCAAGCTTTTGAGCACTACCCCATGGGTTGTTGTTTTCAACAAGGTCGGGCGCGCCTCCAACGGCCGCTCACGCTGCCGTCCCTCCGGGACAGCGGCACAACAAGCCGAGGCGAGTCGTTGAGGCTCCCTCACGTCCAAGATTTGGCTTTCCCAGTGATCGCCATGCCCTCTTCATCCTTTCAACTAGTTTTCTTTCGTTTAGCTTTTCACCTTTTTTCCTCTTCTCCAGACCTAACTCACTCATTCAATAATCCAACCCAAAAACCCACCCGCTACTGGTGGGACCGGACGTCGCAACAGACGCTCCTGGCCAGCAGCTTAGGTCTGCCTTCTTTATATAATTTCCTTTTCTGAATGAATCCAATTGTCACGATGACTCGAGAACTCGGACGAGCTGCACAAGATTGCGCCATACTGACTCGAAGAATGAGGCGGGTGAGCACACCGCATCCGTTGACACCGGAAGCGGAAACGATGGCGTGAGCGGCAGAGCATGCGGTGTGCGGTGAGGTGCTGAGTCGTGCTGGTGAATAGTGGGCTCTAATGTCATGAATCGACTCGGCCGTGAATGCGTGAATGTGGGGCAGACGTTGGCCGTAGATTCCGACAGCCGCAACGAGGTGCATAACAAGGTAGGCGCTCTTGCATGCTGATGCTGAGCGGTCAGCTGTCTGTCTGCCCGTCTGTCTGCCCGTCTGTCTGCCCGTCTGTCTAGCCAGTGTGAGCGAAATGCACCCCACGGTCCCGGCAAGTCTCGTACATATTCCACCGACTCTACAGTCTCTACTAGCTCTACAGACTCTACTCTCCAAAGGGCAATGCCAGGACCCCAAACTCCCCGAACTCCCCGAACTCTCCATCGCGGACTGCATGTGCGGGAGTCGGAGTTTACCAAGCCACCTCGGCCCCGAACGGCAGGTGGTCACTCGCACTCACGCCTTTGCGGGGGAGTCCGTCGCCGAGCTCGCTCGTGCGCGGCGGGGCGAGGACGCGCGTAAAATCGAGTCTGGGGGCAGAGCTGGGAATGTCAAAGAGATAGTCTGGGGCTGGTCAGCTTTGTACTTGCTGTGCCGTGCTCAATCGCTAGTGGCCATGCCAGCTGCCTCAGCCTCGCCAGCTGCCTCGGCCGTTGGCATCGGTCGTTGGCAGCACCCTCAGCCGCTGGAAGCACCCTCAGCCGTTGGCATCGGTTCGGCCGCAGCCTCCGGCCTCGTTACTCACCCAGAGTCAGCCTGAACAGCGGCGTGAAGCAGGTATACGCCGGCTCTGCTCCGCCCTCGGCGCGCTGTATGCCCTCGAGCCCGCCGCGGGCTGCATACGTTTCCTCACCCCAGGTAGTGCTCGCATACGCACTCCGCGCAGGTTGGGGAAGAACTTCGGCCGCCAGCCTCTCCACTTCGGAGAGGGAGAGGATGCCGTCGTCCTCGGTTGGAGCGCGCGTGTTCGCGATGCTCTTCTCGTTCGAGTCGGGGAGCTCGCCCTCGCCTTCTCCTTCGCCCTCGCCATCGTCGCCCTTCTCGGCTTTTGGCTCGGTCGGGGCCGGAGTCGAAGGGGCAGGCGTGTTCGCGCCAGTTCCCGAGGTCGAAGCGTCGTCCCCTGCTGAAGGAGGAGGAGGGGGCAGGCCGACCTTCTCGACACTCGTGTGCACGAGTCGCGAATCCTCGAAACCCTGCACGATCTTCGGGTCGTAAGGGCCCCGGCTGGCTAGCAGCTGGTACGGCATCTCGCGGGGCTGCGTGTTCAGATCGCCTGTCAGGAGGATGGGCCAGGTCGGCCGGGAGGACTGCAGAGCCCGCGCAGCGCGCAGGAGGACGATGAGCTGGCGCGCGCGCTCGTACTCGAACTTGGGGTGCCAGAAGCTGTGGGTTAGCTAATGAGGCACATACAGGCAGCTACAACTGCGCCCTCGACGGGTGACTCACAGATGCGTCGTAATGACGATGATCCCGTCGTCGTTCTGCTTGTCGCGCAGCGCGGCGAGGAGAGCAATGTTCTTCGTCTGCCTTGACACGCCGCGCGCCGTCACTGCGTTGGGGGACTCGGAGAGCCGCTCGTCGTCGAGCGACAGGACGCGCTGCTCGTCCACCGCGAACCGCGAGGTACGGTAGAGAATCACGAGGCCGTGTTTCTTCCCTCGGCCTTTCGCTTGCAGCGGCGTGTGCTCCGGCACAGAGGAGAGGACGTCGTCGAGCCGGTCGCATTCCTGGAGTCAGCTACAGGAGGGTGAGGATTCAGCTGTCCCGCTCTGCCTAACTAGTTTCATTGGCAAGCAGCGCAAGCAGCATGCAGAGAGGTAGACTCACTTGCAGACAGACGACATCAGTGTCCTTCATTGCCTCCATCTCGGACTGCAGCATCGGTTTGCGGTCGCTGAAACGCAGGCAGTCCGAGCCGGGGAACAGGTCGCGGCCTGAGGGTCAGTTGGAGAACAGCGGATTACGACTGTGCGCCAGCCACGCTGCTACTCACGGACAAGTGTCTGCGCCAGCATCTGCCTGTCAGCTTGACTTTCTCCGTTGTCTAGCTGCCGCCGTTGAGCTACTCCGTGCGCCCGCGAGACGCAGCAGTTGCTCTCTAGTGCAGCACCGCACTCACATTCCACGTCGTGATCTTTGCCCTACGGTTTTTCTCTGAGCTCGCCGTCTCGACCCACTCGCGCTTGAGAATCCGTCTCCGCGCGAGCTCCTGCTCGCTCATGCCGTTATTGCCATTCGCAGCGGCCGCGGCGCGTTTCGCGAGCTTGGCGGCCTTGCGTTCAGCCTGCTTCGCGATTTGGGCAGCGGTGAGTTTGACGTGCGGCGGGGCGGACATGATCTCTCTGTGTCGGTTCCGGAAGTGTTGATACGGTCAGGAAGAAGGGGTGTTGTTGTGTGTCGTTGAGGGCGCAAGAGGATCCAAGGCGGAGGTGGTTTTGAACCGACGAAAGTGGAGGTGGACCTGACGTCGGATCCGGTGGAGGTCGTCCGCTGCGACTCGCCCAGGCCGGAGGTGGCCGTGATCCGAAGTGGCGGGTCCGCGCGATGGGCGAGTGACTACCACGGGCGTTTCAGAACGCTTGCACTGTGCGGCGATGCAATGCTGATGCAATAATGACGACGACTGGACGCAAATGACCGTACGGGTACTTGGAGAGAATGTCGATGGTGACGTTGAGTGAGTGCGTCACTTGTCGGTTCTCGACGGTAGCGCTCTGATGTGAGTTCGGATAGGACAGTCCTCAGAACTCACCCAGGATTGAAAGGCTGCAGTGTGTCAAGCATGTCGGTTTATTGAGCAGTGGAAGTATCTGGCTTGCCCGGTCGTCCGGTCCTCTGAGGTGCTGTAGGTCAAGAAGGTGGGTGAGTGATGAATAAACGTCGGACAAAGCGTTTCCACATAAGCTCCTGTTTGGACTTACCTCCGTCTGTGAACTGTGCCGCCGCTGCGCATTCTTGCATCATCGCACTGTGCACACTCTGAAAATCTCACAGCTGACAGCTGGGGTGCAACAAGGGTGCGAGTACGACGCCGCAGTTCGCCTGAGGGAACGGCAACCGCTTTCAACATGTCATTGCCTCTATCTTGTGACGGCCGACTGCGATGATACCTAACAGTGCGGAGCAACTGGCACCTCGGTATTAAGGTCTATAGCTCTCAGACGACAAGCTTGACTTTGCGATTTTGCTGTGGGGTACAAAGCAGACCGCCTCTCAGACAACCAAGCTCTCCCATGGCCGGTGACCGGCGATGCTCGCGATGCACTTCACATCACTCTGAACAAGTTGGTCCAGAGGTCGCCCCTCACAGATACATGTTCTCCCACGTCCGCCCATACATTGAGGGCATGCCAAATCCCCATATGAGGTCGGAGGGCGCTTCGCCCAAATTCAAGCTTTCCCACGGCACGCCGCTGCCAGAATCCCATTCGATGGAACTCGTCCTGCCCGGGGTTGGAGACACGGCTCGCTAGATTCGATGCTTCCCACGGGTGTGCTTGGCATTACTACTACTGTGAGCTTCACGATCGTATGCATGTGTTTGAAGAGGCTGCTTCCAGACTGCTGGTTCATGGCAGACATCATGCGGCTCTCATACTTTAGAGGACTGCTGTGGTCAGTCGCCCTCGGTCAGCATCACCGACGTCATGCTCCCAACATCCGTGCCCACGTTGTCGATACAACTCGATGACATTGATTTCGTTACAGAGCAGTGAGAGTGTGATTAAGCACTTAGAGCGAGTCGTCCGCGACCTTCTCGCGCACGGTGAACACGCCGTCGTCCTCCGTGACGCGCCACCACGCGCCGTCGAGCAGCACCATGTCGACCTCGGGGTTGAAGACGATGCCGGTCACGAACGGGCCGTAGACGTACGTCATTTTCGTCGTACTGGGTAGCGGGGGGGCGTCAGCATAGTGTCTCTGAGAAAACAGCCTCGTACGCGCACGAGGCCTCACGGACGCCCTTGAAGGGGCCCGCGGCGCACTCACGAAGACAAGAACGGCAGGCCGAGCTCGCTCCGCTTCTCGCTCTGGCGGCAGAGCACGATCGACCGCGGCCTCAGGTGCGAGCCGAACAGTTGGTCCGTGCCCTGGCTCGCTGGGTCGAGCTTGAACTTCCACTCACCACTCTCGTCCACGCCCAGGCGCGCTATCGGCTGCTGCGACCTTGTCTCTGCCCGGTCTGACGACCAGGGCTTGCTCTTGCTGTTACCCGCTGCGCCTTTCTTGGGGGCGGCTCCAGCTGGTGACGCCGATGACGCCGATGACGCCGATGACGCCGATGACGTCGGGGGAATCTCGCGTTGGGGGAAGAAGCAGAAGTCGCCCTGCGTCGCGTCCAGTCCGCCCTCCTCCTCGTCCTCCAGGAAGGAGGCGGCTTTCTGCTCTGCTGGCTTCGCGTCAGCCGCTGGCTTGGAAGGCACGAGCTCCGCGGTCAGCTGCTTGACCTCCGTCTCGAGGGCCGTCAGACGCGAAAGCTGCTGTCAGCTAGCCGGTTCTGCAATGAGCTCACCATTGACTGGACGTCCGCGGTCATGCGAGACCGGAAGGCTTGGACGACAGACTTCTCGCTCTGAAGGTCAGCTTATGAGCCCTTCATGAAGCTCTCACCTGCGCACCCTTCCCGGTGAGAGCAGCGAGACCGTCGCTCAGCTTCTGCACTTGCTCCGCAATCTGCTGTCAGCTTACAAGAGCTCCAACCTAACTCACGGCCTGGCTGCTCTCAAACTTCTGGTCCAAGTAGGACCTCTGCGCCTTGAGGGCCGCACTCTGTTCCTGCGCCAGATCGGCCTGCACGCGCTCGAGTCCCCGCACGAGCTGGGGGATGGCGACCATCTGCTCCGCCATCTTCTTGTTCGCCTGCTGAGCATCCTTGACGAGCGCCTCGAGCTTGAGGAGCCTCGAGTCATACTCTCCCTTGACGGCAGAGGGGTGGGTGGCGGGCTTAGCCGCGGCCTGGGCTGCGAGGAACGCACGCTGGTTCTGGCCGAGTGCGCGGCGTGCCGCAAAACCACCGATGACGGCCGAGCCAGTCAGCGCTGCGCCGAGGAGGAAGGCGGTAGAGTACGGGTGGTTTGCGGCCATGGCTGCCATGCTGGGCGGGACGGTGGTGGAAGTGGAAGCGGACGCCGGCGACGCGTCGCCACCCACGGTGGTTCTGGCGTCGTCGGCGGGGTGAGCATGCGGCTGCTCGGAGGAGAGAGTCATGATGAGCGGAGACGCGAAATAGAGAATGTTGATGTGAGAGCGGGGTGAAGGTTGGCCCACTGCAGGGATGTGCAGATCGCAGAGCAGTTGCTGGGAAGATGATGCCAGGGGGTTACGGGTGTCATGGCCGCATCTCATGTGATCGCACACCGGATGATGGTGGGGGCATGTGCGACGTGCAGGGGCCCGCGTGCTCGTGGTTCGGGTGATCTATCCGTCGTTCGTGCGTCTGCCTTCCACTCTGCAATCTGACAATGCACGCACGTGACTGCTGTTGATGAAGCTTTAGTATTCATGACCCAGAGCATGCATACGTTGCTCTGTTGCTCGAAAGAAGCTTCGCATGGAAACGTGTCGGTGCCCCAGCCGGGAGGACGTCGGTTACATCACGGCTACTTTTCCGACCGTCCCCGTTCCACCGTTTCCCGACATTGCCAGGCAATCCCAATCGACACCGAGTTTGCACTCTCACTGACTGATCAGGCTTTGTGGAGATCTTCTGTCCTTCCGAGATCCGGGAGAGCTATGGGGTGAGGACTGCAGCAAGCTTGACGGAAGCGATTCGTTGAGATCGATGGGCGAAGTGATGGCGTTCCCCGAAGTGGTACTAACCTCGAGAACCGAAGAGGAGCTACACAGTCATCTCAACTGTCGTAAGCGGGGGCCATTCTTGCAGGTCATTTGCTCGGAAGAAACGCAGGCCGTCTCGCCGTTCGCTTGGCAGCGGCTTGGGTTGCAGACAATCGATCCCAGAAGCATCGGTCACTTGTCGCGACCACTATTGGCGCACCCTTGGAGCGTCCCTGGCTGAACGCGCCTCCTTCTTCCAGAGCAAATCTGCACTGAGCAAACTCGCGCGTTACCTTTCCCCGACAGCCAGCCAGCCGCGCCCCTCCAGTATGGACTTCTTCACTTGTCTGCATACTTCTCGCTCCAAGCCTGGAGTGCGGAACACTGATCGTACGTAATAGCTACAAAATCATCCTGGGCGATCTTTTCCCGCTGCACTTAGCGGCCGGCGGCGACGGCCATCGGCGAGCGGATGACACCAGTGTTGGCAATGATCGCCTTGGTCTCGAGGTAGTTGAGAAGGACGGCTTCTCCGTTTTCACGCCCGATGCCGCTCTGCTTGAATCCTCCGAAGGGGACGGTGGGCGAGGTGTAGTTGTAGAGGTTGTTCCAGACGGTGCCAGCACGAATGGCCGTGTTCATGCGCATGAGGCGCTCGTTGTTGTGCGAGAAGACAGCCGAGGCAAGACCGTAGGTCGTGTCGTTGGCGATCTTGATGGCCTCCTCCTCGTCCTTGAAGGTCTGGATCGAGACGACGGGACCGAAGACCTCGTTGGCGAGCACAGAGTTGCCGGGCTTGACGTTGGTGAAGACGGTGGGGCGGAGGTAGTAGCCGTCACCGAGGTCCTTGATCTCGTCACCGCCGGTGGCGAGCTCGGCGCCCTCCTCGACAGCACGCTTGATCCAGTCCTTGACCTTGCCAAAGTGGCCCTCCGACTGCAGGGGACCCTGGGTGGTCGACGGGTCGAAGGGGTCACCGACCTTGATGCCCTTCATGAGGTTGACGAACTCGCGGGTGAACTCGTCGGCGATGCCCTCCTGGACGAGAATACGAGAGCCGGCAACACAGACCTGACCGACGTTCATCTCAATACCGAACAGCGCCCACTCAGCCGCCTCCTTGACATTGGCGTCGTCGACTGGGGGCGTCAGCGTCTGGAATTCTAGGAACGGGGCGCGGGAAGCTAGACCTGAGGAAGCTTCTCTGTATGCCCTCTTGGGCGCAACTCACAGATGATGTTGGGCGACTTGCCGCCGAGCTCGAGGGTGACACGCTTCAGGTTGCTGTCAGCGGCAGCCTTGAGGATCTTGCGGCCGACGGCACCAGAGCCGGTGAACGCGACCTTGTCGACGTCCATGTGGTCGGCAATGGCCTGGCCGGCGGTGTGGCCGAGACCGGGTGATGAGGTTGAAGACTCCAGGAGGGAAGCCAGCCTCACGAACCAGCTCGGCGATGCGGAGAGCGGAGAGAGGGGTGCTCTCAGCGCTCTTCAGCACGACAGTGTTGCCGCACGCGAAAGCGGGGCCGATCTTCCACGAGAGCATGGAGGCTGCGACTTAGCTAAGGGAGACAGTAGTCGAGCTTACCAGGGAAGTTCCAGGGGATGATCTGGCCGCAAACACCGACGGGCTCAAGCTTGGTGTAGGCGTGGGCGCCGGGGACCGAGTTGTAGGTGTGGCCCATAATCTTGTCCGCCCATCCAGCGTAGTAACGGAGGGTGGTGATGACGCCGGGAATGTCCTTGGTCTTGGCGTCCGAGAAGAGCTTGCCGGTGTCGGTTGCCTCGAGAGCGGCGAGCTCGTCGAGGTTGGCCTCAACGAGGTCGGCGAGCTTGTTCAGGAGCTTGGCGCGCTGACCAGCGAATCCGAAGCCCCAGGCGCGGTTGTTGGCCTCGTAAGCGGTACGGGCAGCCTTGACGGCGGCATCGACATCGTCGGCGTCACCCTGGTAGATCTCGCCGATGACCTTGCCCTTGGCGGGGTTGTATACCTCGAGCTTCTTGCCCGCCTTGGAAGGGACGAACTCGTTGTTGATGAACATTCCATGGTGGAGGTTGACGGTCTTGCCGTTACCCAGCTCGAGGGAGACGGTGGGCTCGTTCGACTTGGTCATGGTGGTTTTCTGTTGTCTCTCGGTGAAGGATGAGGATGAGGGAGAGGTGGAAGAAGCTAAGAGACGGCGGTGCCCACCAATGCTTATTAAACCAGCAGGCAACACGCCCAGAAGGTCGCACATGACGCATTAGCCGGCCCCCGGGGGCATGGAGGTACACGTTGAGGGCGGGCACGATGGGGTAGTGGTCTCGGGCTAACCAAGCCAAGCCTTCAGCCATGCGCACGCCAGAGGAGCCCAGCTAGCCCAGAGAGAGGCCAGAGGTGGGCTAACGGGCAGATAGCCCGACAATGCCATGGTCAAGCGTGAGAAGGGCCCAACCCTCGAATGCCGTCAAATCGGGCAGTGTGCCTACCGTGCCTGGTCGCATCTGGCCGATATCGCCATATTAATACCCGGGCACCTATGCCTCAGTCACGTGTTTTCCTCAAACGCACACCCGGGTTCCTGCATTCCGCACCATCCATCCGCACTCCAGGCTCGACGCGTCTCGACCCCACACGCTCTGCGTACTCCGAGTTCCGACGGAGACCTGCTCCAGCATGTGTCTGCCTCAGTGACAGATCTTTTCTGTGCGGGCGCCGAAAAACATAGAACGCCTTACGAGAACTGGCTGCCGCGAGTACATGCATACATGCCTATTATACAACAGCGTTGCGACAGCGTCTTGGCTTCTCGGAGCCCCTGATCAACGGACTTCGAGATACAGCTACTCTGCACGTAGGCGCCCACCTTGCTCTCAAAAACTTGGCTGGTCTGTCACTCCAAATGCTTCCACCTCGAAGTTGGCAAAGCAGGAGGGCTGAGGAGCCTCGCATCGTTGGCTGAGGGTTGCGTCGACGCTACGGGCTGGGTCTGGGTGGCGGCAGGACGTCCAGAGTTAGAGGGGCGGCCGCGTTTCATGGGCCGAGCCGTTGAGCTGGACCGATTATTCCGTTGCTGACGAGACTGTTTCGCGGCCTTGTTTTGGCGAGAACGAGCGACGTGCGTTGGAACGGCAGTCTCTTCCTCGTCAGACCAAGACAGCTGGTCGACATCCTCTTCGCCTTCCTCGTCTGTCTCGTCCCGGGGGATCTGCGGTTGAGAGTCGTCCAGGACACGGGGCATCGGGGAAGTTGACGAAGATGTGATCCCACTCGGACGCTGGACTTGCTGCGGCCTGGAGCTTGCATCAACGGGCGGCCTTGCCAGCCACCTCTCGATCGCTGCGTCGTCGGAATCGTCGTCGGAGAGGAGACTGATAACCGGCACACCCTTGGGCAAACGGAAGGCGGAGTCGGGATGAGACGAGGAAGATGGGCGAGGGTAGCGAGGACGTTTCAGCTGTCGAGTGGGCGAGAGCGGGATGGAGTGAAGCGTCGCAGGAGCTTTCGTCGCTGCGGGCGAGCCATTGTTCGACTTTGTCTTCGTGCGACCCTTCTTGCCACCGTTCTGAGAGGTTGACGCTGATGACACCTTGAAAGCGAGCGTTGTCTGTTCCTGATCGGGGGGGATGATAATGGCATTCTCCTTTGTACTGGCGTCCGCGTATCGCATGAGGAAGCGTTTCAGCTCTGACTTGTTCTTGATCTTGAGGGCGCCGGTGAGTCCATGTTCTCCAGCGACAGCGTGTAGTTCGTCGACCGTCTGCAGTGTCAGCTGGAGGGTCTGAAGCTAAACGGACCTTTCCGGCGAGATACGCCTCTGTGATCGGTATCTTCTCCCTTTTGGTTATGATCATTGTTGAGCCCGAGATCTGGACAGAATTTGGGACACGGTGCAGTCGAGGATCGAGGAAGGCGGAGAGTGAGACGTTGATGTGTGAGTTGCAAACGAACCGCACCGATCACTCGCTCTCTGACCCACCGATCACTTGTCGCTGGGCGCAATGTCTTCCTCGACCACTAGGTGACTGCGCGGGCACCAAACGCGGGCGGCAAGAAAGCGCTGCAGGCATGCAGGCGACGCCTCTCGCTCGTCAGATGTCTGAGAATGCTAGTGCAGTGCGAGATCCTGAGAGCCCCATGTTCCAGAACCATTACCCAGCGTACATATCTACAGAAATGAGGGATAAAACGGCCAACTGTTTGAGGGTCACGCCGCAATGAGGAGGCCCAGAGACGCTAGACGGCAGTCCTGCTGCGCCCCCAGGCCCCCGACAGTCGATCATGGTTGACTCACCTGGAGACAGTAATATTTGGCCGCCCAAAGTTGCTTGGAGACCCCTCTTGCGTTTATGCAACAGTGGCACCCCGCGCTTGCTCAAACCAAGAAGCAGCTGTTAACAGCCAATCAATATGGAGACATAGGAGAGCGACTCAAGAGGAAGGTGCCAAAGGCGCGGAGCCCCGTAAACAACACGAAAGATCACCGCTTATCGCTCGCCTGCGAGAAAGTTAAACTCCCTGGACTATCATTAGTACTGATCGAGGGGCCCTTCGGTCACTGCACAACCCATTCATATCGAACTACTGAACAAAGCCTGCCTTTTCCGGCTCAGTATACCCTAGGAGCGATTATTACGAGAACTGTTGACAAAAGAGAGTGGGAACATTGCGGAGCCCCCGGTGCGAGGTGCGAGCAGCGCGGGTGACGGTCCGCCTTATCATTTGCGACTTTACTGAGCGATGACACCCTGGTCGGTGACGGTGATCTTCCTGAGCTTCTTGGAAGCCTTGACGGGGTTGGGCTGCTCATAGATGTAGTCGAGCTCCTCGAGGGTCTTGCCCTGCGACTCGACACCGAAGAGGTACCAGCAGACAGCCTCGACGCAGTCCCAGCCGACGAAGATGAAGATGGTGCGGTAGCCGATGTTCTCGAGCGAGATGGGCATGCAGAACTGGTTGATGAAGCCCATGCCCGAGACGATGAAGCCGGAAGCAGCGAGACCCTTGGCGCGCATGGTCGTGCTGAGCGACTCGACCGGGACGATGCCCTGGAGAGGAGTGTAGGTGGTGGAGAACGCGCAGTTGAAGAGGAAGTACATGGCGAGCGCACCCTGGCCGACAGCCTTAGAGACGTAGCGAGTGGGGTCACCGACAGCCTCACCGCGCGCAGTCTGCTTGCCCATGACCTCGGCAAGACCACCGTTGATGCCAAGGAAGACGGCACAGATGAAGGTACCGAGAGGGAGAATGGCGCGGCGAGGAACGCGGTCGGCGACAGTAGCGGCCGAGATGGCGCAGAAGGCTGAGATGCACTGGTTGAGGAGGTTGTAGCCGAGCTGGCCAGCGGCGGTGTTGACACCGAGCATCTCGGAAATGACAGTGTTGAAGTAACCGAGACCGTTGCCAGAGAACTGTGACGTCAGATTTTGTTGATAAGATTGTAACCCACCTGACCGAAGACGGAGATCATGAGGACCTGGGCCATGCGCCAGCGACCGCCGCGGGTCAGGAACAGAGGGCGGTAGTCCCACCAGCGCTTGTCGATGCCGTCGAGGGAGATGGCGTTCTTCATCTCCTCGTACTCAAACTTGACGAGGGGCGAGTCGGGGTTGCCGTTGCCGTGGAAGCGGATGAGGAAAGCGAGCGCCTCCTCGTCGCGGCCGTTGGCCATGAGGTAACGGGGAGACTCGGGGACGATGAAGACCAGGAACATGACAATCACAGCGCAGACAGCCTGGAGGATGACCGGGATCTGCCACTGGAGGTTGCTGCCCATGTACGAGCAACCGAAGGTGATAGCCGCGGCAGGAACCGAGCCACCGAACCAACCGCCTATCAGTCAGCTAGAGCCCTGTGGCGAAAGTGCCACTCACAGTTGTAGAGACCAGTAGCCCTGGAGCGCCAGCTGGGAGGCGCGACCTCCATCGAGTAGGCAGGAGCGGCAACGGTCATAAGACTGATGGCGGCACCAAGAATGAAGCGGCCGACAACGAACTGGGCAACGTGCTTCGAGGTGACCATGACGATCATGCCGATGCAGATCACAACCGCGCCCACAAACATGGCCTTGCGACGACCGTAGCGGTCAGACATGATAGCAGCGAACGGAGCAGCAAGCATGGAGCCGACAGTGTAGAGCGAGAAAATGACGGAAACAACGGGGCCAGTAGTCTTCTTCAGGCCGAAAGTCTGCTGGTAGTGGGGCATCTGTCGTTAGCGGAGTCGAGTCAGTCCACCTACGGCAAGCATTCCAGTCATGAGCGAACCGTCGTAACCATTGGCGAAGGCACAGCAACAAGCACAGAAGACCGAGACTAAGGTTAGTCGGCTCCGGATTCCCGGTTTTTCCAGGCAACTCACGGTAGAGAATCCAAGAGTCCTTGCTCCATCTCGGCATCTCAGACGGCATCATCGTGAACTGAGGCTCATCCTGACGTTAGCCACTGCCGCGAGTTCGGGTGCTAGATGCGATGCTCACTCCATGGCTGTAGTCGAGCTTCGTCGGGCTCCTGGTGCCGTCGTCATTGTGGTCGAGGTCGTACTTCTGCTCGATGTCGGCCATTGTTGTGATTGTCGGTCTTGTGGTCGTGGGTTGGAGATCAGCATGACCAAGGTCACATCCTTTTATAAACAGGTCGGCGGCGAGATCTTCGTGCAACGCGTGACTGGAAGCGGCCCGCGAGCACTCAGTGGCTAGTGAGCCGACGCGCTCTGGGACCGATGCGGGGCGGCTGTGGTGTCCCGCGAGCTTGAACTGGCCCGTCCCTTGTGATCCAGCTAGCGCCTCCCCCAACAGAAGGGCCCGAATCGGGCTGAGGCCCCACGCTGGCGGCATGCTGGCTGGCGGATGCTGGACCTCGGCGCATTCTCTGGGCCGGCGCTAGTGCCGGGTGCTAAATCTGGCCGGCCAGGCCGACATCGGTGAATTAAGTTTGGTCCAAGGCGAAGGTCGGGGGTGGTGGAGACCCACAATCGGGCCTGCGGATAAGGATGGCCCATCGTCGTCTACAGAATGTTGATGCATTGGGCTTCACAGTTGATTGAGGACGCCAGCGTTGACGATGCAGGAAAGGCCCGGTGCACGGACCGTGCCGGTCAACACTCAAAACTACTTCCCTCTCCGGATTCACCCCTCCCCGGCCTGAAGTGGCACTCATTCCCCAGGCTCCACTTTCGGTGCGTACCTGCTTGGGATGATCTCTCTTCAACAACCCCAGGAATCTCAACAGACCCGCGATGGCAGCTCCGCACTCCTGACTTCTTCCCATGGATCTCTTCAAGAGAAGATCCCATAGGCCGCCACCATTCCGGCCGCTCACGGACAGCGGAGCCTCGCTGCGGGTGGTCAAGAGCAAGTCTGCTCACAGTCCGGGTTTCGCGCATCTTTCCGATATGTTTGAGTCTGCTACTCAGGCAACTCAGGCGGCGGCAATGGTGGGAGAGATGCATCGAAGGCAAGCGGAGGATGAGTACAGCGGCTCCCCGACAGCGCCCTATTCCGATCCTCTGTGGTCGTCTGCTGCTCCGAGAAACACGCGTTAGCCTTAGCTCCAATCACATGCAAACGGCTACGTCGGGCGAGGGGTTCCTACATCGTGCGGAGCAACTCTGACGGCAAGGACAAAGGCAACATGATCAGGCCTGAGACAGCATCTGGCGGAATCGGGCCATTCCTGGTCGCCCGTGCCTACGGCCCGAGCTTGGTCTTCGAGGTCCTGCCGATAACGGCACATTTACCGGCCGGCGTGACCATTGTGTGACGCGGTCACGTGCAGTTATCTTAACGGCAGCCTCAACTAAGGGTGGCCATGTGTAGCACACGCTGATGACTACTCACGGAGTTTGCACGTGTTTAACACGTGCTATCGGCGTTACGGGACTGCGCGCATAACGCCGATCGCGGAGCAAAGTTACGTAAGCATTTGTGTGTCTCGCTCCACTGGGTTGCGCACATGACATTACCTCGGCGGTTCTCCCATCTTCTCTTCTCTTAAGTCACTTAACACACAAACTCAAGGTGAGATAGCCAGCACCACCAGGAGTCCGACCAGCCAGCGCGACGCGACGACGACGATAACCGGTCTCGACTTGTTCATCGCCCGCGTTGTGCAACCTCGTCGATTCTGCTGCGACTTCTTCCCGTGTGACTCGTGCTGACATTGCTTCCCTCCTTCCGCGACTTGACTCGTTTCATCATCTTATCGCGACTTTTTGGTGGAATCGAACTACAGATGCGTGACAAGTGGCGCAAGAAGCGCATGCGCAAGCTCCGTCGCAAACGCAGAAAGATGCGTGCCCGTTCCAAGTGAGTGGCGATGAAATGTTCTCTCGTGAACCACAGCTGACATGACAGGTAAACGACTCGCATAGACCATGGCCTTGCCCCTGAGGCATGAGTCACAACCACCGCTTTGGAGCCGACTGCTCCCGCACGACGCACCGAATTGATGGGGACTGGAGCATGTCTTAAGACTCGGTCACCTATGCACCCCCCCCTGCTTAGCCTGAAGGAAGTCTTGTAACAAAGAGATGAAATTTGTGCGAAGCGTCTGCTGGAACCGCTGCTACTGCTACTAATCTGTGCGCGTACATGAGAAAAATATGAATGCGCCTCGCACCGTTTCCTGAATCTGCAATGGAGCGACGGCGTCGGCGTCGGCGAAGGGCGAGGAGGGCCTGCGTCGCACCAGGTAGTGGTGCAGTGCGAGCGAATGGGGAGGGATCTGTGCCTGTAGTTCGCCCCGAGTGTCTAGCTATGGAGCTCTGCAATCGAGTCGCGCGCGACGTGCCAGATCCCCCAGGCCGAGACCCGTCGGGCTATGGATAGCAGCAATCGTGCAGCCCAGCGCGAGTCGGAGTACCAGCGCTCGGCAACCATGAAAGGGTGGTGTGCAGCTTAGAGAGGGGTCGAGGCACGTGATCTGGAAATTGTGGAGGTCGTCCAAAGTCAGAAGTTGGCCTGACGCCATCGCGAACTGGTCCGACCGCGAGCACTGCACTACGCCCACAATCCCTGCAGAATAATGGTGAGCTTGAGATGGCGTCTGGAGCTGACATTGACAGTCAAACGACGAGGTATGTTCAGACTCCCTTCGCGCGGCCAAATGGTCGTTGCGCCATCTTCAACCCCGAAGTCGTACTGACCATGGTTCAGCACCCCTCGAAGCGCCCTCGCCCGAATGTCGGCTCCGCTCTGCGACGCGGCCCGCCGGGTCCCGATTTTGCAAAGGGCGTGAAGTACTGGGACGAGATTGATGCGACCGTCGACGGCATGCTTGGCGGCTTCGGCACCGGCGTGAGTTGTTCGTTAAGAGGCCTCAACTAACAGCAGCCTGTCCCGCACATCGACCAACTGTCGTCGCGTCTGTTCCTCCTCTCCCTCCTTCCTCAGCTTGCCACCTTCCCCAACCCACTCACCCCGTCGCCGCCATCCCAACGCCCGCCATACCGCCTCACTGCCCTTGACGTCGGCGCTGGTATTGGCCGTGTCACGTCCACCGTGCTGCTACCGCTGTTCGACGATGTTGTGACTACGGAGCCGGTCCAGCACTTCGTCGAGGAGGCTGAGCGTGCTGCGTCTAGCGGAGAGTGGAGGGAGCTGCCGCGCCTGGTCGGCAAGGTGCGCGACCCTGACGAGCAGAAGGAGCGGGAACGCCGCATCGCGGAGTGGAATCGGGGTCGTGGCAAGCGCGTCTGGGTTGTCCGTGCGGGCCTGCAGAACCTCGACCCCGCCTACCCGACGCGAGGAGGAAACCAGAGCCTCGGCGTCATCGGCGAGGCAAGGGAGGGCGACAAGGGTAACTTTGGTGAGGAAGGTAACATCCAGTATGATGTGTGAGTAGCTGTAAGCCTTGCCTCGTGAAGCTGACGTCGCAGTATTTGGTGCCAGTGGTGCCTCGGTCACATGGGCCACAACGATCTCGTCTCCTTCTTGCGCCGTGCCAAGGCTGCGCTCCGACACCCCTCCGACATGGCGGACGATGAGCAGGCTGAGTACGGCAAGCCGATCATCGTCGTCAAGGAGAACTGCTGCGAGGACAGCCCTGAAGGCGGTCCGAATGAGTTCCTCGACGAGGAGGACTCCAGTCTCACCAGGTACGTTCCAGCTGGTCGACGCCTCAACGCGAAGTTAACTAGCAGATCTAACGGGAAGTGGCTCCAGGTGTTCGAGGAGGCCGGCCTGCGCGTCATCAAGGAAGAAGTCCAGGAGGGACTCCCGCAGGAGCTCTTCACGGTCAAGACTTGGGCTCTGCAGTAGATGTTTGTACATTTCATACTAGGTTGCATGGGTTTCGTGTTCTCTATATGCTGGGAGCCTTGACGGATTCGGTTACGTATATGTTAGATGGTCAGTGCACGAAAGTAGAGGGTCAGACCGACTATGGAGTGTACAGCGAAGAGACTCAGCGCGGCCTGCGCTTATGTTGGCCACAATGTGCACTGGTGCAAGCCTGATCGCCTGACGAAGCGGCAGACGAGGCGTCGATCTAGACAAAGTCGAGACGGATTGAGGACAGAGGCAGTAGTAAGGGGTGATGCGATGAAGGGCTGGCCCGCGCACCTGGGCGCCCATCCTAAGCAGCCTGAGCGGCGACTCAACTACGTCTGTCTCCGCAGCCTCACAACACTGCACAATAAAGTAAACACAAGCATGACAACCATGTACCCAGAGGGCGTCCCAACATGCATGCCGCTCGCCTCGCGCCTCGGTGCCTCATAGCGCCTCGTTGCAATAAGGGCAACCGCACGTGACTGCGTCTCACGTGGAGGGATGCCACAAGTGCCACATTTTCGCTTTTCGTCGAAACGCCGCATCTGAGCCAGCTCTCGACCTAAACTGCTATTGCTGGTGTCGGTAGTCCTCCCAACCATCAAGCGATCAGGTGAGTGCGCCAGCGACGACGACGACGACGAGCACTGTGCTGACCTTGCGATCCGCTGTTGTGACTGCCGCCTCTACGATTCTTGTGTGCTTTTCCCCGATCTCGAACCTCGAAATACCGACCTGTACCACGGCCCTGCCCAAATCTTCAAATCTTCGACGGCTTGTTCCATTTCAAACTTTCGACCGCAACAACTCCCAGTCAAGATGCCTTCGCACATTCCCATTGTCAAGAAGAGGACGAAGCACTTCAAGCGTCACCAGTCTGACCGCTACCATGGTGTCAAGGAGTCCTGGAGGAAGCCCAAGGGTATCGACAACCGCGTGCGTATCAATCGACGGAAGGAAGATTTGCTGGATCTGGGATTTGGACCTGGGATTGCTGGGAAGGAACGGGAACTGCGAACACTGCGACAGCGGTGCTGCATCGGCGCTCTGCTTGTTGTTTTGCTTGCTAGAGAGCGTCACACCATGCTGTTGTGGGCGTGCAAATGCTGTCCTGCGTCCTTCCGTTCAGCGTCTCGTGATCCCCAGACGGAGCATCTGTCTTGCCTCAACGGTGTACTAGAGCTATTGCTGACTTTGCCAGGTTCGTCGTCGCTTCAAGGGCCAGCTCCCCATGCCCAAGATCGGTTACGGCTCGAACAAGAAGACCCGCCACCTGATCCCCTCTGGCCACAAGGAGGTCCTCGTCCACAACCTCGCCGACCTCGAGCTCCTTCTCATGCACTCGAACCAGTACGCCGCTGCCATCGCCCACGGTGTCTCGTCCAAGAAGCGCATTGAGATCCTCTCGCGCGCCAAGATCCTCGGCGTCAAGGTCACCAACGCCGCCGCCAAGCTCCGCACTGAGGAGGCCTAAAAAGGTTGATCCGACCTAGACGGGAGCGATGTATGACTGGTTGCATATAGGACAGAGAAGGAAGAAGGACATGCGTGTCCGGAGCATCATCTGCTGATCACTGACGCGATGGAGAGGAAGGAGACTGATTCTGCAGATGGACAAATCTGCGCTTTCGTTGTGAGGCACAGGCACTTGCAGCCAATGTGCCAGTCAGTCGTGTGTGCGCGTGACTTCCCTTCGTCACAACTAGCCACTGCGACTTGGCGTGTCAACAAGAACAAGATTCTTTCCGAGCAACCCGCGACATCTCTCTACAACTAATCTAGTTTCTACAATCGGGACACGACCCTCGTCTTCGGCGCAAACTTCTCCATGCCCGGTCCGAGGCCAACGGGCAGCTCGTCCTCGGGCGAGTGCTCCTCCATGTCTCCCTCGTCCTGGCTGTTAGCTTTTTCATCGCGGCGATGCCAGCTGTGGCAGGTGCGAGACTCACGTCGACGACTTCTCCATTCTCGAGCTCGACTGCGTCAAACTGTTCGTCAGCATGCGTGGATATGAGGGGTAAACCTACACTCCAGTCGCGCTCCAGTCCGAGAGGCAGGTAGTCTGTCCTACCGTTCCAGATCTGTTCAAAGTGGTCACCCGTTCCGATACGCTTGTACAAGGAGGTGCAGGCGCATGCGGCAGTCACCTCACGTTTCGGGTCGCCGGTGAGCTTGTTGTCAGCGTGGGTCTTCCATTATCCTCCTCCGCTCTGTTCCTCCCCCTCCGCGTCAAAGTCTACTCACAGCACGTCCAAGGGCAATGACGGTAGCAGCATGCGCAAAGATGACAACTGACCGGACGCCCTCCTCGTCCATCCTCCTCACGAACGTCTTCGCGAACAAGTCGAGTCGGTCATGCACCTCCCTCAAACTCTCCCCCCGTCGGGACGGGTACACAGTACTAGTGTACTCCTCATTGATGAGCCCCGGGGGAAAGTGCTTCGACATGCTCGCCGCACCCTCCACGATGGGCCGGGGGTGGAGCCCAGTCCCCGGCGCAGCGTGCGAGTACCACTCGGCGGGCCCGTGGTCGAGGTGGATCTGTTTCTTGAGTTTCAGCGCGAGCGGCGCCGCAGTCTGCACACAGCGATACCACGGCGAAGCGACTATCTTCTCCGGCACGGGGTATTCGCGAGGCGTCGTCAGGAATACGGCCAAGTCGTCAGACTGGTTCAGGCCATGCGCGGCGAGCTGGGGATGAGGTTAGCGCACCAGCCAAACGGGCGGCACTGCTGTGCTGTGCTGTGTCCCCCTCTCGTAGCGTTCACTCTCCACACGTGCCGATCTCACGCACTGCTCCCAAACCCTCGTCACACAGCGACAGCCCTCGCGCCTCACAGAGGTTGCAGAAACGCAAGTGGGCACTTACAGGATGGTCCCGGATCAAGTCCGTCGGTGCCTTCTGCCATCCGTCCGGCTGCCAATTCGCCCTTGCTGTCAGTTACGCACGCCCCTTGGCAGACATACCGGAAGCCGTGGCGGCACACGTAGATATACTCGAGCATGGCGAGGTAGTGGTGAAGTGAAGTGTGCGGTGCCGACAAGAGATGGCCGCAGGAAGCAGTAAGTGACCGGCTGTGGACGTACCCGCACCACCCACTGGCTACTGGCCGATTCGGCTTTCGCCGCCGGGCAGGTGCGGTCAGGACGCGAGGTGAAGAAGGGTCGGGTTTTGGGCCGATCTGCCACCGCTAGACCGCTCCGCATGCAAAAAGTTCTGCTGAGGCTTGATCACAACACGACTGCGATTGCGGACTGATTAGATACGATCGAGACATGCATGGTTCTGAGGACCTCTTCTCGAGCATCAGCTCCGCGTATGCTATCACGCTGACTATGCCCTTTGCAGCTCTTTAGCACCACTGACTCCGCAGCGATCGAATCCTCGGCACACGACTAGCTAGCTGCTCTGCACCCCACACTCCCAGTCAGTAACCTGCATCGACCAGCTCATGGATGGCAATTGTACATCGCTGAAATACCTATGCTACCGCCTATATCCACGGAAACCTAGATATCCCAAACGTCGGCCCCGCATGCTGCCCCTAAATGCAAACAAGAACGACGTGTTTAGTAGCCGAACTTGGCGAGAGTCTCGTTCTGGGGAACAGAGGCGAGGGCCTTGGCGCGGACCTTGCGAGCAGCCTGCTTGCGCTCGAAGTAGGCCTGGCCCTTGACCTTCCTCTTCTCCTCGAGACGGTCGACAACGTCCTTGTAGCCCCATCCGACCTCGTGCGAGATGCGCTTGAGGGTGGCGTACTTGCGGCCGGGCTTCAGGCGGAGGACACGGAGGGCGGCGGGGACGACGACCTTCTTGACCTTGTCCTGGGCAGGGGGGACACCCTCGTAGAGCTCAAGGCGGCGGAGGGCGGCGGCACCACGCGAGGTCTTGTGGGGGACCATACCGCGGACAGCCTTGTAGAGGATGCGCGAAGGAGCACGGTGGTGGAAGGGACCGGACTTCTTGGGGTTGACAATGTGACGCTTGTGGAGGTAGGCGTGGTACTTGAGCTTGTTACGGAAGAACGAGCCCGAGACGTTGATCTCCTCGCAACGGACGACCGAAACCTTCTGGCCGGAAAGGATCTGTACACGGAAAGTCGTGGTTTATCGAGTTGAAGCGCGAGCAAAAACATTGAGCGTTGCAGACGACGAGAGGAAGACATGTGGTTAGCACCTGTATCGCGAAAATTGTTGCTAGATTTCGGCAGCATGTCTCCCCGAAAGGAAAGGACCAAACTTCACACGACCTTCACACCTCCAGCTCTTCTTCCCTTCCCCTCTGCGTATCGCGACGCGCAGCTGCAGCAGCACGCCGTTCCACGAGCGGCGCTCATTCTTCCCAGCTCCATCCTTCCGCTTCCAGACCGTCCCTTCAAAATTCCTTCTCTCCGTGGTCCTTTCCTTCCTGAATCCAGCTGTCCTTCGAGACACTAACCTGCTTGGCGAGAACCGAAGCAAGACGACCAAGGAGGTGGCCCTTGCCGTCAATGACGATGGGCGTAGACGAGATGGTCGACATTTCTGTTTCGTTGCAACAATCGGGTGTGTGGTGCAGGTTCAAAATTCGCGAGTTCAAAGTTTCGAGTGGGATTATATCGGGTCACGGGCGGGTTTTGGGAGCAGCAAGCGGGTCGGGTGTTCGCGGTTTCGGTCGGCGGGGAGGATCAGGTCAGCACCGGCGTCGGGGTCGTCGTCGCAGTACGCACTTTTGGGGTTACCTTGAGGGATGGAGGAGAAGGACCGACCTGGCTAACGTCCGATGAAGCTCGCTGGCACACTTCCAAGACACACCGCGACGGGACCAATTCCTCCCACCCAGCGAAATCAAAACCGCCCTAGTGCTTAACGCCGACCGTGCCTGGAATGCTGCCCACGTGGCGTAAGCGACAGTTTCGACTGTTTTTGCTTTACGTAAGAGCGAGCTGCACAATGGACCTTCCTTGCTCATCTGCGATCGACATGGGGGGGTCTGTGCAGCGCGTGTGTCTGGGCGCCGCCTGCTGCGGCTGTTTCATGTGCTCGACGCGCCTCAGCAACGCGACAATCCCTTGCTTCCGTCTCATGTCACTCATCTGCATCGGACGTGCCCGCCTCTTGACTACGGCTGACTCGAGGCAGTAGCAGAACAACGAGTGCATCGTGCATGCTCTTGGGAGGTCTGGAGCTTGAAGCTCTGTGCTGACTACTTATTCCTTTACACTTCGTGCTCAGAGAGGTAACCCCAGCATGTGACCTTCACTGGAACGCATATCGTGGCTCCAGCAGGCTGGCACAAGCCCTCGTCGATCTGGCGGTGTACGGCGCACAGCTGTGCCAGCGCTTGCCTGGAGCAACGGTCTTTGTGCGCCGGACCTGACACAGTCCCCGGGGAAGTGGTACGCTTCGTCTTGCCAGTCAGGTCAACTTGAAGCTCAAAGTCCCAAGTCAGTGACACCGAGGGTCCCTCGGCCCTCGGGGTGCAGCGCACACTGAACGATGGATCTGTAACAATGAAAAGAGTACGCAACGCAACTTTAGGCACACGTATGTGGGTACGCCCCAGCGGTGCGCCTGCCTGGTGTGAGTATTTGAGCCTAACTCAAACATCTGCTCCTTGGTAATGAAGCTTCGGGGTGCTGCATTGTTGCGTGGTACGAAGCGCTGTTTCGGTTTTCGAGCTGCAGTGGGTAACAGGTACGGGACGATGTCGCAGGGCTTGCAAGGGTCCACTCTGCGCGCTGCGGTGATATGCAGTTCTACTGCAACTGAGGAAGAAGGAAAGGAAAGGGAATGGGCGGCAGAATTCCCCGGCGCGTCGAGACCGCAGGCCGTAGGCTGCGTGCGAGCTGAGCATAATCAGCTTGAACGAGGCACAGAGAGGGCCGGACGCTGAAGGGAACGGCAATTCATAGGGTTCCTTTTCGTTCGCGTTCTGCATATCTGATTTGAGAAGTGGAACGCGTCCTCTGCTGCTTCTCCTGCGGCTTATCTCGTGCACTTCCTGGGCAGTGGAGGTACCGTTTCCCCGGGTTTTGTCCAGTCGCAGCTCTTCCTCCCCGCCACATTGCCTGACCCGTCGTCGACTTGGAGCAGGCCAAGGTCTTCTGCTTCTTCTGCTTGTGAAAGTAATGCCAGCCCGAAGCAATTCTGATGAATCACAGAATCCCAATTAAGCTTCCGCGATCATGAGAGACATGACTGTCTACATTCAACGTGTGACAGAGGGACAGACACACAAAGGTATGGCAGCAAGCGAATGTGTCATGTAGTCTCAGAGTTAAAGTATTGAGGTGTGCGATGCATTGAAAGGTCTGGATGACGAGCATGAACATGCAAGGAGGATGCAGAACCAAGGTAACTATGGGGATAAGATTCAAGCTTTACGTCAACGGCAACGGCCCTGAGCTGAATTCTGGAGGGCGGCGGGCGCTTCACGGTGTGCGGCGCGCGGATCGAGACTCGCGGACTGGCGGCTGCGAGTAAGCGGCACGGAGGCTTGGTACCTTTCTCAAGTAAGTTTGGAAAGTGCACGGTGGACGGAGAGCTGGCGTACTGGTGCGTGGCATGCGTGGGTTGATGCACGGAGCGCGTAGCAAGTGCATAGTGTGGGTGCGGGGACCGAGAGAGATGGTGTTGCTCGGGAAGCATGGAAGCAGGGGCATGTGGGCCTGGGGAGAGATCGATGGGCCTGCAATCGGCGTCGGTGGCTCAAAAAGTCGCCCACGCCCTGGCCAGGTCCCTGGCTGGCATCCTCCAATCTCGCGCCCCGATCCCTCGATCCTCACCCCCTCCCACCCCTCGGCGTCCGCAGCAGCATGGCACGGCATGGCAGGCAGCACGGCACAACGGCACAACGGCAGCACCCATCACCCATCACCCTCACCCTCACGCCGTCCACACACACCGATCCACACCCGGTCCCACCGATGCTCGACATCCCGCCCTCACATCCACCTCCTCTGCCTGTACTATAGATCGTCATCCTCCTTGTCTGTCTATCCGGCACACCACAGTCCACACTCACCGACTCTCCTTCTCGCGTCACCATCACATTCGCTTTCCGATCTCTGACCCCCTGCCGCCCCGCCCGCCGCACACCACCGACGACGTACCGTTCCCGCCCGTCCCGCTACCCTTCCAACTGTCCTCCCAACTTTCTCCCCCACCGACATTTCTCTTTCTCCACCATCCTCGCGGCTACCACAACGCTCGCCGGTCGCAACGTCACCATCAGCCGCATCCTTAGTAACGACTCTGTGATTTCCACGAACTTCACGACGTCGGTGGTACCGCACCGATAACGCCCAGCGCGCTCGAGCCTCTCCTCCGGGCGTCACCTCGTGCTCTCTGCGATACCTCCACTGGCACGGCGCACAACATCAGCAACATCGACACGGCTCCGTCCTGTCCTTGTGTTCACCGCCTCGAACCTACGGCGTAGGCATTCATGTATTCCGAAGGGAGGATCCAGAGCGGGCCGCAGAGTGTAAACGGCGCGTCGGATACAGGCAGCTACTCCCCACCGGACAGTCCCCAGCCGGTGACACCGAGCCAAGGCTCGCCTCCTTTCGCTGGCATGAGCACGCTCACCAGTGCTGAAGACCGCAAGGGCGGTCACGACTCGACAGACGATCTTGGCCGCGAAAATGAGCGGAGACTACCCCCGCTGAGCATCAACACGTCCGGACCCTCCGGAAGTGACTCTCCCCATTCGTTACCTTCACCTTCTGCGCCACACTTTACAGGACGCGCTTTCTCGCCCAAGCATGGCGCATTCGCTTCAGGCTCATCAGCGCACACGCTCGACGGATACCGGGAACGGTCGGGCCATCGCAATGGTTCGGACGATGGATATGGAATCGATGAGAAGGCAGACACGCCAATCGTCAAGCCGCCATCACCCTACGACCAGCCGTACAGCTCGCGGCCTCTGACGTCCAAGGGACTCGGAATGTCGCCGGCGACGCAGAAGTGGTTCGAGTCGACACCGGTGTGGCTCGGGATGTACTTCTTCTTCAACCTCGGGCTCACGTTGTTCAACAAGCTCGTCTTGGTCTCGTTCCCATTCCCCTACGTGAGTGACGCAGTTCGGATCCATGGATCTGGAATGCGAGAATCTGGGGCGCGGGGCGGAAATGCTGACGTAGACAGACTCTGACGGGATTACACGCCCTGTCTGCGAGCGCAGGATGTTACATTGCGCTGGAGCGCGAGATGTTTGTGCCGGCACGCCTGACGCAGAAGGAGAGCATCATGCTGGGCGCATTCTCGGTGCTGTACACGATCAACATTGCTGTCAGCAACATTTCGCTCCAGCTGGTTACCGTGCCGGTGAGTATTGCGGCTACCGAGCAAGCGAGCGAGCCTAGCTGACATGCCACAGTTCCATCAGGTCGTCCGAGCCGCCGCGCCAATGTTCACAATGTTTATCGCGGCACTTCTTCTGCGCCAGAAGTTTAGCGTGAACAAGATCCTGAGCCTGTTGCCCGTCATCGCGGGCGTTGGCTTTGCGACCTACGGGGACTACTACTTTACGACGTGGGGCCTGGTCCTGACGATGCTGGGCACGTTCTTGGCCGCGCTGAAGACGGTGGTCACGAACATCATCCAGACGGGAGGACGGCTGAAGCTGCACCCGCTGGACCTGCTCATGCGCATGTCCCCGCTCGCCTTCATCCAGTGCGTGCTGTACGGATGGTGGACGGGCGAGCTGGACCGCGTGCGCAAGTACGGCGCGACGCAGATGACGCGGGGCAAGGCGATCGCGCTGCTCATCAACGGCATCATCGCGTGCGGGCTCAACATCGTCTCGTTCACAGCGAACAAGAAGGCAGGCCCGCTCACGATGACCGTGTCTGCCAACTGCAAGCAGGTGCTCACAATCCTGCTCGCCGTGTTCCTGTTCAACCTCAACATCAACTTTACGAACGCAATCGGCATCCTTCTAACGCTGTCCGGCGGCGCGCTTTACGCCTACGTCGAATACACGGAGAAGCGCCAGAAGAAGCAGCTTTCCTCCGCAAAGGGAGCTGAGAAGGCGTGAGACGTGAGCGTACGAGAACAGCAGCAGCAGCCCCGCAGGACCAAGGGAAGAAGTAGAACATTGTCATCAAATCTAGTAGCTCCAAGTCATTATATCTCTCAACAACAAAGCAACCTTTACACGACGTACAAAATTGCTCCATCCTGCCATCTCCTGCCCAACCCATCCGCACATCATATGGTACCCTTCATCGTACCCCTCACTATAGATTAGAATATGGTCATCAAAACCATGGAGTCATCATGCTATGCATTTACACTGGCTTATAGGTACTCCTCGAGGTGATGGGTAAGACGAGCGGCTGATGACGTTGTTTCGTAGTCAGTGGTTCCGCGTCTATCTAGGCCATGTGAGCGGACGTAGCATGTCTTCTCCTTGCCAGTGTCTGCTGTCTTCTGTATTAGCAGGTAACGAGGAAGAACCCCAAAGAAGGCTGCGACGTGTTCGCTGCTGGTGAGCTGCAGAGCCGGAGGGCGGTCTCGTCCATGTCAGTTGACACTTGGGTGTGTTCGCTGTCAGTCTGCGATGTGATGAGATGATATAATGCCTCGCCACGGCCACTGATACCCTGTACACTTCCCTCCGAGGCAAAACGACGCAAGGAAGAGGCGCAAGAGGCTGTAATGTCCGTTTTTCCCCCAATGCCGTGTTTGTTTGGCGCGCGATGTCTCTCTTATCCTGTTGTGAGAAAGTCGTCAACATCCGAGCCTTGACCAGGTTCGACAAGCCCTCCACCAAAGCTGAAGCGTGCTTTTCAGTGTGCGTTGCATATGCTAATACTACCAACAATTCGCGTGCGTCTAGAGCGAGTCGCCGGTGGGGTCGAAGTACCTCCACTGGTCGGGGGAGGCCTTCTTCTCGAGGGGCTCCCAACTGTCGTCAGCTATGCTCTCACGTCGGAGAAGCTTGGTGGTTGCTATTCTCCACCAGGTCTTTCTGCGTTTGACCGTAGCCGGCAGTCACAGAATACTCACGCCTTCCACTCGGCCATGTTGGAGACGAGCTCCTTCTCCGACTCAGCCTCCTGGATGATGACCTCGACCATCTGGCCGAGCTCGCGCTCGACGGCGGTGATGTCGTCACCAGCCTTCTCAACGACCTGGAGGCGGTGGTTGGTAATCGCCTCCGTGGCCTGGCGGTACGCGCTCGACGAGGGGATGGCCGAGAGGCCGAGCAGCGTCTCCGAGTACAGCGTCTTGAGCGCGGGCAGCGGCTTGGGGTGGACCGCGAGGCCGGTGATGCCGGTCGACTGCTTGAGCGCCCTGCATGTCAGCTTCTCATCGGCATAGCAGCTCACTGAGCGGCGTAGAAGAGCGGGCGGGTCGCACGGAGCATGGTTGTCGTCGGTGGTGTGGAGTTGTAGACTGTTCGAACCGCAACCAAGGCAGCCAGTAGCATTCGTCCCGTTGCAGGCGGAGGCAGGCGGAGACGGAGGGAAGTGAGCAGTGTGTGAGCCTGAAAAGTCCCGTGGCCCCGTGTCAGGCACACCCATGCACTCAATCCCACCCAAGCTAACGCAAGGAATGCGACCTCCACCTTGGGCGTTCACCTGCTCTGGGTGACTGGACTTTGTTGTTGTCAGTACCGACTGCTCTTTCTCCACATCCGTCCAGCGATGCTGGAAAGCGTACCATAGACATACCACAGAGCTGGACGGCTGAACCACCTTGCATGCCGACATGAGTTCGCCCCCGCCTCCGAACATCATCTTACCGCCCGCGTCGCCGGCGACACCGTCGCGTACGCGGGTTGGCACTCTCGCCGCCGTCGACGAGGAAGGCACACCGTTGAAGGCGGCGCACCGGCGGCTAAACGAAGCACTGAATGATGCAGGTCCTTCAAAGCCGAAGGCCAGCAAGGGCGTGAGTTAGCCTTCGCGTCTGTTCAACTGACATCAGGAATCGATGTATGTGACGCTCTTCAATGGTGAGCTAGGGGATGTCTACCTGAAGCTGACAGCAGAAATGATATCGACCGTCCTCGAGTCTGAATCCTACTTGTTTACTGCGCGCGAGATCTGGGTTCTCCGACACATCCTCGAGCTACCGTACGAACCGCACTACCTGCTCACGCGCCTGCTGCTCCGGCGACCAGGGAAGGTGCACGCGCTCTCGAACCTCATCAACGCGTACTCTCCCGAGCTGGGCGAGGAAGGCGTGAAGCGTGCCATGACGCAGCTGTGCTTCGCTCTCGACGTGCCGCAACACGTGCTCGAGGAAGACCCCCTGCCGATCCCGAAGGAGAGCGTGCCCCCCTCGTTGGACGTCACGCCGAATGGGTCAGGCGCTGGCACGCCGAAGACCGAGACTGCGAACGGGAGTAACCCATGGTCAAGCCTACCGACTGGTCTCAGCGAGGAGGAGGAGAAGAAGGACCCGGAGCTTGCCGAGGCTATCCGCGTGAGCTTGTGGACAGAGCAGCACGGCCCAATACCGGAGAACGGTCAGGCATCTTCCTCGCGGATACCAAACGGTGCGCACGGCGCGCAGAATGGCAACAGCACCACGAGTCAAGATACCAGCGAGAGTCTCAAGGCGTCACTGTCATCGCTTGGCACGCTGGGGCTGGAACTGGCCAACTTCGACCTGCAGTTCAGCCTCGAGGACACGACAGCGCCCGAGATCAGGTCGCTCGCGCGGGACGAGAGCGAGCTCAGCCTGGAGCAGTTGCTGAAGTGCGCTGCTGCCGATGATCTGCGTCGCGTCGCTCGAGGAAGGAAGATTCCACCATCGGCACTCGCCACGCGCGAGTCGACCGTCAAGGCCCTGCTGGACTCTGCACGACGACAGACGACGCTGGGCTTCGCGCCAGTCAAAGGCAAGGGCAAAGCGAAGGACGACGGCCGGCCTGTCTCATGCATGTCGACGTCGGAGCGCAAAGTCATCGAAGAACTCCTCCCCTGTCTTGGAGGACACGCGATCCAGATCGACCGATCCGTTTACACCCTCGTGTCTCGCGTCAACCTCATCTTCTCACGCACGCCCCCACAATCGGCGCTGGCGCCGGCACTCATGCTCCCCCCAATCCTCGTGGCGTCTAGCAAGCGGCACTACCCCGACTATGGCGAGCCGACGCGCACACCAGTGTGGTCGAGCCGCGCGGAGATGCTCATGTGGGAGCGGGCGGTGACGTGGGAAGCGCTCGTCTCGGACGCGCTTGGCGATTACTGGTCGCAGTCGCGCCGTGGTGGCCCGCCGGCTCTCAACTTTGGCAGAATGGAGAATCTCTCCCGCACTGATGGAGCCAGGATTGTGCGCAAGGTCTGGGAGGGCGTGTGGCCCATATGGCAAGAGATGATCGTTGCTGGAGGGAAGGAGGATGTGCCAGGGAGCAGAGACCGGTTCCGCACTGAGCACGTCCTCTCCAGGATTGTATACAAGGTGAGCTATTGTAGCTGCGATCGAGCTGACGTCAGGGCGCCACGGCACTGGGCGTGCTGCACGAGTACGACAAGGAGTGCGAGGTGCTGCGCGCACTTCTGGCACAATGGCGCTGGAGGCGTGGAAAGCGAGGGTGAGTTGCGGGGCTTCGGCAGAAAACTAACTGCAGTGCTTGGTACGAGCGCCTAGCCTTGGTCCTCATGACGCACTACGGCAAGGGTAATCCGGAGAAGGCGATCGCGAAATTGGAGGAGGCGACCCAAGTCTGCATTGACGGTCTCCTCGACGAGGACACCCATCTCAGTGAGCTACCAGAGACGCGCATTCAGCTGATGGCAGTCTACCGCCCTGGTCTGTCTCGCCGCCTGACACGACTGGAGAACAAGTTGAACCTGCCACCCGAAGAGCGTCACATCTCCTACGCCGAGTTGCAGGAGTGCGAGACGAGGGATATTGTGGCTCAGAGATCCCAGCAGAACGTCGGCCAGCCGCGCCTGCCCCGTGCTGAGAGCTTCACTCGTGGCATGAGCCCAGATATGGAGGAAGACACTGTCGGTATTCCCCAGGTCGGCAAGTCCGCGTGGCAGGGCCGCGACGGCGAGGTGACAGTTGAGGGCTGTGTACTCGAGTTCTGGGAGGACCAGGGATACGAGGGCTTCCACGCCGAGTCCTCGATCCTGACAACACTTTTCGCTCTCCTCATGTGGCCTGTCTTGTTCCTGCCTCTCCCCGGTGCATTCGAGACACGCTATCAGACGGCTCCGTTAGACCTAGGGGAGGACACGTTCGCGCGCGCCCGCCGCGACCTGATCGAAGAGCGTCTCGAGGCTATGCAGAAGACAGCCGCGGCCGTCGAGATGCTACGCGAGGCGGATGCGCGAGAGCGACCTCGCGGTACATGGGCTGTTGGTCTCAGCTGGGACTTTGGCCGCCAGGAGCTCGAGGAGATTGTCGAGTGTCTCGGCGGCCGTGCTCTCGCGATCATCTGTCGCATGCTCTCCGAGGAGTACCGACACCGAGCCAGTGGTGTACCCGATCTCATTGTGTGGAACTACCCCGAGCGCATCGCTCGCTTCGTGGAGGTCAAGGGACCGGGAGACAGCCTGTCCGAGACCCAAAAGGTGAGCTGCCGCGGCAACCAGACGACGTATAGCTGACATCAGATCTGGATCGACGTTCTTCTGTCTGCAGGCGTGCCCGTTGAAGTGTGCCGTGTCAAGGACAAGGCCGAGGTTGACAGCAAGCCGCCGCCCAAGCGCAAAGGGTCATTAAAGAAGACGCCCAGTTCTAGTTCGGCGGTGAAGGGCAAGGCCAGGCTGCCCAAGGTGAAGACGAACGGGGTCGACATCATCGTCATCGACAGTGATAGCGACGATCAGACCACGAGGAAGCGCAGGAAGTCATAACCCATAGCTGTATATTATTGTTGTACACCATGTCATTGTGTAGCGTCATACCGCCCAGAGATGGCCTCAGTCCCCAGTTAGATTGGTGCGTCTGCAGCCAGAATGAGACCAAAGGCGTGCGGTCGTCGGCACATCGGCGATCAGGCTCAACGGCAGCAAGTGCACACCACACGCACACATTTTTCTCCGGCATCGTCGGCAACGACGCCGCAGTACGATAAGCTCTCGAAGCGCAGCCGACGATCTCGGTCGTGCCGTACATTTGGCCCTCCTCATCCCTACGCTTAGCACAAGCTTTCATTTCTTCCTTGAATAGATCACAACTCCCTCCCTCCCTCTTCCCTGGTGAGAACTTCCGCACTTTTTTAATGTCCCAATGCACGCGCAATGTTCGTAGATGAAGGGTGAGGGGGAGTACGACGATCCGCCGCATCACATGGGTGCCCCCAAGGACTACAAGTGATGTGCCTTGTGCTGTGCCCTCAAGGTGTTGCCGGTCACCGTGCCGATGTCACGTCAGCCAGTGCCACCAGTCCGAGGGATGTGGCACGGCCAATCGGCTGCCTTCCGCGCACTTCCTTGCGCTCGAGGCGTGACCCCTGCCAGACCCTCACAGACCCTCACGGTCCCTCACGTGTAACGTAAACTCAAAACTACCCCAGCGTCCGTGCGGAATGGGACCGCTGCCCTGGTCCAAAAGGCCCGCTAAGGCGCCCCGCTCTCGGTGTCTGCGGAGCCGAGCAGGAACCTGGCCGCGTTTGGGTGTTAACGGTAACTTGCCCGGTCGTCGGCGAGAGCTCGTCAGACGTCTGATCGGACTCGGCTCGTGACCATGACAGTGGGCAGAATAGTGATATGGTACATCGTTGTAATGTCATGAGAGTATGGGTAACTACTGAACTGATTATTAAACCATTAACGCGCTCCCTTCCAACCTCTGTCGTTCGCACTGGCCAGGCACACGCCTGAGATGATGCAGAATTTTGATGAGAAAAGTAAATGGGTAAACACTCTGCACGCTTTAGACGGCGGACTCGAGCTTCTCGCCCTGGGGCTTGTCGGACATGTAGGACGAGTTCGAGTGGTGGTCGGCGGAACCGTTGTACTCGGCGGCGAGGCGGTTCATGATCGAGGCCATGCGGGCCTCGTCGCGAGAGGCGTCCGAGGCGCCGAAGAGGAGGTCCATGGCCTCGAGCGAGACATTGCGCGTCTCGGGGAGGAGGAACATGGCGTAACCGACGCCCATGAGACAGAGGGCCAGGAAGAAGATGTACGTGCCGTAGTCGATCGCGTCGAGCATCGGGGGCAGGAACCAGGACACACAGAAGTTGACCATCCAGTTGGCAGAGGCCGAGAGCGCGGTACCGGGGGCACGGACGGAGAGGGGGAAGATCTCAGAGATGACAGTCCAAGAGACGGGACCCCAGGAGAAACCGAAGCAGGCAATGTAGATCCAGACGAACGCGGCAGAAGTCCACGCACCGGCCTCGTGCTCGGCGAGGTGGCCCTTGAAGCCACCGGTGATACCGGCGACAACGGCGAGACAGGCAGCCATGCCGAGACCACCGACGATGAGGAGGGGACGACGACCGATCTTGTCCATGAGGATGATGGCAGGAACAGTGGCGACGAACATGGCGATACCGACGACACCAGAGGCAAGGAGCGAGACGGAGTTGCCCTTGAGGCCGAGGGTCTTGAAGATAATGGGGGCGTAGAAGACGATGGCGTCGATACCGGACATCTGCTGGAAGAACATCATGAGGGTACCGATGGCAGTGCGCTTGAACATGGGCCAGGTGGAGAAGAGCGTCTTGATCTGCGCGAACTGCAAGAGGAAGGGCTTGTTGGCGTACTGGGGCCACTTCTCGGCAACGGACTCCTGCTCGAAGATGGCCTCGGCCTTGATCTCGAGGAACTCGAGGCGGACGAGCTCGTCGTCGGGCGAGGCGCGACGGAGCCAAGCGAGCGAGCGGAGAGCCTCCTCATCGCGGCCGTGCTTAAGGAGCCAACGGGGCGAGTAGGGGATGAAGAGGGTGCCGATGCCGAGGAGGATGGCAGGAACACACTGGATAGCAAGAGGAAGGCGCCACGAGACAGTGTTGGTGTCCGAGATGAAGTGGCATCCGTAGGCGATCCAGAACGAGATCATAATACCGACTGTGGAGGTGTTAGTCACGCATCTTATCATATTGGGTCCGGCGTCTGGGCGTGGTGGCGCGCGCGTGGTTATCCTGAAGCCCCCGTTGGCCCGTTGGACCCTTTGCACCCTTCGGGGAAGGTTCGGGTGGGGTGTGTGCCCTTGAATGCGCCTCCTTTGGGAGGGGAAAAGGCGGCAGCACATGGGTTCGAAAACAAAGTTTCTCAAAGTCACCGGACGTGCACACATGGCAACACATGGTGCCATGGCGCACCATGTTCCGCACTTCGACCGTCCCCGGACGCGTTGCAGCGGAACATCGGAACGCTGCACGCTGACCGAGAAGAACCCACAAACCCCGGTCCAGGAATAATTGCACTAGGCCATCACTCCCGCCACCGCGATGACCAAGCCGAGCCAGCCGCTTACCAACGCTTACCCGCAGCCGGCTAAAGGCATGGCGAGAATTGCACTGGTTCAGGCTGACACAAGGCATGCGATGCGCGATTGCACTTGCGACGACGCTTTCGCGTCCGGCTAGCGCTTTTTGCGCTTCCAGGCCCAGACTTTCCCGGAAATCTATTCTGAATACTCACAAGTCACACTGAGCTGCCAGGTGCCGCCCATGGCACCACGGACCTCGGCCGGGGAAATTTCCGAGTTGTAGGTGGGGACGGCGGTCGAGAGAGAGCCGACAGCGACACCAATGAGGAAGCGTCCAGCGAAGATCATGCCCGAGTTGTAGGCGGCGGCGGTGATGATACCACCGACCATGCAGATGAAAGCACCGGCGAGCATGCACCAGCGACGCGAGAAGCGGTCGATGCAGTAACCGTTGATGAGCGAGCCGAACCATCCTCCAAGACCGAGAATAGCAACAGAGATACCCTGGAAGTTGCTGTCGTGGATGATACGCTGGAACGCGGGCATGGTGTTGAACGCAGCCATGACGAGACACTGGCCGTACGCTCCCTGCTCGTAACCGTAGTTGAGACCTCCGAGCATGGTCACGACCGAGATCGCGAGAAGACGCGGGTTACGGAACAGACCCGCAACACCGGCGGGACCAGCGAGGGCCAGGCGCTTGCGCTCGAGCTCGGCGGTGTGCGAGTTCTGCATCTCGACAACGCCCTTGGCGTCGTGGGCGGTTTCCTTCGTCATTGTGGTGGGGTGCGAACCGCTGCTGAAGTCGTCGACGGGCGAGAAAGAGGAGATGGGTCGTGTGTGTGTTGAGAAATGTAAAATTTAGGGGATCGACACGGCGAAAACAAAGCTGAGGGCCGTCCTGGGTGGGACTAGTGAGGGTGTTGCCGGTATGAGTTGGGGAACGCGACAAGACAGTCTCGGGAAAGACCTCTTATACCACTGGAGTTAGATCCAAAAACTCGATGCGGGGTGCCAAGGGTCTTTTCTCAACGGTTGATATATGTCTCCTCAATCCCGAACACCCCCGCAACCCCACCTGGGGGCACCGTTGGACACGGCTTGGTGTCGCTTCGGGGAGGGTGAGGACGCAGTGGAGTTGGACGAGCTGAATCACCGTTCGGCCCGGCGACTTTCCTTCCCTTGGCCTGGCTCCCTGGGCTCTTCCACTCGATGGGTCGCCGGTGGTAAAGGTGCCTGTCTAAAGGTGCCTCCACGCCTCCACACTTGTTCCTCGCGTCCCTTCAAGTGTGCCTCTGTGCAGTATACCAAATTAAACTAGAAAATAAAGTTGGCAGAGCCGAACGTAATCGGGCTATGTTCCGAGAGCCCAGGAAGGAAAGAAATGTCTTGAGCGCGAGCGGTTCCTACGACTATTACGAAAGTCGCCGGCAGGGCTTGTAGGGTTCGTGGATTGTTTACCAGATGAAGCAGCAGGACAGCAGCATGACAGAGCGCGGAGAGTTGGCCGGCGACTAAAAGCGGCACATGCTCCCATCGTCCCCCCTTCCCGCCGGCCATCTCCGCGAACCCGTGACCAGCGCGAGCAGAAAGTTCGAAATCATCACCCAGATCGTTTGCAGGTGTTGCAGAGCCCGAGGCAGAGCAAACAAGCTCGTGTGAGATCGCTATATAGCAGACCCGAAGCTCGCACCCCCGCGTATCCTTGCGTCGGAGAGACGGAGTTCCGTACTTGTACTTTCTCAACTATCGAAATCATGAGCGCCACCTCTGCCTGTCTCGTTGCTGGATCCGTCAGTGAGTGTGCAGATGGTCGGGTGGCAACGCGAAATGTTGGGACGGGCCGGGTTCGACGAGTGTAACCAGGCTGCCAGGTCCCAGCAACGAGTGCTGTGGGAGCTCGAGCCGAACCGCGGCTTTGCATCGGAATGCGAAGTTATGTTGGGCACCGGCTTTCTTGTGGAGTGGACCAGCTGACATGCAGATATTGACGAGTTCTATGCGCTCCCGCACATCGTGCGTCCCGGCGAGACGATCGCGTCGACGGGTTACTCGCGCCGCGGCGGCGGCAAGGGTGCCAACCAGGCCGTCGCCGTCGGACGGGCATGCGACAACCGCGGCGCCGTCAAGCTCTCGGCCTGCATTGGCGAGGACGGCCGCGACCTCCTGGACCTCATGGTCGATGCTGGTGTTGACGTCTCTGGCGTCGACATTCTGAAAGACCAGCACACCGGCCGCGCCATCATCCAGTCGTCCCAGGACGGCGAGAACAGTATTGGTAAGTTTAGCTTTGAGTTTGCTCCAGGTCGCCGTGGGGCTGTGGGGGCTGTGGTTGTGGCTCAGACTGTTTCAGCCAATTCTGGCTGGCTTGAACAGTTTGGGCAGGTGGTATTATGCCAAGCCCACGCCCCGACAGGCCCACGCCCAAGTTCAAGCCATGTGATGAGCTCCAGCTGACGGAAAGTTCTCTTCGCCGGCGCCAACTATGCCCGCAGCCCTGCTCCGATCGGTTCCGCGACGCACGTCGTGGTGCAGAACGAGATCCCGTTCGACAGCACCCTCGCCTTCCTCCGCAGCGCCAAGGAGTCGAACGCGGCCACCATCTTCAACCCCTCGCCCATGCCGAGCAACGAGCAGCTCCGCGCCTTTCCCTGGGAGACGATCGACTGGCTGCTCCTGAACGAGGGCGAGGCGGGGGACATCACGCGCGCCCTCACTTCGGAGGAGCTCAAGTCGTCGGTCGTCGTGCCCGAGGGAATGGAGCTGCCCGCCGAGGCGAAGAGCGCCCTCGACATCCTCAGCGGCGTCAAGAGCCTGCCCCTCATGAACACCGTCAACCTCGTCTGCACCCTTGGTGCCCACGGCGTGCTCCTCTTCCGCAACGACAAGGAGTGGTTCTACCGTCCCGCTGCCAAGCTTCTCAAGCCCCTCAGGGACACCACCGGTGCCGGTGACTGTTTCACTGGCTACTTCACCGCTGGACTCATGCGCATCGGCGAGCCGACCATGGAGGCGCTGGAGGGCGTTGTCGATGAGTGCCTCGCCGCGTGCTCCATGTGTGTCGAGATTGCTGGTGCCGCTGAGAGCGTCCCCGCGCGCTCGCAGGTGCTCGAGCGCATGGCTCTCAAGAACTAGGCTGCCACACCCAATAAGCCTGCCACAGTGCGCAGAACGCGCATCGCATCTGCACAGACCACACAGACCATAGACGATAGACATTAATACTGTACCAATGCATAGATACATAGAGTGAGGGGCGATACAAGGAATACAACATGCAGCTGGGGCCACAACTACTGGTTAGTGGCCCAGTGCGGCTGGGCGATGCCGAGGAAGTCGAGGTCCCACGCAAACGGCGCCGCGAGAGGGTCAATCGTTCCTCCAGGCGACGTGCCGGGCGGCACGCCGTTCTGCTGCCCCGCCGGAGTCAGCGTGTTCATCGCGCCAGCAAGAAGGGGGAAGCCGTCCCAGAAATCCTGGTGCTCCTTGAACAATTGAGGTTGCTCTTGGTTGTAGGCAAACTGTCCCTGCGAGGCGTTAGCTTCTTGACCTTCTAACGCTCATATTCTACTCACAATCTCGTCCCACCACTGATCCGGGGTAGTCTTCTGTTGCTGCGGCGTCGGCATCGGCGCGTCCATGGGTGTCATGCCGGTCATGTGCAGCTGGCGGGCAGCGGCAGGCGAAGGGGCTCGGGATGGCGGGCGGCTCTGGTGCGCCTTGTCCAGCAGGGCGTGGATGAAACGAGCGAGGTATGCGGGGTGCGACTCCTGGTCGCCGCGCGCCGCCTCGCGACAAACTATGACGACCTTGGTCATCTTGCGCAAAACAGCAGCCCTGGCAGAACCATCAAGGTAGGGAAGGAAACGGATGAGGCGCACGGCCGTAGACGCCACAGCCACCGAGTGGGCGTCCTCAATCATGGGCATGATGCCCTTGCGCACGAAGCCCTCGACGACGATGTCCAGCAGGTCGAGACTCGTCGAGACGCAGGCGTGCATGAGGCTGATGCGGTGCTTCTTCGGCGCGAAAGAGAGCGAGGTGCACTCGACGAGTAATTGGCCAGCAACGGTGCTGAACTTGTTGATGCTGACCGACGTCGAGGTCAGCTTGACAGGGTACTCATCGCTGAGCAAGATCTGGTGGGAGCGGTGCAGGTCCTCGCTGATCCGGCGGAGGCCAGATCGGAGGATCTCGTAGTTGCCCTTGCAGTTCTGCAATTGACGGACCTCGAGACGGAGACAGCTGGTCTTAACAGCAAAGTCGAGCTGACCGTCGGACGGAAGGGGGTAAGGGATCTCGCGAATCCAGGCTCCGACATCGGGGGCTCGCATCATCATTGAAGGGCGATCGACGAGCTCTGTTTGGGTGCTGTCAAAACAGAATAGACTGATCCACGTGCGTTCCCGATCAATCACTAGTCGGGCCTTCCGCTCATCTGCTGGCAGCTTGTCCTTCCGCGGCAAGTGCAGGTCGAGCTGGTAACCAAGGCGAATCGCGTGTCCAAGTCGCAGCCAGCCCCGTCCGTCCTGGGGCTTCTTCCAGTAATGCAGGATGCAGATAGCCTGGACAATCTCGATGGAGCACACGCAGTCGGACATGGCACGGTCGATGAGACGGTTCGCAATCACGTTCAGCTGGTCGTAGAGCTCTGGCCTGAAGAATTTCGAGGCGACCGTGAGCACAGCCAGGAATAGCTGCAGCGAGGCGCGGTAGGTGTACCGCGCGGTGTGAATCGCAGGGTCGAGCAAGCATACGCAGGTCTGGAGCTGGTCTGGCCAAAGAGCGACTCGACCTCAGCCATGGTGAGTATCCCGAGCGCGACGGGGTCGTCCTTCGTGTTGGATGCCTGGACGGTGCTGTATTCCGGGCTGTCATCGCCACCCTTCCGATCCATGACACCGGCAATGGAGAAGATGGATCGGTTCGCGACATCGTGGTACACAGTGTTGACGGGCGCGTGATCGATGTCGCGGTGGTAGTCGTGGTCGTGATCGTGGTCATCGGGGTCGGGCGACGGCCGCAGGTGCTCCTTTGAGTCGACCACCTCGCGATGGGGCTCGCGAGAGTCGGGAGGGAAGGGTTCCTGGTACGATGGCCGGAGAGGTGTCATACCGGCGCTGCCGTTAGGAGTCGCGGTGGCGGGCGACGGTCCAGTTGTGACAGACAGCCGGCGTCTGGTAACGTCGTGGCCTTGGCTGCCCTCGCGTCCCATGCCATGATCAGAGTACTTTCTCTTCAGGATGGCGGGGGAGGTAGCGTCGGACGTGGGACTCGACACCTCATCACGACGATGAGGACGCGATCCATCCTTCCGTCGACGACCACGCTGATGAGCCTGGTAGACGCAGGCGATGTTGAGACGTTCGCATCGTTGGCACTTGTCCTGGGATGGATCGGCGGCCTCGACGCATTTACACTATAGTGTTAGTAAGCCTGGTATTGAGGGAAGACACGTCGAGCTAGGGTTGTTGGTGGCCACCCAGTCTCAATACTCACCTTGACAGTACGACATGCTGTGCAGCTCCTGGCATGGGTCAGCTGACATTCCTTCCATGCTTAGTGACCGCTCTGGGGTAGATGGCAATGGAAGACGTGACGGCCTAGAGTGGGAGGGCCAAGAGATGCGGACCGTTGTTGGCCCGCCGGGTAGTCGTGTGTGAGACGGTATGATACATACACTTTGTTTTCCCCAGACGCCGTCTTGGGGGCGCGACGTTTGGAGGGGCCAGGCTCTGCTCCGGGGTTGAACATGTCCAAGCAGCGGGCGCGGGGAGATGCGACGGCGACTAGAGTTGAGCACGGATGGGCGACGAGTCGGTGGTTCGTAAGGAGAGGTTGCGAAGGTATGTTAGACGGTGAATCCGCCCGCGGCAAAAAAGCGAGAGACGGCGACTTGCAGCCGAGGGGTTGACTGTACGATGGTTTGACTGGAGCCATGTGACCCTGCAGGCGCAGGCGTCGTTTGTGTAGGGTGAGGCTGGCCAGGCTGACTAGTCTATATTGAGCGCCAGCTAACCATGGGAAGCCATCCTCGGGTGAACCACCACCACCACCGGAGAGAGGCTCTGCGAATCTGCGCGAATATGCACTGCGTGGCTGCGTGTGCGTCCCAACTAACCATGCACCATGTGCAGCACACTGTCTGTGCAGACTAAGCAAGCAGCCTTAGCAGGCTTACCGTAAGCGGTGACGCGGCGACCCAGCAGCAGCACGGGGGCTCAGGCATGCAGCCGGACAGGAGGCGTGCGCCAGCCGGTCCATGCATAACCATGGCAGGCCAGTCATGTCGCCCAGCCCGCCGCCCAGCGCCCAGCCGCCTGCCCAGAAGCGCCCAGACACAGCCAAAATTTGGTCGCCGGTGGCTCACATAAGTGCCTGTTCCTTCGCGTAGATTCGCCAGCCTGTCTGAGCCTGGCACACGCCCCCGTAGGGTCGCTCATCACGTGTTCCTCACTTGTGGCTGCTTTGAACGCCGGTCTCTCCTCCTCGCTCTCGTCATGGAGAGCTTCTCTCCACACTTCTCCAGACGCAGCCCCGCACTCACCCCCTCGCACTGCATACTTCGGATGTCCCGCAGCTCCGGGGCAGATCTCGCGCCAAGCCAAGGGACAAGACAGGTCCGAATTTCCGAGGTTTTTCGAAAGTTCTTGCAGATGTGTGCAGGGGCATTTTTCGAATTATCGACTATTTCCAGCCGATCTGACCCGTTTGAAGGTCAGATTTACTGACTGCATTGCCGCATCTGCCGCAGATTTGCGGCAAGAGGTCGCCGTGCCGATACTTGCACTGTCGGCTGCGCCGCTTCTTCGGCGTCGGGATGGCTTGGCAGAAGGATCAGAGCGTCGGCGCATCCGGCTCCGTAGGAGCAGCGTCCAGCAATACCGCCGATTGGCGCATGAGAGTGTCTGCCCGTCCAAGTCCGAGACAGGCCGGTTCCGACCTACGTACTCGTCGTATCCATACACCGGATCTCTATCACCCCTGAGACTGTTTGGCCCTGCAGTGTTCGATGTCCGAGTTGTAGATCGCAGGTCAAGAGGTCGCCGGCGGACGATCTCTGATCTCGGCGCACTCGTCCGTAGATCAGGACTTGGGTGCGCCACCTACGGCACCACCTGCTCTGCTGTGGGGAGCAACGAAGTCATGTGCCGTGAGAACCGGGCAGAGTGCCGAGGCTACGGGCACACGGAGACTGAACACACAACACTCTTCAGTTGAGTGAACGTATGTCACGGGATTGTCTCAACGCGCTTTAGCGCATAGGCACTGCCGCGGCTCAGATCGTTTGGCAACTTAGCGTCACTTCGCATTCCTGCGACGTTCATCTTGTGCAACGCACTCTCTGCATCCTGTCGTCCTGCAAAAACGATGCGAAACACACAGCAAGGCAGAGGGAGAGGCAAAAGGAGAGGTCCGACTGGGAATCGAACCCAGATTACAAGAATCAGAATCTTGTGTACTAACCGTTATACGATCAGACCATTCGACAAGCTTCACTCGAGCTCGTTGCAGTCTCTGGACGGCGGCCGCTTATAACCACTTGCTTGCCCAGTGAGCGCTGCGTTTTGCGGCTATTTCTTGCCCATGCATGTTTCAAGGGCATCCAGATCTCGCATACCATCTGCTCAACACCCCGAGGTATCCGTGTGAGTGATGCATGGTAGGGCTACAATGTGTTTACTTCCTCTTTCCTCCCTTGCCGCCGCCGTGGGCCTTGACGCCCTCGAACGTCCTCGCTCCAGGCTTGGCCGCCTTCCTGCGCTCCGTGCCACGGAGGACCTCCTTCAACTGCTCTGAGTACTTGCTCTGGCCCGCGTGCTGCAGGCCGAACACGACGACGCGGCCCGGCCGTCCAGCACGTCCAGCACGGCCGGCGCGGTGCACAAAGTCGAGGACGTTGCGCGGCGGGTCGACGAGGTAGATAGTCGACACGAGGGGCGAGAAGTCGAGGCCTCGGCTCAGAAGCGACGTTGTTACGAGAACGCGCGGCTTCTTCTTCTCGCTCTCCGGCTGTTCCTTCTTCACCTTCTCGCCCTCGTTCTCATTCTCGGCCGCCTCAGCCTCAGCCTCAGTCACGGCGATGGGCTGGCCATCGTCCGTCGTCGCAACCTGCTTGGGAGGCTTGGGGATCTCGAGGCCCTCGGGGCGCTTGTTGTGATCGACAAGGAAGTGGTCCAGGGGCCCATTACGGCCGACCTTGCGGTCGGCGCTGTCGCCAGTCCACGGGAGACACTTGATGTCCCGCTCCTCGAGTGCCTTGGAGACGGCGGCAACCTTGCCGAGCGACGAACAGAAGACGACAGCCATATTGCGCTGCGGCTTGACGCTGCCGGGCTTCAGGCCGCGCTGCGCCTCTTCGTCGTGAGCGGCGTTCTTGGCGTCGAGAGCCTCCTCGGCGAACACGCGGCGCACCTCGTGCGCAATGTCGCTGTACATGTTGCCGCTCTTGGACCAGGGAACGAAGCGGGTCTCCAGCTTGGCGGGCAGACGGTGCAGGCCGGGCGAGAGGAGTTGATCGAACTCGTAGTCCTTCAGCGGAGAGTCGGGGGCGCCAATCTGCGCAAGCAGAGCAGGCGGAAGCGTCGCAGTCACGAGGAGAACGTTGACGTTGCGCGGAAGACGGCGCAGGATCGCATTCGTCTCGTCCGCAAAGGCACTGCCGAGGAGCACATCCGCCTCGTCGATGATGAGCCACTCAAGGCGCGCGGGAGAGAACTCCGGTTCCTGATCGTCGTACCGCTTGCGCTCGACGGGAACACGCTCACCACGCTCGCGCTCGAGACCAAGGAGCTGGGCCATACGCCGTCCAGTCGAGAAGAGAATATCAACGCCACCCGCACCCTTGACGGTTCCAGGAGACGAGGCGCCGGCAACGCGGAGCTTGACGCCGTGCGAGAGCTGCTTCGCAACCGCTGTTGACTGGCGGGTGAGCTCATGCGTCGGGGCGAGCACGATAGCGCGGGGAGCAAGGATGCCAGAGCGGGGTCCAGGTCGGTCATCCTCCTTCAGTCGCTGCATCAGAGGAAGGAGGTACGCAAGCGTCTTGCCTGAGCCCGTTTCGGCGCCGAGGATAGCTGCAGTGCGGGACGCCGCACCCTCAGCCTCAGGTGGGGGCGAAGCGAGAATCTCGGAGAGCGCAAGCGATTGGATCGGCGTTGTCTTCTGATATCCCTTCTGTGCGAGCACCTCCTGCATGGCGGGGTTCAACTCGAATGAGCTGAAGTCGCGCGGTTGTGACATGATGATGTTGGCCTCCTGCCTGTGCGCGGGGAGCTTGCGGTCCTTCTCCTCCTTCGTCCGCGGGGGACGAGGGACCTGCGGGACACTGCTCGGTCGGTCGCGCCCCGCAATGCTCTGTCCGCTCGCGTCGGGTCTCCGGCTCGGCCTGTCATCCCGGTTGTCGAACCTGTTCAGACGCTGCGAGTTCGACTGTCGCCGCGACCCACTGCTGCTGCTGCTTCCGCCCCGGCCACTCTTCACGTAGCCGGCGGCCGGAGCCGAGGTCGTAATCGTCCTTAACGATGTTGTCGTTCGCGTCGATATCCGGAGTGCGCGAAACATGATCGGTTGGGTGTTGCAGTGATCGAGTGGACTGCCGACTTTCCGAAATTATCGAACCGGACCGTGGATGGTGGCAAACCGGCACGTGACCACGGAGAAGTTCAAAGTCTAGGCAAGTCTGCGCAGCAAAGTCGGCTCTGCATACTAGTCGGTTTAGTCAAGACTGACTATAGCGTCGTAGAGCGATTCGAAACCATACTATCAGGCACTGGCGCTAGAGTGTTCCGGGCGCACAGAACAGACCCTTGCAACCCAGAGCGTGAGCGTCCTGCACACACAAGCCCGCACTCACACACGTCGATCAGACCGGTGTGAATCCGGAGCTTCACGTCAGCCGAAACGAGCGCGTTTCACGTGGATCTCGTTAGCTCAGTTGGTTAGAGCGTTCGCTTCACATTGGTGAAGCGCGAGAGGTCGGCGGTTCGAACCCGCCACGGGATACGTTTTTGCCTCTGTCCTGGCTGTTGGCTACGCCGTAGTTCGTGAGTTTTCTCTGAGCTTTTGGCTGACTTTGAAATGCCCAGCCGCGAAGACAGGATAGTCCCTGACATGATGTGTGGGTGTGATCGCCGTGTGTGCGTGTGTTGGGCGCATCAAATTGTGCGCGCAATCGCGTTCCATCTCCGCGGTCGTGTGTCCGTTTCAGGCACGTAGATCGCGGACATGACTGCGTAGTTGCGACCGGCGGACAACATCGTGTATGCGAAGCGCCGTGCCCGCCGGCCGTATGAGACGATGGAATGCGTGGCATACAGCTGCGGGTGCCACCGGCGCAGTCGAAAAAGCACTGGCTGCGTTGCTTGCGCTGGTAGCGTGCGGCGTTGTGGACGGGACTGACCGATTCGGGCGTTTTAAGAGGCGTCAAGGGCCTGAAATAGCACTCTCGTGGGTCTTACCGGCTCCCCGCCGGCTGCGTCACTCCCTTGCTCCTGCGCTCTTTGCTGGAATGCAGTGCCTTTCGCCTTGGGCCGTGCACGCCGAAGGTCTGTAGGCTGAGGGGAGTCACGAGGTCGTCACTGCTGTTCTTACGATGATGTTGTTGCGATCTGTCAGAGATTCAGAGAGGACAATGGCCGGTTATTAGGTGCAGCGCAGATGGCCGGCGTTCTCCGTGGGTCGTGGGTCCAGGACGGGGTCTGATTATCCGACATGGACATGGATCACTCTGCGACATGACGGCACGCTAGATGTGCCTGCTTCCTCCTTGGCGCGACCCCCGCAGCTGGCCGCCGGGTGGCACAGAGGACTAGCTCGATTCATGGCCATCTGTAGCTGTTCCACTTTCCGTCTCTCTTCTCTTCACATCCTTCCTCTCACCTCCTCGTACCATCAATACCCACCGACTCCTCGCCACTCTCTGTGCACACCTCTGACTTCCACCACTCATTCCCCACTACTTATACCATCGTACCAATCCCAGCCACCGCCCATCCACACGACCATGGCGCCCAAGATCAACGCCGTCCCGCGAAAGACGAAGAACGGGCAGCCGCGCCTGATGCAGGCTCTGTGGGGCCTGATCGCGCTTCTCGCCGCTCTCCCGGCGCTGCCAGTGTTCAGCCTGCAGTATATCTTGCGCCTGAACGACCCCACCGTGCACGGGTACAAGCAGTTCGTGGTGCCCCGCCTCCTCAAGCTGTTCAGCAACATCATGCCGATGCCGACGCCAGAGACGCGTGCGATGCAGGCCAGGACCGCGCGCTGCGTTGTCCCCAAGCGCGACCTGTTTGACCACGTCAAGATGCGTCGCTTCACCATCCCGCCTGCGCCCGCTGACTGGTTGACCGAGCTCGCGACCCTGCCGCCGAACGGCGAGATCCAGCCTGTCGAGCAATACGGCTTTGTCTTCACGCCCAAGAGCGACAGCAGGCAGGGCGACGAAAAGGCAAAGAAGGGCGAGAAGATCGTCCTCTACTTCCACGGAGGGTAAGTCGGGAATCCCGAAGAAGTCGGATCCGTGATGAACCTCAAGCCTCGCGCAGGGGAGAGGAAAATGATGCTGATCTCCGCAGCGGCTACTCGACCGGACACCCGACCTGGACTGCTCTTCCGGGCAAGATCTCGCGCGACACTGGCCTCCGCGTCTGGGGCGGGCAGTACCGCAAGTGTCTCGATGTGCACAGTGCGTGGCCCGCGCCTCTCGTGGACGCGCTCGCGCACTGGGTCCACCTGACCACTGTGTTGGGCCTTGAGCCCTCCTCCATCGTACTCATGGGCGACAGTGCCGGTGGCCACCTCTGCCTCTCCTTAACACAACAGCTCCTTGCTCTCGGCAAGGCGCTTCCTGGCGGCCTCGCGCTCTCCTCGCCCTGGTCGGACCTGACCTTCTCCCAGCCCTCCTGGAAGTGGAAGGACGACTACCTCGGTCTCCCCCGCTTGGAGCGTAGCATCGACTCCCTCTCGAGGTTCTTCAGGAAGGAGGACCTGACGCAGCCTATCTTCAGCCCTGCTTTCGCGCCCGAGGGACACTGGAAGCAGCTCGCTGACATTCCCGTCTTCATCGCGCTCGGCACCAAGGAGGCCCTCCATGACGAGGTGCAGCTGCTCGTCAAGGGCATGCGGCGCGATGGCGTCAACGTCGCCCTGTTCGAGGACAAGGACCAGCTGCACTGCGCCCCCCTCGTTGCCGGCGTCATGGCCCCCGAGGACTCGTACATGCACTTTGCAGAGGGTGTTAAGGGCGTCACGGACCAGGTTGAGGGCCACTCGAGCTAAGAGCCGGGTTGGCTTTGCTTGAGCTTGACTTGCGACTTGCTTCGCCAAGCTTCTCGCTCGGTATCTGCTGCAAGCGGTACGCTCGTGCTCAACACGTCTTCACCGTTCTCTCGCGATCACGCCACACTCTCCAGGTTAATGTCTCGTTCTCGTTCGTTTTTTCTTTTTCTGATACCCAAATGCAATCTTTTGTCTGTATCAATTAATGGGCGTGTCCGAGCGTGGTCAACTGCCGTCCGCATCGGACTGCATCATACTCGGCATCCTTCTTCTCGGCCGTTGAGGTTCGGACACCCAACTCGACCGACGTCGCCTGAGGCTGCGCACATATTACGCCGACGGTGTTATCAGATTAGGGAGGCTGTTACGTGTTCCACTGTCCCAGTGGCGCGCCCTTGATTCATAGTCTCATGTGCAACCAGTATTTTGTATCCTCTGCAAAACATGCATGATGCTGCCTGTCTCCTCAGTTCTACTATCACCGTTCTACTATAGGTGAAGCTTTTTAAGCCTTGTTAACAAAGTTGACACCCTTCTCGATGTTCTTCTTGAGCTCGGGGAGGGCGGCCTTGATGAGCTCCTCCTCCTCGGCGGAGACCTTGCCGATGGGGTGGATCTTCTTGACACCCTCGGGGCCGAGCTCGATGGGGGACGAGAAGAAGGTGACGCCCTCGTTCTGGAAGAGGGGCGACTCGACGTACGAGGGCTCAATGACGTTGGCCTCGCCGGCGAGACCGCGGAGGAGAGCGTCGGCGAAGCGGGCACCGGCGTAAGCCATCGAGAGGGTGGCGGAGCCAGTGCCGGCCTTGGCCTGGACGACCTCGTCACCACCGAACTGGATGCGGTGGACGAGGGCCTTGTACTGCTCGCCCTGGACGTCGGCGCCGGCGGGGCACTGCGAGAGGAGGGGAACAATGGTGACACCAGAGTGGCCACCGACGACGGGGACCTTGACGTCCTTGGGGTTCAGGCCCTTGATCTCAGAGAGGAAGCGCGAGGCACGGACAACGTCGAGGGTGGTGACACCGAAGATGCGCTTGGGGTCGTAGACACCGGCCTTCTTGAGGGTCTCGGCGAAGATGGGGACGGTCGAGTTGACGGGGTTGGAGATGATGCCAACAAGAGCCTTGGGGGCGTACTTGGCAACGGCCTCGGCGAGACCCTGGACGATGGAAGCGTTGGTGTTGAAGAGGTCGTCACGGGTCATGCCGGGCTTGCGGGGAACACCGGCGGGGATGATGACAACGTCGGCACCCTCAAGAGCACCCTGGAGACTGTGGACGGTCAGCGCGCATGCTCTTGATCTCTCGTGCGGATCCATCTCGCGGGACGACAGCCGCGCTTAAACCTTGGGGCAACAAGCCGCCGGCATCGGACCGAGGGGCCCGCACATTGGGGTGTGCGAACAAGTCACATGCAGGCACGATTCATATGATGTCGTGTCCGCGCGCCGATCCCAAGCGAGGGCAAAGCTCGCTTGTTTGAAGCATGCGGCATTCTGCGATCGCAAACACGTCCCGATGCCGGCGGTTTCGCATGGGCAGATGCCCACTGCTTGCAAGCATCCCGACGCCTCCATGCCAGCACAAGTCCGCACCGGGTGACCGGGTATGGATGGGGGAGGCATGAAGTGAAGTGACCCTGGGCAGTGCGAAAAAAGACCGACCTTCGGCCGGCGGCTTGTGACGACCCTTGTGTGTGGCTGTCTGGTCTGCGCGAGATGGAAAAGATACTCACGCCTCCTGCTCGAAGCCCTTGACGAGCGAGTTGGTGTTGACGTGCGAGATGTCGGCGGCGACACCGGGGGCGTTGCGGACATCGTAGAGGGCGAGCTCAGTGACGTTGGGGTTCTCCTTGAGGAGGAGCGAGAGGGGCTGGCCGATACCACCTGGGGGAAAAGTCAGTGGGCTGTGGTAAAGGCGCTATGACGTTGGGGGCAAGCTACTTACCGGCGGCACCGAGGACGGCGGCCTTGTAGTCGACACGGGCCGAGGTGGCGAAGCCACGGGCAAGGACAGAGGCAGAGCGGCGAGCAGCGAACATGGTTGTTTTGTTTTTGTGTATGGTAGAAAGAAGAGGAAGACTCGAGGAGGGGTGAGTGTCCTGTACTTTTATGTTGGCGTTGGGGTCACGTCGAGCACTAGGGCTTTCGGACGCGGCGGCCAGACGGAGCGCAAGGAAGGTCCAAGTCGATTCGCAGGGCTCCCAGGGCGGGGGAGGGGCTCTGTACCACCGCAGGAGCACTCTGCCAGGGCACGTCATCCCGGGTGGTTATTGGTCCCGCCAAAAGCCAGAACGGAACAACCCGGAGAAATGCCCTCGGGTGTGGCACCCTTCTCCCACCGATCGGTGTGTAACCGATCCGGTCTTCATGAAATGCAGGCCTATCCACCACGCTACTTCCACGTTGTTGGCCTCATTGCACTGCCAGCGCTGTTTCACGCCTATCTCCCCAGGTGTTGGGATCCAGGGTTCCCACGTGTGCAGATGCACGTTTGCTTCCGCCGTGATGCCTCGTCATCACGCTCATGCCTTGTATTATGTTTATGCATTCGCTCTCTGCCCCGGCATTGCACAGATTAAGAGCACTTTACTCTACCACACCCCTTCTTGCTACTCTATCGCCCTCTGGCGTACTCCGATCGCCCCCTGGCGTTAAACTCCGCCCCCTGGCGTTAAACACCGCCCTCTGGCGTGCTCTTCCCCGCCCTACGGCGTACCTTCCTTAACCAACAACAGTAACCGACTTCACCTAATCGACAATGAGTATACTCGAGCTCACCAACCCCAAACCAATCACCTCTGGCACGTACCAGGGCGTCGTGGAACTTCGCGGACGTGAGTCGTTCGGCCTCTGGAAGAAATCAATCGAGCGCCATCTCCGTTCCAAAGGTCGGGCTGCGCCGTGTTTGTTTGGTTCCTGGGAGGAACCCTTCCGCCAGAAGGACCGTCCCAAGCCCAAGGGCCAGCACGCCGGTGATGTGCCCCACACCGGACTCGATGTCGACCTCGACAACACCTCCGACCCCTTGGCCAACGTGATCCGCGTGTCCGAGCGTACCCGCTTGACACGTGACCAGGAGAAGAGTTGGAACGAGTGGGCTCTTGCGGAGAACGCAGCCCGTGCTGCGGTCCTCTCAACCGTGTCGCCAGCCATCTGCGGACGTCTTGAAGACATGTGGTCGTCCCACGACATGCTCAAGTGGCTCAAGAACATCTACAAGCCCAAGATCGACGAGGACTACCACCTGCTGGAAGCTCGATTCCGTGGCCTCTACATGCCTGACAACCCGACGATCGAGGACATGCGCCTCTATCTCGACGAGTTTACCATCATCCTCAATGACGCAACGGAGATGAACGTGTCGTACGAGGACCACGCCAAGAAGTCTCTCTTCAAACACGGCCTCAGCGATGACCTCCACGAAATGATGTACTTCGAGGAGACCCATGGACGCCGCGCCGACCCCAATGGCCCCCTGACCTGGGACGAGTTCCTCAACGCCTACAACGAGATCGTCAACGCGGTCGTCAGCAGGAAGACCCACCAGGCCATCTCCCTGTCGCACACCCCGACCACGGCTAAGTCCAATAAGCCGAACTCGTACCGAGGAAGGACACCCCTGGCCGAGGTCCGCAGCATCCAGGGTCGCAACAACATGGGCTCATCTCACCGCAACGACCGACGTTCGGACGACACCCACCACAAGAAGCATGACCACGGCAACGGCCACGGTCACGGTCAGAACCACGGAGACGCGGTGGCCACCTGCGACCACTGTGGTCGCAAGGGCCACACTAAGCCCATCTGTGACCAGTATCTCGCGGGCGAACCGTCCAAGAAGGAGAAGAACAAACAACTCATGGACGAATTCATCCAGTGGAGGAGGAACAGGAACAAGAACCAAAAGGGTCCCAAGCCTGTCGACAGCGTCGCCCACGTCACCCGCCACGAGGAGACCGTGGGGGAGGAAGGCCAACTCATTGACGACTCTCTCGATGACGACCTTCAGCAGACGCTCAACCTGGTCCTCCAGGACGAGCAACTCGACGTGAATGCTCTTCACCAGGTCGTGGACGACCCCTACGCGAATATCAGCGACTTCGAGGACGACGACCTTGTCGAGCAGCCGGTTTTTTACTTAAACCGGGCGAACCCGCGCCAGTGAGGCGGGGACGTACCGGCAAGACGACGACGACCTCACCCGTCACTGAAGGTGGGGACAACAAGCCTACGCACCGACACTCAGTGCGTAGGATGTCCACGACGATCGACTTTGTCCTGGACACCGGTGCCGGCGCCCACATCGTAAAGGACGCCGGCCTACTTGTGAATATCCGCCCTGTACGACCAACATCATTTTGTGCAGCCTCTGAAGACTCTTCCTTTGTATGCAGGAAGGTCGGTGATATGTACATCGAGACCGACAAAGGTCGAATTGTGATTGAACACGTATACTACGCGCCAAGGATTGTCAACAATCTTCTCTCCTATGGTCGCCTCAAGACCAAGGGATGGGAATGTGACAAGGCCTTTACCATCCTTAACTTCTCCGACCCCCCTGTATTCTCTACTCCAGTCCTCTGGAAAGATAATGTATCCCACATCAACCTGTCGGTGATGCGCACTCGCACGACACTCATCCTCAATACCACCCTCGACGCCGATGCGCCCAAGACCCCCAAGTGGCCTCACAGCATCTTCGAACCGGTGTACCCGAAGTCTCCCCTGCAACGGATCCACGAACAGACCTCCCACACTTCCCGTACGGCACTCATCCGACTCGCAAGACAGGGGGAGATTGCCATGACAGCCAAGGCCGCCATGGAGGATCCTTTCAGGGTGACTCACTGCAATGCCTGCATGTCGGGTCTGATTAAACCCATTCCGGACGCCAAAGGCTACACACCGCGCGGTACATCTCTTCAAAACGAGATGCTACACTTTGACCTTGGTGGCCCCTTTCCTCTTTCGGAGGCTGGCGACGGCGAGATGGTCTTCTTCTGGAAGATGGACTTCACCAACATCGGTGGCGCAGAGAAGATCCCGTCCAAGAAGGCTAAACACGTTGCCTCGATGCTCAAGAAGATCGTGATCCGTGCCCAGCGACAGGGGATCAACATCGTCCGGGTCCGATCGGACAACGAACTCCTCAACAACATGGTTGCGGGCTTCTGCGACTCTGTCGGCATCGACCACCAAACTTCCCCACCCTATGAGCACAAGTACAACGGCGTGGCGGAAACATGGGTGGGCATCGTGAAAGCCAGGGCTCGAACTCTGCTCCTCTCTACACTCCTCGGCCACCAGTTCTGGGAGTACGCCATCCGCTATGCAGTCGCCGCGATAAACAAGACTTCAACCTCGGGCGTACCGGGCAAGACTCCATGGCAACTGTGGACGGACAGACGGCCTCAGGTGGACAGGATGCTGGAATTCGGCAAGTTTGTCTACGTGTACGTATCTGAGGAGTCGGGTCGACGACTGAAGAACCGACTGGACCAACCAATCGGCCAGCTTGGCCGCGTCATCGGCATGCCGGTTACTACAACCGGGTTCGAGGTGAGACTCGAGGTGAATGGAGTGATCGTGACCTCGGCCAACATTGTGGTGGCACCCACGATCCCCATCAGCACACCTCTCACCATCATCCAGAACAAACCGCCGAAGGCTCCAAGGTCCGGCCTCCTTCCAGACCGGCCCCAGATCGATCCGATCGGTCTTGAGGACACGGAGTATCTCAAGGCCCACCCCCACCTGCGCACCTTCCTGGAGGCGAGGACTAAGCCACGCCCCTCGGCGCCGAGACGTCCCGTAGACCCTTCCATGATGATCCGGGACCAGTCCCTGCCCCGTGACAGTCCGCAACCCTCCCCGATAGCGGACTCAGCGGCGGCCCCGGCACCTGAACATCGTGACCAGCGAGGACTACTCGACGACGGTGACGAGGACGTGCGCCAGCTCCAACCTCCCCTCGAACCGGCACAACCGCAGGACGAGGTTCACACTTCGGGACCATCCACCCCGAAGCCTACCCCACGCGCGACTCCGGGCACGGTGCCACCTGTGACGCCCAAGAAGGAGCCTACCTCGAAGCGTCACTCCGACCTGAACGAACGTGCTCAGGGGGAGCCCTACAACCTCAGGACACGACCCGTTCCGGCCCCGGACTTCAACAGAACGGTGTCGGCGGGCCCGACAGCTTCCAAGAAGCCCAAGCGCAAGACGACCACCCAGAAGACCGCGATTTCCCGACGGGAGAAAGGGCCAGGGTTGAACTACACGGAACCCACCGTCCTGACGACCCCAGGAGATCGACGCCTTCCTTACCGACTATGCGCCGTTGGTGCAAGCATAGCCCAGACAACAAGGCCGACCCCGGTACCACGTTCCCTCCCGGAGGCGCTTCGCTCCCCCTCAGCACCCCAATGGAAGGAAGCCCTCGACCGCGAGCTGAACCAACTCGAGGAGAAGGGAACATGGGAGGAAGTCGTACCACCTGACGGTGCCAAGATCATTGGCAGCAAGGTCGTCTTCGACCTCAAGACGAACGAGAAGGGCGACGTCATCGGCCACAAGGCTCGCGTGGTTGCCAGAGGTGACTGCCAGGACTTCATCCACGACTCCTTCAATGGCGTCGTCCGTATGGCATCGATCCGCGCCCTCATGGCTATCGCCGCCGCTGAGGACCTGGAGATCCACCAGGCCGACATCATTGGCGCCTACCTCAACGGGGTACTCGAGGACAAGAACATCTACATGAAATTCCCCCCAGGGTATGTGAAGACTGACCCCCGGGCAACCTGCCTCCGCCTGATCATGACCATTTATGGTCTCCGCGAAAGTGGCAAGATCTGGGGGAGGGCGATCGCTGGCCAACTCGTCAAACAGGGCTTCACTATCCTGTCCAAGGACAAAGGCCTGTACGCGAAGATCCTCGACGACGGCACACGCATGATCATTGCGCTGTTCGTCGACGATATGATGATAGCCGCGAAGAGAGCTGCCGCGATCACGGCCTTCCTCGACGTGCTCCACCAAGTCTACCCCCTCAAGCGGTTGGGCGAAGTGCGACACCTGCTCGGCATGACCATCACCCGCGACAGGCCGGCCAGGACGATATCCATTTCACTCGAACCCTATATTCGTGAGGTGGCTGCGAGATTCCCCGACCTCGACACGCGGTATGGACGATTCACTCCGCTCCCCCACCAGTTGGACCAGCTATCCGACCACGAGTCGCTCAACAACATAAAAGCGACACGCAAGTACCAGGCGATAGTCGGTTCCATCATGTGGGCCTCGAACACCGCCAGACCGGACATCCAGTTCGCGTCAGGCTGGCTGGCAACTGCCCTGAACAACCCATCAGCGTATCACATGAGCATGGCGTACAGGGTCCTCGCCCACCTCTACAACACCAAGGACTATGTCTTGACGCTGGGTGGAGCATCCAAGCCCCTCCGCGCATACACGGACGCAGCCCACGCGGACGCACCTGGCAGTCGGTCAACAGAGGGATCACTCATCTTCCTCGGACCATCTCTGGTCGAGTGGCGTTCTAAGCGACAGCGCGTGGTGGCCAAGTCAACGATGGAGTCCGAGTACATCGCGGCCTCCGAGGCCACTGCCGACGTTCAGTACTGGCGACAGTGGCTCCGCGACATCGGCCAACCTGCCGCGACCCCGATCGAGCTCTTCATAGACAACATGAGCGCGAAGCAGTTCGCCGAGAACGAGAAGATGAAGCGCAACACCCGACACATCGACATTGCCAAACACCACATCAAACAGTACCTTGAAGACAACAGCTTGAAACTTCAACACGTCTCGTCGGCTGACCAACTCGCCGACATCATGACCAAGTCCCTTCCGCCAGCAACCCATGAGACCATCAGGACACGGCTCAACGTCCTCCCTCCGCCGTAGATCCACGACGTGCCTCTGCAGGGGGAGTGTTGGGATCCAGGGTTCCCACGTGTGCAGATGCACGTTTGCTTCCGCCGTGATGCCTCGTCATCACGCTCATGCCTTGTATTATGTTTATGCATTCGCTCTCTGCCCCGGCATTGCACACCAGGATTAACCGCCAGACACGACCCAGACCCAACCAGTCGGCAATCGCCCGCACCGAGATAACGGTCCCACCAATCATATGCCCGCTTTATCCCGGCTCCCCACTCCCCGATCCTGCATGTGCCGCCCATACCCTCCGCGTGCCGGGCATGTCTGACACCCTCCCAACCTTCTAAAGCGCATTGCTGCCCATTCTTTTCTGCTCTTCCTTACGTCTCACAACGTCCCCACAGTTGTCATTTTACTTACTAGAGCTCTAAACTTGAGGTGTACCCCGCGGCGCCTCTTCCCTTCACTCTCCACACTCTCCTCCTCCATCTCCTCCTCACTTCCCAAAATGTCTGTCACCTTTGTCGCCCCCAAGGCAGTCCTTCCCGGCAAGTCGGAGCCTGTCCCGGCCACCGTTACCGTCGACACGAACACGGGCAAAATCACCGACGTCAAGGAGGGCGTGCACGATGCGTCTGGCGATGTCGTCAAGGTGCCTGAGAACCAGGTGCTTCTCCCCGGTCTGATCGAGTGAGTGAGCTCCACATCGCCGATTGCTGATAAGCCCAGCACGCACGTCCACCTGAACCAGCCTGGACGCACACAGTGGGAGGGCTTTGCGACCGGCACGACTGCGGCCATCAGTGGCGGCGTCACCACACTTATCGATATGCCCCTGAACAGCATCCCGCCGACGACGACTGTTGACAACCTGAAGGAGAAGCAGTCCGCGGCGCTCGACACGGGCATCAGCTGCGACGTCGGTTTCTGGGGCGGCATTATCCCGGGCAACCAGGACGACCTCGTTCCGCTGCTTAAGGCTGGCGTGCGCGGTTTCAAATGCTTCCTGATCGAGTCTGGCGTCGACGAGTTCCCGTGCGTCCAGGAGGAGGACCTCGACAAGGCCTGCAAGGCGCTTGAGAAGTACGACGGCCCCACGCCGCTGGTCATGTTCCACGCCGAGCTGGACGAGCACGCGCACGAGCACAAGAACGGTGACGCCAACGGCCACGCCAACGGCAAGAAGGAGTCCAACCCCGAGGCGTACGAGACCTTCCTCGACTCGCGCCCCGAGAGCCTCGAGACTGCCGCGCTCTCGCTCATCCTCAAGCTGTGTGCTCGCTACCCCTCTCTCCGATTCCACATCGTGCACCTGTCTGCTGGCTCCGCCCTCCCCGCCCTCCGCGAGGCCCGCGCCAAGGGAATCAAGAACCTCACGGTCGAGACGTGCTTCCACTACCTGACGCTCTCGTCTGAGGACATTCCCGACAACGCGACGCAGTTCAAGTGCTGCCCCCCGATTCGCACCGAGGCGAACCGCCAGCTGCTCCTCGACGCCGTCGTGAACGGCGAGATCGACTATGTCGTCTCGGACCACTCGCCGTGCACGCCCGAGCTGAAGAAGGGCGACTTCATGAGTGCCTGGGGCGGTGTGTCGGGCCTTGGTCTCGGCCTCCCCCTCCTCTGGAGCGAGAAGAAGGTGCGCCAGCTCGGCCTCGTCAAGGTCGTTGACCTCCTCTCGGGCGCGCAGGCGAAGCAGGTGCGTCTTGGCAACAAGGGCGCGATCGAGGTCGGCCGCGATGCCGACTTTGCCATCTTCGACCCCGAGCGCAAGGTCGAGATCACCAAGGACGGCCTCCTGTTCCGTAACAAGATGTCGCCCTACGTTGGTAAGACGCTCGACGGCCGCATTGAGAAGACGTACCTTGGTGGAAAGCTCGCCTTTGACGCCGACAAGGGCGTCACCCAGAAGGACGGCAAGCTCCAGACTGACGCTGGCAAGAAGTAAGCCTATCCTCTCCGGATGGGTCAAAATATAAGTGGAGAAGTAGAGTGCAGGAGTAGACTGGACGTGGTCATGTAGCATCATTTTTGGTAACCTCGTAATCAGTAGCATGGATGTAAGCGTTGTTCAAAGCGGGGCAAGCGCAGCGAGCGAGAGGACAGCTCAGTTTTGTAGAACGGTGTAAGTGGCGATCAGCAAGAGCCATGCATGCGTACAACAGTTGTATGTGATTATGAAAAATTCGTCTGTCTAGTTCTTGGGCACAGTGGTAGGGGTACCGGGGGCGCCGGCGCGGCCCGCGTCGGCAATCTCCCACCAGCCCTGGTCATTGGCGTTCGGGTTGAAGAACGGGCATCGAGTCTTGAACACTGGACGTCAGCTGCAGTACATAGATCCAATAGCTGTCACTCCTTCTTCGCTTCAAACTCCGACAACCGACCCCATCCTTCCTCATGGGCCAGACAGGAGAGCGGAGCAAGAGCGAGGAAGCGCAGAATTGTCACTCACCCTCAAGCGTCCTCTTGCGGACAATGGCCTCAACCGTCGCCTCGTTGGCCAGCTGGTCCGCCAGCACCTGGTTCTCGCTCACGCCGCGCGGGTAGGCCCCGTCCTTGCCTGCGTGACCCCAGGTCGGCGCCGTGTCGTGCGACGCGGGGACGGCAGCCACCTGCGTCTGCTCGGCCTGCACTGCCTGCGCAATTTTCAGGTTCTGCGCAACCGTGTTCTGGCAGTAGGTCAGGAGTTTTTGCCGGTTCAGCCAGCCCGCTGATCGTCAGCTTGATCAATGATGTCGCGATAGCTGAGTGTCCTCGGCAAGGGTGGCGAGCCAGCCCCTGTTGGCTCTGGGCGATAGTCCACAGAGCCATTGAGGCAGAGTCGGGGCTTCCCCGGGCAACTCTCACGCAGTCCTCGGACATAGCTGCCCAAATGCTACTCACTCATCATCTCGGCCCACATCTTCGCGCACATGCCATCAGGACTGTCGCCCTTGCCCTGCCTGACCTCGTCACGGAGCTGGGCCTGGGCGCGGTTCAAACGAGTGACAACCTGGTCATCGAGTTTCCTGTACTGTCGGACGACACCTGCTGTCAGCTCACCAGACCGAGGGCTCAGCAGTACGCACCCTTGAACACAGAGAGGTTGAAGCACGTCTCAGCCCCAAGCGTCAGCTCCTTCGGGGCGGGCGCAGGGAAGGAGTCGGCGTACGCCGACGCTGTGCCGAACGGGAGCGTAGAGGACGGTGTAGACGCTCCGGACATGGTGTATTGAGCGATTGGTATATTCGAACGTCCCCGAATGTCATGATCGCCGCTCGATGGCCACGGCCACTGCCGAGACTTGGACCTCCACACGTAATCGTCCGGCCAGGCCGGCCAGGGCTGACGTCGTGAGCATGAGCGCTGCTGGGTGCGAGCCGCCACACTGCGGAAATTACGGCGTAAGGGGCGAGACTCACCCAGGCACCCTGCCTCCCAGATTTCAGATTTAAGGCGCGTGTGTTGTGTGAGCAGTTGTCTTCACCCAGCAGCTCTGCAGCTCACTGCACACAACGACGGCACAACCAGTGAGTATCCTCCTTCCTCTCCTCTCTACCGTCCTGTCGACATGCTCGACGCTAGCTCCTCGCTGCTCGCTATGGCCCGCGAGCGCGAAGGGCAAGCTACAGCGTGACCGCGGGACTCGAAATGATGACCTTCTATTTCTCTCCCCGTCTTATCGACCATGACGAACGAGACAGGAGCCCCCTTCGCAGGGGGCTCTGGACCCCCTCGCGGCTTGCCGCAGGGCTAATGGCGCTTGCCAGCGCTTAAGTCTGATCCCAACAAACTACGAAAGCGTTTGAACCGGTAGCTGACAGTTCAGATCCTCTCCTTCAGATTGATTGGTTGTGCCGTCGCGATTTGTTTGTTTTGGTAAGTTTCGCATCTCGAAAATCTTTCCTCGCACTCGCACCGCTACGCGCTTCGCACCGAGCAAGCAAATCTACAGCCTTCCTCGCCCTTCACTTGACACTCGCCAACGTTTCTCAACATCGACGACTGGTTGAGGGTTATAAGGATTGGCTACGGACTGGCTTTCTCGATGCGTTCCACGCGCGACGCGACTACTCTCAATGATGATAATTTCACCAAAATCCATACGCAGTTTCCACTGACGCGTCCTCCTTTCGCCGGGAGTTGCGCCGGTCGGGCGACGCCTCGTCTCTCTATGAGTTGAGTGCACTTGGCTCCGGATTTGAACCTTCTGTTGAACCAAGAACGCATTCCTCATGGGCCTTCGGGCAGCCGAGACGGGGCTGAGCTCGTGCCGGCTGATGCAAAGAAGTCTTATTCTTCCTTGGATGTCTGATTCATTCTCTACACCTTGCACTTTCCTTTCTGCGGGGATCGTTTGCTGACAACGTCACAGTATTTCTTGCTATCTTTAATCTGTTGTAGTCTTATCTATGTCTTTGTTTGTCTTCTGCTGCCTGTTGCATGTGCTCATTGTTTACTGATTACCCATTTCCGAAGCAAGCAGGCTCGATCGATAAGATAGTCGTGTGACTGAACTTGTCGTGCAAACTTTCTCCTGCCACCATTTTGCCACTGACGCACGTGACTTCATTCACTCCCTCCTTCTGCCCCACTTCACAGTTGCACCGGCTTCATTCCCGCTCTCCTCCTCAACATCTCTCTTCACAATGCCGCGCCCAAGCCTCCTTGCCATTCTCGCCCTCGCCGCCGGCGCCGTATACGCGAACACGCAGATGGGTCAGCAGTCCGAGGAACTCTCGCCACAGGGCCAGGCCGCCCAGGCCGTCTTTACCGACCCCCTTGGTTCCTCACCTATCGGAGTAGGACAGGGCGGACCCAGCCTCGCCGATGCGCTCACGGTCGAGAGGCGCGCGAGCTTGTGGTTCGAGTATGCGCGTGATGTTTCCAGTATCGTGAGTCCCACCTTACTGACGCCTCTTTGTGTGCAGCAAGTGGAGGGGTGCAGTAACGAGCTGGCGTGAGTTGCGATGTGGCTGACGGCAGAATAACCGCCTGACAAACAAGGGCTTTACGACGATCCTGGTCCCCGTTGACCGGGCAATCATGGCGATGCCGCGGAAGCCGCACCAGGGCTCCGGGGACGCGGCGGAGAACACGGCCAACTTCCTCGCGGCGCACGTCGTGCCTGGCGACCTGGAGGGCAAGCCGCTCAAGACGCTCGCCGGCACGGAAGTCAGCGTCAAGGACGGCAAAATCGAGCCCGCCGGCGTCGAGGTGCTTGGCCAAAAGAGCGCGAGCAATGGACGGATCTACTACCTCGACGGCGTGCTTGTCGACTAGGACTTGACCACTTCGCCACCGTGTTAGTTGTATACCCCCGATCTTGTGAAATATGTCATGTTGTGTTCTCTCTCTGTGCGCGCCCGCTGCTGATGCGTATGTTTAGATTCATGATTCGTAGATGTCTAAGATAACTTATAATGGGCGAGCCTCGAGTTTCGCGCTTCTCCTGGGGCTCAGCGGGCCGAACGGCGGAGCTCACGGCATTGGCGCGGGTTTGGTCCACTTGTCCCAAAACTCCCCATTCTCGAGCTCCCACCTATCGCATCCGACCTCCTCCATCCACTGCCTGCACACCTTGACCTCCCTGGAGCGCTTAGACGCATAACTGGTCGCATCCTCGGTGGCCCCGCGCACCCGATTCCGCATCCGCAGCAGCGTCTCTCTCTTCTCCGCATGGCTCCTGACGCGACTCCACTGAGCGTCCGACATGGCATAGGCGTCTCGGGAACAGTGCCGGGCAATGAGCAGCCGGAGTTCCGGCGGCAGGTCCATGAGCCTAAACACTGCCTGGGAGGGTGCGTCCGGGTCCGCGGAGGCGAGCACGCGTTGCGCCGTCTCGGCATCCAACGGCTCGCGGGCATGCAGGATCATTCGCGTCGCGGCCAGCGACTTGACAGCAGCCTCACGCACGCGCCGCCACAGCGTGCCGTTCCGCCTCTGCAGGGCTGGTAGCCTCTCGCCAATCTGCCACGCCATGCTGGCGTGGTCGTTCGGGTCGCCGGCCGTGCGCTGCGCGTCGGGCGCGCTGTTGTCTGGCCGGCCCGCACCCTCGGGCCCGCCTGCGCCGACGCCGCCATTCTCCGCCGCGCCCGTCCCTCCGGCCGGCTGACCGTTGTCATCTGTCGCCCACCGCCGCACAGTGTTCGCAAACAGTCCAATTCGGGAGAGAGAGAAGTTGGCCTCCTCGATCGCGTCGAGGATGGCTGTGACGCCGGCACGGCCGAGCATGTTCCCGTTTAGCTCTAGGAGCTGCAGACGCTGAGAGCGGGGGGAGCGGAGGAAGGCGCATAGGGCTGGGACGAGGTCGGATGTGATCTGGCACGCGGACAGGTGCAGCGCGTGCAGGTATGGTGCATCTAGCATCTCGAACATGGTGCAGACTGCTGCCGTGTTGAGCGGGTTGGAGGCGAGGGAGAGCTTGGCCAGACGCGAGGCGTTCAGTTTCTCGACGACGCGGACGACGACGTGCTCGAGCTGGGGTGTTAGCTTGATCACCGGGAGGTCGACAGCTTAATTGTCTCCATTCCATTCACTCGATAGGTGCCCAAGGTGGCTGGAACAATAGTCCTACCTTCTCTCCCTTGCCTACTCACAGTAACCTGATTCCGCTGCAGCAGCAGCTCCTTCATGCACATGTCCTTGGCACAGTAGAACATGGCAGCGACGAGCCCTTCGTCGCCGATGGCGTTCGCGGCGAGGTTGATCTCGCGCATGCCCCAGAACTCGTCACTCTGCGCAGAGAAGCGAGCGCGAACCGCCATCAACCCTTCGAAGAGGGCTATGCAACCCATGCTCCCCAGATCATTGTGGGTTGCGTCGAGACGGCGGATCTGGCGCGAGACGCTCAGGAGCATGCGATGGGCTGGTGTTAGCTCCAACAGCCGGCTACTCGCTGGTGGCGAGGGGGGAGAGATAAGGCCACTGAGGCCCCGCAAGGGGCAGAGTCGGGGTTGAAGGGATGTAAATGAGAGCAGGAGATCACTGCGCTCGCCCGTACTCACCACCACTGACCCCGCTCAGGTGTTGATCGCTGAACGAGACCAGGTCGGTCCCGACCGGGAACGAGTGGACGACAACTGCCATATGACCGGAATAGAAATGCCGCACTCGAGCGGTGCGGCGGTAGAAGTTGCGGTTGTGCCACGGGAGGCCGTATATCTTTGCGATATGTGCACTTGGCTGAGCCTGTAAGGCTGGTTTGCACTGTAGAAAATGGGCAAGTTCAGCCAAGGCGGACGAGGGATGGCAGAGGCGGAGGCGGAGGCGTCAGACGGGTGTGATAACGTCGGTCCGTTCTGTAAGGGGCCCAGCTAGATTGCCGTCACTTTCCCACGGTGCTTCAGCCGTTGCGGTGGAGGTATGCTCGTCGACCTCACCGGAGCTGCAAGTCGGAGAAGGAGATAGGAGAATTTCGAGCACCAAGCCTGCTCCAGCACCATTTGCAACAGAGAGCAGACAGACAACAAGCGATGCTGGCTCAGCTCATCCTCGCTGCGGCGGCTCTCGGTCTCCTGCTCGCCGTGCGGCTGTATCAGGTGCTTCCCCGGCGAAACCGGCCGCGACGAAAAGACTCCGACAAGCGGCCCACACGATCTCTCGCCGTCTTCCTCGGTTCAGGAGGGCACACGGCAGAGATGAGGGCTATGCTACGCGCCCTCGACAGGCGGAAGTACACCCCTCGCATCTACGTTTATGGCGCCGGTGACGCTCTCAGTCTCCGCGCGGTCTCGGAGCTCGAGGAAGACGCCAAGTCTTCGGAATACTCCCTGCTCGCTCTTCCTCGTGCTAGAGCTGTCGGCGAGGGCAAGCTCTCGACACTCGTCAGTGCAAGCCGCACGCTTGCTGTTACTTTGCGGCACACCTTCTTCCTTCCCCTCATCCAGCGACCAAGCGAGCCATGGGCCGACGTACTTGTTCTGAACGGACCGGGAACGGCGGCGGTGCTCGTCCTCGTGGCGTACATCCGAAGAGTAAGCTGAACTGGGCTGATAGTCGCTGACAGACAGGTGTTTGGTCTCCGGTATACTAAGATTGTGTACGTTGAGAGTTTTGCGCGTGTCAAGAGCCTGAGCCTGACGGGCAAGCTGCTTCGGCCGCTCGTGGACACGTTTGTGGTCCAGTGGCCCGACGCAGCGGGCGACGGTGCTGCCCCGGGATCCGGGACGACGTACAAGGGCTGGCTCGTGTAACTTCATGTATTGTATTCAGGTCACTCTGGACTCATCGTTGGATGAGTATGGCGCGCGAGCACGAAAGCATGTAGCCGCCGACGTCGTGACAGCGTCGTGACGCGCGACACAGGGAAGGCATGGGCACGGTCAGGAACAGGGGGGGGGGTGCCAAACGCAGCGGGGCTCCGGGATTGAGAGGTCCACCTGACTTTGGCCAGGGAGGGTGACTCAACTGGGTTGATAAGGGGTGGCAAATCCGGACAACGCCGGGACGGGGTCCTTTGAACGCCTTGCTCTATGCATGCACAAGTGCAGAAGTGGCTGAGTAGAGGGAGCCGAGGGGCTGCGTTAGCATGGCGCCGGTGCTTTGATGCAGGGTTGGGAGGGTGGGAGTCACATTGAGGTCGCAGCGCTACGCGCCGCAGATAGATTCCGGGTGGCAACACCGACGCACTTCCCCCATCCTCGCTTTCTCACCTGCGCTTGCATTCCTGCATACCGTTCCCGTACACTGCAGACTAGCGTGCGCAGACGCAGTCCAGCCTGCACTCCCCCCCCTGTGTCACCTCCACCACTGCTGCGCCCTCCTCCCTCTAGCCTCCCGTCTCCCTCGCCGCCCGCCGCCGCTCACGCACTGGCCCTTCCTCCCACTTGCCCCCTTCCTTGCGACCTCTCCATCTCTCATCCTCAACATTCATCCCGAACACTCTTCCAACACTGAGAACCCAACCCAAACCTCCCACTCACTAGCGCTTCCTTCCTCGCCTTCTGTCAGGGGTACACCCTTCTACCGCACGAGTACCCCTCGCCGTTCCCGCGGCCACCGTCACCATGCCAGACTGGATACGCCCATCCGAGGCTATCGCTTTCGACAATCGTCCTACCAGCGTCAGCCTCTACAGTGAGCTAATAACTCTTGGATGCGTAGCTGACCCCAGCTCCGTACCTCCGCCTCGTGCTCACCTCCAAGTCTTCGCGCAACATTCGCGATGTAGCGCTCCGTGAGCTGATGCTCGACCCTAACATCGACAACCCCTCCCGTCTCGGTGGAGGCTTCATCCTCGGCCGTGGCCCAGACTCCGGCCGTGCACCCAAAGTGAGTGAGAACTGTCGTCATCTACGCCACGGCGCGGTGCTCGGTTGAACGGCTGTCTGCATCGCTAGTTGCACTTGCGTGCCCCTCCCTTCTCATCGATCGCGCCATTAGTACCAGTGTTAACACGCTTAGGAGCTGTCGTCACGTGTCATCTCCCGTCAGCACGTCCAACTGCTCGTTGATAAGGACGGTGCAGTGTTCCTCGTCGACCTGAACAGCACCCACGGGACCATCGTTCGCCGCGGTGGAGACAGTACCAAGGTTCACGGCAAGCAGCCTGTCCGCCTCCTCGACGGCGACCAGGTAACCCTCGGCCGCCCCGTCCTCAGTGGCAACCTCCACGACGCCGTCCGCTTCAAGATTGTGTTCCGCCACGAGATCCCTGACGCTACCAGGCTCAGCTGTCCCTACATGGCCAGCTTCTTCGCGACTTCCAAGGACGTCCCCGCCATCGACGGCGCTCTGTACCCCAAGCCCACTGGCCCCATGCCCAACTTGGCTGGTCGGTACGGCTTAGAGCCATCGATGCTGTATGAGTCTGAGCCCGAGTCGCTTCTGCCTCGCGGCGGCTCTGACAGCCCCACCAAGAACGTCGAGGTCATCAACGTCGTCGACGACAGCGACGACACGGGCGGCAGCAGTGATGACGACGATGACGGGGACGTCAAGCGTCTTCCCCCCGCGGAGCAGTCTTCGCCACCCACTAGCGTCGATTCGCAGGACAAGAGCGACGAGGCGGACGAGGGAGTCTTTGACCCTGAGATCACGATCTGTATTCCTTCCTCGATCGTCGAGTACGAGTCCCAGGACAATGCAGAGGAAGACGACGACGACGATGATGATGCACAGGAGTCGGAGGGCCGCCCCTCTCAGGAGCCATCCGGCATTCCTGCCGCCCCAAAGCACATGCTCTACGAGGACAACAAGGAGAAGGCTATCAAGGAGGAAGATGATCCCGTCGAGGATCAGCACGATGCACCAACCAACGACAGTGACAAGGAAGATGAGGACGAGGAGGACGAGCCGCACAGCGTCCGCATGCCGTCGCTGAAGGGATCAATCGAACTCCCCATCATTGACGGGCCCATCAAGCTTCCCAAGCTCTCTGGTCCCCTTGAGATCCCCTTCCCTGGAGTTCTCGATCTCGCGGGTGACTCTGTCGCCAGCTCGGACGAGACCCGCAGGTGGAGCCGGCTCAACCTCGACTCTGCCAGCTCTGCTGACCCCGACAGCGTCATGATGAGCTTCATCGCCGAGCCCGCGCCTGCTCAGCCGTCCTTTTCCAGGTCCCACGACGAGGGTGAGGAGTACGAGTCGTGGCTCGCGGGCGACCGCTCGCGCAGCTCGTCGCAGGACGCCGAGGAGGATGATGGCATGGGCTCCGACTATCCCGAGAACGAGGAGGAGCACGACCATGACTGCAACGAGTGCGGCTGCGACGACGAGGACGGTGAAGATGCTAGTGACCACGAGTCTGTCGCCTCCGAGTCTGACGAGGTGTATGGAACAGCCATCGAGATTGAGCCCACCTACACGCCCGCCGACGATGAGGACGTCTCCTCCGAATTATCCGACCCCCAGAGCGCCATGAGCGAGGACGAGGAGGAGTCAAACTCTGAGGCTGAGGATGAAGCCTCTGATGTTGATGCCTCTGACGATGAGGTGTCTGACGGCGGCGAGTACCTCACCATTGATCCCGAACGCTTCTACGACGACGACTCCGAGTCTGACTCTGACGCCGAGTCGGCGCACGACGACGAGCACGTGTCCGAGGATGAGGAGGATCAGTCGGAGGATGAGTGAGTAGCTGTTCTACTCGGACGGTCAAGCTAACGACCAGGGGTCTCCCTAAGATGTCGGCGATCTCGGAGCTCAAGCTCGACAGCAGCACGCCGAGCAAGACGTCGGCTACAGCCACTGAGAACCACCCCGTGCTTGGACTCGCGTACCTGTCGGACCTGCACGATTTGGACTTTTCCGCCAGCGCCGACTTTGCACCCGGTAGCGTGCGCAACGTCACCTTCAGCGGCGACCTCGATTACGATTTTACGTTCAAGGCGCCCAAGACTGAATCCCAAGTCCAGGCCACCCAGAGCAGCGCCAGCAGCAAGCTGCCACCCTCGCCTGCCAACTCGGCAGGCGCCAGCAGCCTCAGCAAGGCGTCACAGACGCCCGAGACCAAGTCGTCGGTCCTGCCTTCGGTCGGACTCGCGACACCCCCGTCGCCTCTTCCCCGCCAGCTGATGCACGTTGAGGCGGCCGCGCAGACGAGCTCTCCGCGCAAGCGCACCCACGAGGAGATGGAGGAGGCATTCGAGACGGCGCCGTCACTCGTTGAGCCGCTCAAGGTCGATGCTCCGCAGACTACCACCACGACGGTGGTCACCGAGACGGCTACCGTCGCCGACCCCCGACCACGCAAGCGCCGCCTCCTGGAGCGCTTCGGGTTCACTGCCGGCGTCGTCGTCGGTGCTGCCGGCATGTTCGGCACGCTCCTTTTCCTGGGGGAGGAGTAGCATCCTGGCTAGTTGTTGTATACCCGTGTGTGTATGTATTCGTGACCTAAGCGAGGTGTGTGCGAGGCGCACGCGCGAGCAGCGCTGTTGTAAGAGTTAGATGCTCTAGGTAAGATCCAGTCAGCACCTTCGTCAGTCCGCACCAGATCCCATGACTGCTGATCTCATTCATTTCGTTACAGCTGGTAGCGCTCGACAATCTTCCACTGGTCCGCATAGCCATTGATATCAACGACGACGACCTCTGCGAAATCCGTCTTGCTCGGCCAGTTTCCGCCCGCAACCGCCGCATCAGCAAGCTTCCACCTCGTGTCCTCATCCATGTCTCCATAAATGAGGCTCAGATGGGGGAAATAGAACGGCTGGCTCTCCTCAAAGGCATTGCAGAACGCAGCCCTGAGGCGCTCCAGATCCCTCCCCCTTCCCTCCGCCTCATCGACGGGCGCAAGGACACACTGGTAATACTTCTCGCCCGCGCAAGGATTGTTAAGTACGATCTCGACGGGTCCGCCGAGACTCCCGCCGCCGCCCGACGACCCAGTCGTACCCGACGAACCGGCAGCGTAGGCGTCACTGTTGGGACGCGGGGTGGCGGTTCCCGAGGCCTCGTGCCGGTTACTGGGGTTCGAGCCGGAGGCATAAGCGTCGAGGGCGAGAGAGGTGCGGCGCTTCATCTCGTTCAGGTCGGTGCGGAGATCGGAGCGCGGCGAGAACAAGGTAATGTGTGGCGTGAAGGGGGGAGATTTGACGCCAGTCAGGTTCGAGGCGGATTGGGAGAGAGTTTGGATGAGGGATTCGAGGGAGGTGGAGAGTTGGCGCGGGGGCACGAGCCAGACGCAGTAGCCTTGGTGTCAGCTGCACATCCTAGTTGTGATGGTGATCGCGGTTGAAGACAGCGTACGTTCGCACGGCAGGCACTGCTGCCTACCAGGCCAGCTAGCACTCTCGAACCACCTCTGTCCAGTACCGCTGTAAGCCACGGCCGGGACTCACCAGACAAAGCATGATCCTGGGCTTCGGCCATACTGTCCTACTTGTTGCTCGCGAGCTAGTCGAAGTATGAGTTGAAAGTAAGATGGGGGGAGAACAGAAAGTTCTCGCGGTCTCGGCGTCTTTATGACGCGGTCGCAGGTGGAGGTCCCGAGGTCCCGAGGTCGGTCATGTGCGACGGCGGACGGCGACGCCACCGATCTCACAAGATGACGGGTTGTTCATTTCGCAAGGCCGCACTTCACACAAATCAACGTTCGTGGCTGTCGAGGCACAAGCTGCACTTGGACGACTGCACGACTTAGGGGTGCACGCACCATTGCTATCACCAATTTGCAACTGAAGTCTGTCACGAAGTCGACTTAACAATCGAGGACGAGCTCAGCATCGAGGATCCAGAAGGCAGTCACGATGAACACAAAGGCGGGCACCGACTCGCTCCCTGCATCCCTCGATTCCGAACTCGCTGCCCTCGGCATAGAGCCCTCCTCACCCCCAACCCTGCTCCAAGAGCACCTCGACGTCCTCCCCGTCTCCGTCCTGAAACAGCTCGGCACCCTCGTCCCGCCGCGCGACCGCTCCAAGATTGCGCGGATACGGCAACGGCGACACATATGGGCCCACCCGGCCTCCTCAACCTCATCAGCCACTCAGGCAAGCGAGTCACTTCCGGGTAGCACCGCCGCGATCCCCAAACCAGTGGAGCTCACAGCGCAAGAGGGACGCATCCGCTGGCCCCTGCTCTGGGAGCAGCTCGGCGGAGATCCGACCCTAGTGCCCTCAACGCAGGCACAGAGGGACGCAGTGCGATGGGCAGAGGAGGACTTCATGCCCGGCTCGACGCGGCACGTGGGCCGCTTGGGCCGGTTGATGGGGGAGGAGGAGGAGATGGGCGCGTGGCAAGCAACAGCCCAAAACAGAGCGAGGGAGAGGAGGATGCAAGAGCAAGGGGAGGAGTTTGACTCTGAGAGTGATGACGAGGAGGAGGAGGTCATGGGCAGTGTACGCCCCGTATCTCTGGGTATCCCGGGGACGGCTGCCGCACCCGTTTCGAATCCGGGCAGCGCGAGTGTGGGCGTCTCGACGAATGCTGTGTCCGACTCTAGCCTGCGCCAGTCGACACATACGGCGCCGAAACGAAGCCAGAGCCAGGTCGAGGCCGAGTTTGAGAAACGCCTCCTCGAGCTCTTCCTCGACGGCCTGGACACTATTGACTACGACGTCGTCGACTTCACCCCCGTCGAGGACCCCATTGCGGACCGGGACAGGACGGATGCGTACTTTGATGACGAGGCGCCGAGTACCGCCCCCGGTGGGAGTGGGAACGGGCACGGGGAGGGGGACAAGGTCATGGAGAATGGGCAGGGCGAGTATGACTACTAGACTAGATGGAATGCAGTGAGATGAAAGTAAAGAGCGGTCGGTCGCAGAATGGATATGCAATGCAGAATAATATGTGTGTGTCTAGATGATCTACGCTCTACTCCCTACTCTCTACGCTTCGCGCTGCTCGCTGCTACGCAGCTACGCGCGCTCCACCCGGGCCATCTCCTTGGCGTCCTGCTCCTTCTCCTTGCCCTGCTCCAACAGCAGCTGGGCCGCCATGAGGTGGCGGAAGCGCGACTTTTCATCCTTTGCGAGCTCCTTGTACGTGCCCTCTTCCGAGACCACGCCATTCTCGAGCACGACGACGCGCTCCGCACGGGCAATGGAAGACAGGCGGTGCGCGGCGAGCACGACCGTGATGTTCTTCTGGTGAATGATATCGTCGATGGCACTGTTTACGCTGTCCTCGGATCCAGAGTCGAGGGCGGACGTCGCCTCGTCCAGCAGCAGAACGCTGGGGTTGCCAACAAGCGCACGCGCGATGGAGATCCGCTGTTTTTGCCCGCCCGAGAGCGACGCCTTGCCCAGCATCGTGTCAAAGCCCTGCGGCAGGTCCCAGATAAAGTTGCAGTTGGCCGCGCGGGCAGCTTCCTCGATCTCCTCCCGGGTCGCGTTCGGATGGCCGTACGCAATGTTCTGCGCGACAGTGCCCTCGAACAGGATCGGGTCCTGGAACACGACACCGAGGCGCGCGCGCCAGCTCTCCGGCGTAAAGTTCTTGATGTCCGTGCCGTCAAACGTGATACGGCCGTGGGAGGGGTCGTAGAAGCGGTCGAGAAGGGTGAGAATGGACGACTTGCCAGAGCCAGAGGTGCCGACAAGCGCGACAGACGTGCCAGGCTCCACCTTCAGGTTGATACCACGGAGCACCTCGACCTCCTTGCGGGACGGGTAGGTGAAGCGGACGTTCTCGAACTCGATCGGGCCGTTGCGCACGCTCGACAGGGTCTGGCCGACACCGAGCGGGATCTCGCTCTGACGGTCGATCAGGTGGAAAACACGGCTGCCCGCGCCGACACCCTTCATGATGCCCGAGAAGAAGGACGTCAGGCCGGAGACTGACGAGCCAACGTAGCCACTGTAGATCAGGAGCGACGTCAGGTCACCGACGGTGATGGCGCCGGTGCTGACGAGGTGGCCACCGTAGGAAAGCAGGCAGAGCATGGCGAGGTTTCCCGTAAGACCAGTCGCGCCAAAGAAGATACCGGAAGCGAGCGCCTCGCGCTTGCTCAGCTGGAAGACGTTGTTGACCTTTTGCGCAAAGCTCTTGGCCTCAAGCGGCTGGGCGTTGTACGCCGTCACCGTCTTGAACGCATTCAGCTTCTCCTCGGCCGTCTTGGACATGTCACCGAGCGACTCCTGCGTCATCTTGCTCAGCTTCCGGAGGTACTTGCCGTACACGACAGCACCGATCGAGATTGGCGGCACGACGCAGAGCATGATCAGCGTCAGCTGGGACGAGATCCAGAACATGGCGCAGATGCCGACCGTGGCTGAGATGATGGCGCGCAGACCGTCAGACAAGTTGGACGTGACCGAGTCTCCGAGAATGTTGGCGTCGGCGTTCAGGCGAGAGACAATATCACCCGCGGAACGGGAAGCAAACTCTGGCTCCTGACGCAGGGTCGAGTCATAGGCTGCGTTACGGATGCGCGCGATGATGCGCTGACCCGCGGTTCGCATAAGAACAACACGACCAGCGTTCGCAGTTGCACCGACGAAGAACGCAGTCGTCAGCAGCGTGGCGGCGACGGGGAAGGACATTCCGAGGAAGGTGGTCTGCGTGTTAGCTCATAACACCAACGTACAAGCTTACAGCATGGGATGAGAAAAAGTCGATGAGTTTACCAATCGTAAGCGGGACAAGCATGGAGACTGAGGACGAGATACAGAGGAGACCGACAGCGATGCCGAGCGTCTTGCGCTCCGGCTTGGCAAGCTGAAACAGCTGCTTGACCGAGCTCTGGCCAGTCTCGCTCGTATCCTGTGGTCCAACATTCTTCAGCGACAGAGCAGACGAGATCCTGCTAAAGATGCCCTTTCGCGGCTCCTCGTTGGCCTCCGCGACGGCGGACTTTGTTTGTTCATCCGACTTGGTCGACTTCTGAGGCACCGAGCTGTTAAACCTGAGACCCAAGCCGACACGACCGACCGACGAGTTTACTCGCAGTGCTCGCGGTGAGACTGGGGCGTCAGAGGTGACATGACAGACATTAACTCACGTCTGAGACGACATGGGCGTGGGGCAATGCCCAGGCGGAGGCCCAGGGCGATGCCGCTGGGAAGCATCGGTCGTCACAGCCAGCCGGGGTGGAGGAGGAAAGAGATCTGTCAGGCGGTTGCAAGAAGCAAGAAGCGAGGGAGGCGTCGGGTGCGTGATCGCAAGTGGAGGTTGTCGACTTTTAAAAAAAAAGAAGATCCAAGATGAAGAGATTGTATCAATGTCGTGAGGATGACGAGGAAGGCGTAGTGATTGGTCTCGACAAGGGATCGGGCAGCGACAGACAAGCGTGCGGCACGGGATTGCTTGGGTTAGGGGGTGTGATGCGTTCGGATTGAGGGGGCCGTCAGCCGTGTAGCGTAGGCCGAAGGGGAGTGGGTGAGAGGGTTCATGGATTCCTTCGATCCCGGCCGGAGACCGTAGGCGGTTGCCGTCGCCTGCCGGTGACTACGGCGAGAGAGCGAGCGTGGATCTCTGTCGACACGCGAGCTAGCCTTACGTAAAACGACACCCCCTCGCGTCTCATAGTGGTTAGGCTGGGCGCTATGTCCCATGGGACGGCAATCGCTTTATTTGCTGCGCAGGGCCTAAAGTTGAGGCGTCAGGACATCGAACGCTGTCGCCCTTGCCGCCAACCCGTAGCGCGTCGACCAACGACCGACCACCACCAATGCAACGAACCCAACACTCATCCCATCATCGTTCTCTCTTTCTCAACACTACCTCCTGTCAACAAACACACTCACATATCATATCTTATCGCTTCCGCTGCCCAGCCGATTATACCTCTAGCTCGACTGATACCGTATTCACTCCCATCGTCATACCCTCACCCACACAATCCGCGACACTCGCACACTCCCGCCTGACACCGCCCCGGCTATGCAGCAATGACCTCGGACACCGTGCCAGCGTCCGAACGGCCTGAGCCCTCCCCGCTAACTGACTATCTTGCCGGTATGTTGCGCACGCCCAATCAGTCTCACTCACTCACACCCTCAGATGTAGAAAAGTCATTCGATGCGGACAGGGGATTAGCCTCATCGCCCTCATCCTCCTCCACCCCCACCACACCTGCCACTGACCGTGATCGACGAAAGAGCAGGCGGCAATCCACTCCGTTCTATACAAAGGGCATTCCAACTAGCCCTGGTCCTCCCGTCACTCATCTCGACCTCGCCAAGGCTGCCGAACAGCGCCTCAAGGTTCCGTCCACCCCGACACCAATGCGCTCAGACCGGAGCCCGACATCACCCTCATTGTCCCCGTCCGCGACGCCGTCGTCATTACCGACACCGTCCCCATCACGATCGCCGTTGAGCCGACCACCAGTGCTACGACGACCGACAGACGATGGCTTCACAGAGCGATTCCAGTATCTCGTTGCCTCGAGCGGGCTGCTCGAGAAGACGCAGATCCTGTCGCTCGTGAGCGCACAGGAGGAGGACAACCCGCCAGTGCCGCCAGAAGCCGACGACAAACTGCAGATGATCGTGCAATCGCAGCAGCACCGATGGGACATTTACGCTGCGAGCGCGTTTGTCATCGTGTCAGTCCTGTATGTCCTAGGGCTGTCCATGTTGCTCGTCCCATCGGCGGCGGTCGCGGGTGGCGCTGCCCTGCTGCTACCCTCGAAAAGTGATTCGACCTCGGAAATGGCGAAAGCCCCACAAGTTGATTCGACTGAAGCCGCAAAGGAGGAGCCGAAGCCGTCCGAGGATAGCACGACTCGGGTGTTCAACACGCTGAACGCGCTGCTCGCAGAGTCGCGAAACCTCGACCAGGCCATCGGAACTGCCATGTCCCTTTTGGCGCCTCGCCCCGACGACCTTGAGAGTGGCCACAGCCTCAGGATCGCCCTTCACCGACTGTTCTCCGACATGACCGACAGCCTGGCGGGAACGACGTCGACGCTGATCCCGATGGCCGACCGCAGCGAACTTGCCGTGCTCGGAGACATGTACGACATTCCCGTGCTCGGGAACCGCAGGAGACGCGCGTCCAGCAGCGGCAGCGAAGGAAGCACAACGACGCCTGTACCTCACCGGCAACGCTCGTTATCAACTTCGGAGGCTGTAACCATGGGTGATGATCCGAGCACGCCTGCGGCTGCGGCACCCGACGCCAATGATCGGTTCACCCCTCTGCCAGTGCGCCAACTTCGTCATAAGCGGTCGGAGAGCAGAGGCTTCGACCACTCGCCGGCCGCATCCCCTCTGCGACCATACCACAGCCAGCACCAGCGGGAAGCGTCGGTTGAAACGCGAGGAAACGATGGCGACGAAGCGATGTCTGTCGCGAGCTCGTCGACCGAGAGCAGCAGCTTGGCGCCTTCATCGCTTCCGGAACAGCTTAATGGGGCACGCCCGCCAGTTGGACCAGCGAGCCGTGCAGTCATGATGTCTTTCACTCCCAAGCGAGCTTCCCCACTAGCGCACACGGGACACACGGGGCACACCCTGGAGCGCCCAGACGCTGCGCCCTCGAGTTTCCCTGCGAACGCTGCGCCGTCCAGCTTCCCTGCGTCGGCCCGAACCACCTCACCCACGTCCTTCCACATGCGGCCGTCACAGTCACCGTTCCGACGATCGCTGCAGGACATTCCTTACATCCACACGCCGCCCAGCTCGAGTGCTGAGCAGGCGGCCGAGCTCGCCAAGGCGCGCGCGACTTCCAACATGTCGAGCGCCAAGCGGCGGTCGCTCCAGACGCCTTACAACCTCGACCTGCAGCGGGAACAGACGCTCGTCGAAGCGAACGCCGGCGGCCTGACGCGCGCGAGCTCGCTGCAGTACACGAACCGCAGCGCACACTCGGATGCGTTGGCTGCGTTGGAAGGAAAGCGGAACGTGACCGAGCCCGTGAGGTCCGGTTTGCGGCCGCTGACCATGTCCGCCTCCCTGTCGACGCCAAACAAGCGAGCGTCGAGTATTTGGAACACTCAGATCAGCCCGCCAAAGTCGACGCCGCAGCAGCAGGTCGTCGAGTCCAAGTCGCGCAACCGTAACTCGATCATTTTGGAGAGCGGCTCGGCGGGTACGGCGGCGATGGCGCAGTCAGAGGCAATGTCGAGCAGACGGTCATCGACCACGCTAGAGGGCCAGACGTTGTTGTCGTCGCCGGACGGCTCGGCTGCGTCAAAGCGGTCATCGCTGCTCCTCGACCAGGGACCGGCTGGCAAGCGTGTGCAGCAGCTGCTCGGTGAACAGAACGCTCTTGGGCTGGGTCACTCTCCGCGCTCAGCCTCGCTCGGCGTACACCAGCCGTTCCAGCGTGTGCCATCGATCTCGCCGCTTACACTCGGCGGATTGAAGGCGTCCTGCCATGGCGTGCACCTGAAGCGACGACGAGTGGCTTGCTGTCTTCTCGGCCTGCGCTTCGCCGAGCCCCGTAGCAGTAGCTATTGGGACGACGTGTGCGGGGAGATGCAGAAGCTCACCGAGGCGATGGCCATGAGCCGGGAGAGCTTGGATAGTGCGCGCGAGGAGGCCGAGAAGGAGCTCAGCGCGCAGCGGGCTCTCGCCGAGAGTGCGAAGCGGCACTCATCCCCCGCGGCGCCGCTCGGTAACATTGACGACGGACCTGTCGAGTTTGCTCCGCGGTCCGACCCAATGTTATCCAGCGTCGATGAGCTGCAGCGCACGCTCGCACGAGTGTGGGCGCGCTGCGATGAGCTGCGGCAGCGCGGCGTCACGCTCGAGCCAGACATTTTAGCCTCCATCTGGGCGGACGTGCGCAGCGACGTAGGCGGGATGCTGCGCCAAGTCGAGCGCGGCCGCGAAGCGGTGCGCTCTACGAATGTTTCCGAAGCGGGCGCGACGGACCCGACCGACTCGGAAATCATGCCGATCAGTGCGTCCAGCGCGGACATGGAGCCCGGCTTCCTGCGTGCGTGGGAGGCAGTTGATCAGGAGGAGGACGAGATTGAACGTCTCGTCTCTGGCGAGGACGTGCCGCCCGACTCTGAGCCGTATCAGGAGTTCCTCCCGCCGCCGGGCATTGACGAGGTGTTTGAGGCGGCGATCCCGCCGGCACCTGCGCCGCGACCAAAGGCGACCTTGTCCCGTGACGAGCGCATGAAGGCCGCCAAGGAGGCACGCGCGCGGGGTGCGGCCATGGACCGCCTGACCGCCAACAGCAAGGAGCCCTCCCCCGAGCCCGAAGTGCGTGGCCAGGTCATGCAGGAGCTCGAGGGGGTGTTTGGCGTCATCAGGCAGAGGAAGGGGTACAGCAGGCAACCAGCTCCCTAGTCGCCAGCGACGGTGCCCAAGGAGTCGAAGCCGGACTCTACTCCAGACTCGCGCATCTCGACTCCCAACAGCACACCTGCTTCCGCCCGCGTGACAACGCCCCAATCGACGAGCAGCGCACCCCGTCTCGTTGCGTCGCCGTCCCGCTCGCCAACAGTGCTTTCGCCGGTTCAGCCGCAGTTCGGCCTTCCCCAGCCCCAATTCGGACTCCCCCGCATCGGCTCGCCGACGTTTAGAGTCACGTCGCCGACGAGCGGGCGGATTGGCTCGCCGACGCCCTCGTCTCGCGTGACCTCGCCGACGCCGAGCTCAAGAGTGTCCTCGCCTCCGCCGACGGCGTGGTCGCCTCGCAGTGCGCCGCGCGTCCTCTCCCCGACTTCTGCGCGCATGGTCTCTCCCCCGCCTGGCCGGATGGCGACCATGTCCCCTCCCCTCAAATCACCATCGCCCATCTCGCCGCGCGCACTCTCGCCCACCGGGCCGCACACGCCGAGCCGCTCCCCTTCGCTCTCCCGGCAATCTTCTCTCACCCGGGCATCAAGTCTGACGCGTCCTGGCGCCTCGGGCGCGAGGAAACAGAAGGGCATGTCCCTGCAGCCGATAGCGGCTACTGTGCCGCTGGCCACGAGCCCGGACGCGGAACGCAGGAGGAGCCTGCAGACGCTGTACGAGGGGTCGAATGCGAGTGGGGAGTTCAAGCCCATTCACCTCAGGGCGCCCGATGAGGTGGCCGAGGATGAGATCGGTGTTGCACTCTGAGCGAGCCGTGACCGACCCGGAGGCGAGCGAGTGTCGAGGGTTGCGGATAGCGTCTCTGCAACTCGGGCGACTCGATGTTACGAGAATAACGATTATCATGTACATATCTTGGAATCTCATCTGTAGAATAATGCACCATTATCACACCGAGCGAGCGCAGCGAGCGAGTGTGAGGCTAGTGGCGAGCCGTGATTAGACATTGTGAGTGAATCTGCTGGGGTGAAAGCGCCGGGAAATCGCCGACTGGCACAGATTGGAGATAAGTCGCCGCAGAATCGAGCTTTCCAACGGTCCTGTGTCTACTACTTCTGAGCCTTGTTAACTCAACATTGCTTCAACGGATAGTACCAAGAGGAGAGGGAGGCGATGTTTGGACGTCACGCAGGAAGAAAGTGCCTGAACGTAGTCGCTTGAAAGAAGTGTTTTGGGGAGACGAAGAAGAGATAAACGACTCGGAGAGGTTATCTCGACTCAGGGATCCGGCGATCTCCGAAGATCTGGCCCGAGCTCTGAGAGGGATCGGCCAGCCCGATCTGCCCACTTGCTTTCGTACGACGTCACGGCATGCTGCGTGCTGCGTGCTGCGGTGTGCGGCGTCTGCACTGTCGTGTGTCGTGTACCATCCTCGGTCTGCTCGCCAGATCCTCTCGCGTGAGTTGCCCGGTGGGGAATGCGGGAGAAGCCCGACACGACACGGATGTACAAAAAGAAAACGACCCTTCGTGACCCTTCGTCTCTCCTCACTACTCACACATTCCTCACTCACTCACTCACGAGCCGATCAAGGAAGACGCAATGACGGCCGACACGATCGCCGCCACCCCTGCGGCCCCAACTACCAACGGCCTCAAGCCGTCCAAGCCTCTCGGCTCTGAATCAAAGCCCGCACCCACCGATGAGCAGAACACGCACAACGTCACAGACTCCTCAGTCCTGCACCGCAACCTAAAAGTCGTGCTGCCGATCGTGACCCACGCGCGGGGTTCGTATCTGTACACGTCCTCGGGGCAGCGCATTCTGGACGGGAGTGGTGGCGCCGCAGTCGTCAGTGTAGGACACGGTGTGCCCGAGATTATCTCCGCGGTCTCGTCGCAAATCAGCACACTGCCCTATGTCTCTTCAGCGCTGTTTGCGATCCAGCCCGCCGAGGAACTCGCGAGGCGGATGTGCAGAGATAGCGGGATGGAGCGGGCCGTGTTCCTCTCTGGCGGCTCTGAGGCTGTGGAAAGCGCGATCAAGCTTGCAAGACAGTATCATGTCGAGCGGGGCGAGCGTCAACGGACCGAGTTTATCGCGCGCGAGGCGAGTTATCATGGCAACACGCTTGGCGGTGAGTCCCCCCTGTAGTTCCCCCTTTAGGTCGAGCTGACCCCAGCGCTCTCTCTGGGCAGACACATGGCGCGGCGCGAGTTCAACGAGCCGTTATTGTCGGCCCACTTCCACGCCGTCTCGCCGTGCAACAGCTATCGCCACCAATCTCCCTCCGAGACGGAAGCAGCGTACGTCGCCCGCCTAGCCACGGAGCTCGAGGAGAAGATCCTCTCCCTCGGTCCTGACCGCGTCGCCGCCTTCTTCGCCGAACCCGTCGTCGGCGCCGCGGCGGGCTGCGTCCCCTTCGTTCCCGGGTATCTCTGCGCAATGAAGCGTGTGTGCGAGAAGTACGGCGTGCTCTTCTGTCTCGACGAGATCATGTGCGGCGCCGGGCGGACGGGCAAGCTGCATGCGTGGATGAACGATCTGGCCCCTTCCTCCTTGCCTGAGCGGTTGGGTGGTGAGGGCGAAGAAAGCGAAGATGCCGAGGGAGAGGGATGGGGGGAGGAAGCGAGGCCGGATATCCAGACATTGGGCAAGGGCCTGTGTGGTGGATATGCGCCCCTCAGCGCTGTTCTGGTCAGCAGGAAAGTGTGTGAGGGCCTCGAGGGCGGATCCGGCGCGTTTAGGAACGGGTACACGTTCCAGTCCTCTGGCACTGGCGTCGCGGCCGGCCTGGCGGTTTACGAGTATATGGAGAAGCACGATTTGTGAGTAATTTTATAGCTCGTCAGCTCGAAGCGGAGCGAGAGCTTGTCTCCTCGTACAGTATCATGATGATGCCCGTCCAGCTTTCAGAGTGGCTCGGGGCTGAGGTGAAATAAGGGAGTACGCGCTGACCTCCAGAGTCCGCCAATGCGCGCGACGCGGGCAATATCTCCGCCGTCTCCTCGAGGAGCGCGTCAGTCCCCTGCCGCACGTCGGGAACGTCCGCGGCCTGGGTCTCTTCCAGGGCATCGAGTTTGTCGCCGACAAGGAATCCAAGGCGCCCTTTGCACCCGGCGAGCATGTGGCCGACAAGGTGGCTAATGCGATTCTCGAGCATGGCGCGGCAGTGTACCATGGTGCTGCGACTAGGATCACAGGCGACCACATCATGCTCTGTCCTCCTTACACTGTTTCTGAGGCGGAGATTGACGAGTTGGTCGATGCTGTTGTCAAGGGCATCCAGGAGGTGTTCCCGCAGTAGAAGGGCAGACTATAGTAGAAGCTTTACACGAGTATGCATAAGTTTACACGGTCCTCTACAAGACGTTTGTTTCTATCTACCGCCTAATCTCAGCTCGTCGAGGGCCAGCTCGTCCTCGGCCAGCATACTCCGCCCCATGGCCTTGAAGTCTGCCAGTTCTGCGGCTCGCTCCAGCGGACTCTTTGGCGACTTGAGCACCTTGCTTCTCCCCCTGTCCTTGCTCTTGCCCTTGCCCTCTGTGCCCGAGCTGGCACTGCCCGGACTCCTGGGACTCATGGGGCTCATGGGGCTCTTGGGCGTTGGTGTCCGCTTAGGCTGAGCATAACTGTATCGCAAGCCAGACTTGGGCTTTTTCCGCGGTCCCAGGGTCGAATCGCTCATTGCTGGAGAGGCTGGGGCGGACTTGGTCGCCTCGGCGTATGCCTCCTGCACGGCCGCGAGGACAGCTTCGAGTGTCCGATGCCGCAGTTTCTCCAGCTCGCCGCGTTCCAGTACGAGCGAAAGTTGCGTGCAGCGCTGATGTCAGCTAGCCTCCGAATAATGCACAGCTTACCTTTGCGATATGCTTCACGCTCTTCGCCTTCAGACTGTCGAGGGCACGGAGGGAGTCGTCGACAAGCGATCCCCGCTCCCGTTCGGGAATGAGGGCGAGCTGCGCGCCGAGCGCCAGCATGCCAATCTCCTGCACGCTCGCTGCTGTCAGCTTCTACCGGATAGCTTCGCCCATACTGCACTCACGCTCCAGATCCGGGAGACACCGCATCAGTGCGCGCACAACCGCCGGCGCATCACCGGGACACGGGAACTCGCACGCCACAGTCGCAAGCGCGACGACGAGGGTCTGTTCCGTCTCCTTCTGCAGACCCTGCGCTGCAGCTTGCACAACTGCGCGACAGAACTCGGCGCTCCCGACGCGCATGAGTCCGCCGAGGAGCCGCACGCCGTCGACCCAGATCCCTTCTAGGGCTTGGGATATCCGCGTCACCCCCGAGACGAGCGCCTTGGCACGTTCTTGATCTGGCAGACCCTCGGAGCGGATCTCGATCACCTCGGACGCGCGCGCCGCCGCGTCGGTCCGGCCCGCGACGTCGTTACCCCGACACTTTCCCAGATGTCGGTCCAGCGCTGCGTCGAGGAGCGATGCGTTCTCACGCGCTAGGAGGCGGAGTGTCTGATGTCAGCTCTTCGAGGGGTTTTGAGCTTACAGCTCTCCGGACCGTCGGGTCCAACGACTCCGTCCCGCTCATGATCGCCGACATGTGCTCGTCCCGCAGGCCAGGTTGCCACACGGCCGACGGCAGGAGGGATAGACAGCGTAGCACGAAGACATGTGTGTTGGCATCCGGGCCTTTGGGTTCCGCCTTGCTCGGCGACCGGGTCGACTTGCCCTTGGCTCGGGGAACGAGGAGGTTGCGCAAATGCGACAAGAGAGGATCAGCGTCTACGCTCCCGGAAAGTTCATACAGCGCCGCAGCGAGCGCAGACGCCTCGAGGAGGTGTGCTGGCGTCAGCTTGCGAAGACCAGTGGTTAGCTCACGTTGCGGGCCCCGCTGTGGGCTGTGAAGCTGCATACTCTGCGACCCCGAGCGCGGCGAGCTGAGCACGCTCCTCGATACCGACACCGACGGCGGCGGGGGCAGCGACGCGCCCTCGCCGACCTGCTCGAGCAGACCCTGCGCCTGCTCCCTAACGTGGTCCTTTAATTCGCCCGTCGTCGCCTTCACAATCGCCGTAACGGTCCTGAGGCCGGCCGAAGCAATGGGCCCGCCGTCCGCATGCCGCGCGGCCGCGATGAACACGGAGTCGTACGCTTTACGCCGCCGGCCGGCGTCTAGCTCGCGGGATCCGTGCTGATGTCAGCTGGCTGGATGGTGGGTTAGCTGGAGGGATAACGCACCTCGAGCGCTGCAGTGAACGCTCGCAGCAGTCCAGTCAGCACGCCCGGGTCCTGCTCGTGCCTGATGAGCTTGCCCAGCTGCCGGAGCGAGAGGGGGTACTCTTCCCCCGTCACTGCGAGCGCAGAGAGGGCCGCGAGGGTTCGTAGTCGTATACTCGGGCTGGGCGTTAGCTCTGAGAAACAGAATCAGAAGCTTACTGCTCATGCTCTAGGAGCACTCTTGACGTCAGCAGTGGCAACACGGCTGGCGCGAGTTCGGGGCTCGGCAGAGCTGTAATTGCAGACAGCGCGAGGAGAACGTGCGCCTCGTCATCCGAGGCAAGATCCTGCTGTCAGCTGCAGTTACCCCAACGAAGCTTACCTGTTATCAGCTGGAAAGTGAGGTCCTAGCGCACCTGCCGTCAGCTATGTCAAGGCCACACTAGCTCACCTGTCGTCAGCTCCAAAGCCTACGCAGCAGCTCACCTTTCGCACAGTATTCACGAGCAGCAGTCCCAGCTCGTGGCCCGGCGGCATCCGTTCGATCAGATATCGATATCCTGCGTGTCAGATGAAGTGATCGAGACAACACATCTCCTGCTGGGGGGGAAGGTGAGGAAGTTGAGGAAGGAGCAACTCACCCAATCTCCGTTCGCGCATCCCGCCCCCTCCCTCTCCGAGTTTGAGTGCTGGAAGAAGCGCAAAGTCCGTATCCAGTGTACACGTCGCTAGACTGCTGCAGTGCAGCAGGATAATGAGCGTATCGGCGACACGAGCGGGTGATGGCTGTACGTCAGCTAACGAGGCAAGCGTGCGCAGCTTCCTCCTTCCAGTCTTCCAGTTGAGCACAGTCTGTCGGGTCTCCTGGCCTTCCTGGCCATTCATTCTCCTCCAAAACCGAGTTCAATCTGGACAAAGGAGGAGGAATGACTCCCCGGCTCAGAATCACGCGAAGCACACCCCGGTCACCAGTGGCAAGAACTCACATTCCCCTCCAGCACGCCCTTGCACCGCGCTACTTCGTCCCGGATCGCCTCGTCCGCATCGTGCAACGTCCCCGCCGCGTCTAGCTTGCGGAGCAGCGCGTAGTGGGCCCGGCTCGATGCACCGCTCGTCAGGTAGTGCGGGAGCGCCATGGTGGATAGTAAGGTGTTGGGTGGCAAGATGGCCTCCACTTCTAGGAACAGCGGTATGTCGTCACGTCTCGAGGGTGGAACCCCTCGCGTCTCAGCCGCTCAGCCTCAGCCTTCAGTGGCAACGACTGGCAACCGAACAAACATCCGTCGATGAGTGCGACATCTCGATATAGGACCGCGCACCTCGCTTCGCTCGGTGCTCGGTGCCCGGCGCTCAGCTACGTCAGACCATGCATGCAGACTCAACTGCCAAAGTACGACACGACACGCTATTAAACTCTATGATCTTTCCGGGACTTTCGCTGCTCTATTGCGAACGTTCGAAGTTCGCCTAGCCCTTGAAGACGTAGGCGTCCTCGGTGGCCGGGACGGCCTTGTCGGACATCATCGCGGCGAGCTTCTGGAACTCGGGGTCCGAGTCGACGTGCTCGAAGCGGACGAGCTGCCAGGGGGTGCCGGCGGCCTGCTCGTCCTTGCGGCGCTGGCGCTGCTCGTTCTCAATGCGCGTCTTCTCCCGGCCGGCCGTCTCGTAGTCGCCGGTGCGGATGCCGTTCGCGACCTGCTGCCACAACCGCCTCGACTCCCACTCGCCCTGCTGGTCGATCGGCTTGACCGTGACCTCCTGCTTGGGCGCGCTCGCGTCGTAGAACACGGGGCCCTTAGCCGAGCCGACGTTCGAGACACCCGTCCACTGGCCCTCGTACGTCTGGATCTTCTTGCCGTTCTTCGACAGCTCAGCCTTGAACGAGTGCGCCTTGCCAGAGAAGTAGCCCTTGCCCTTGTACTCGATGTGCGAAGCGTAGCCGGTCGAGCCCTGGATGGCGCTCGTCTCGGTAAGCTCGATGTAGGGCGAGCCCCAGATGATGCCGTCGATACGCAGCTTGGGGAGCGTGATCAGGTACGACTCCTCGGCGTCACCGTTCTTGGGCTTGACTCGGAGAAGAGCGTGACCAGACTGCTTGACTGATCGTCAGTTCCGTTTGCGGTCACGAACTAACCGTGGATGGCGGTACCAGAGAACGAGGTCTTCTGGCCAGAGTGGCCCTGCAGCGTGACGCCAGCCTCCTTGTTCTGGATCCAGCTGGACGTCAGTTACAAATCTGGTCAGCGCAACTCACTAAGCGGTGATGGGCGGGTGGTGTGAGACCTGCTCGACGACCAGCTCCGTCTCGCCGCGCATGTTGACGTCGGGCCATGAGCCGTAGAACAGCTCGCCGAGAACGGGGTTGAGAGGCTTCTTCTCAGAGCCCATCTTCTCGTTACGGGTCTGACATCAGTTCAAGCTCTCCACAACGAAACTCACGGTGTACTGGCCCTTCAGGGTGGCAATGAACCACTTGAGCACACGCTCGGCGCGGTCCTCGGCGTCCTTGCCCTCCGAGATGGCAGCAAAGAGCTCAGGGTGCTCGCACCAGTAGGCCGGGAACTCGGTGAGCGAGGTGGGGGACAGGATGACTGCGTGCACAGACGGATCAGGTCGTACGAGTTGCAGAGTGCGTCGAGCGTTTCGAGGACGGTGAAGCGAGCAGCACAGGGGGATATTGGGGAAGACGGCGTCAGCAGGGCGCTCATCAACAAAGCTTTGATCTCATACTCACAGGGAGGAGCAGTCATCGACGACAGGTCGCCCGTCATGTGAGCGAGCTGCTTGATGAAGCTGGTCCATCCGGCCTTCTGCTCAGGAGGGACATCGGCGCCTGATGAGCCATTCGCATCGACGGAGGGTTTGCGGGCGACAGCATTCGGGTGGTCATGGTGGTGTGCATGATCATGTTGTTGCCGGTTGTGTTTTTGTTTCAGGAGACCCATGTTGAATTACCGGGTGGACATTTGGGTGTAGGTGGGAAGTTCGTTACGACGACAGATTAGATTGACCGAGTAAAAGCAGCGGTAGCATGCAATGAGGGGAGCGCGGTGTCAGCAACTGTGCACGGGGGGAAGCGAGAGGAGCCGCAATAGAGGAAGAGGGGTGAGAGATGCGTGTTGGATGTTTGGGGTGATGGGGAATGTCGTGGTGAGCTCACCTTCCTCCTTGGGGGTCGCGGTACCGGACATGGCGGTGTGTGTGGGGGCGTAGGTTGTGTCGGAAAAGATGAGAGGACAGATGAGACGGCCGTTCGTTCGGGATACGGGCGTGCGGCGGACGGTAGTCGGCTTGGCTGGCGGGGATGACGAGTGCTGGGGGGTGCGGTGATGTCAACTGCGCGCGCAGAGGGGGAGGGGAGGGAGGGAGCGGGGGTAGAGACTGATTGGGCGATCAGGGACCCCGGAGTTGCTTGGGGTGTGTGTGGTGGTTGAGGTACTGGGTTTGGGTTGGTTTGAATGGGAGGCTACACCGAGGCAAGTGGTGCAAGTGGTGCAAGCGATGGGAGTGGGAGAGTTGAGGAACAGAAAAGAGACGAGAGGCGACCTCAATGTTGTCGATGAGCGGCGTGCAGGGGGGAAGTGGGGTAGAGTGAGCCGATGGCCTGATGCTTGTTGACAGCCGTTCCACTGCACGCTGCCACCGTACACGACACCATGACACCAGGGTACGCGGCCCAAGACACTTTGGCCCAGGGACCACCCCGCCCTGCGAAAGCTATGCTGCCTTTGTTGTCGCGTGCATCTGCTTCCGTCGCTCTCACCGTACCTCCTGCTTTCCGTCCTTGAAGAGTGCCCCGAAACTTGCGCAGCCCTTTCTCTACTCAGTCTCTTAGTGCCTGTATAGAAACCATGTGCACGCCTTAGTCGCCGCCAGCTTTAGAGTAGAGCAGAGTTCGCCAAGGCTGCTGGACCAGAAGGACAGCTGTGGGGTGTGGAGGGCAGATAACCCCTACCCCTCGTTTGGTAGCGTGCTCCGGGTCTATGACGTCGATCCCCCTTTCCCCTTGCCGCCTGTGGCAGCTGCCCAACTCGGCAGTTACACTACATTAGTTCAGGTCACTCCGCATGCGCCATTTCATGTTCAGCTACAAGTACAGCTGCTAAAGTGGCGATCGTGCGTGTTGAGCGTCTGCACCGCGGTCCACGCAATGTCTGCGCCTCTGCGTCTGTCGTCACTGACACCCAAACGCAGCAGGTGTCAACGTGTTAGCTGCGACGACTGTTCTCGGTGATCGAGCGGTAAGGACCGCCGCACGCGCCGCACTGTCCCCTCACTCTGGCGGCCAGACCTAGATCCGCTCTATGCTCAGACCGCGTCTGTGCTGATACGCTGATATGCACTGTGCCTTGCCCGCGTTTCCGTTGCGAACGTGTTTGGCCATCGATTTGGCTTGGCAGTCGCTCGCGGCGGGATCGGCATGCCCGTCATGACAAACTTCAGTGGCAGCGGACAGTAGTCTCTTTGTGGCCACCCATGGCTGTCTCGGCGCCACTAGACATTGGCTATATCTCTAATGCATGTTGTTATAAGTGTTATGGGTAGGTTTTCGACAGACGGAGTGAAACGTCAATCTACGAAATGAACCGGGCTCGACGTTCAGCCGAGGAGGCCGTCCCGCTCCCTCCTCTGGCGCCTTCAGGCGATAACGCTGTCGACGAGCTTGACAGCATACATGCCCGCGAGCATGTTGGCGATGTAAGCGCCCCAGGCGGTGAAGCCGGGCTGGAGCTTGTCGAGGCTGACGCCGTTGGCTGCCGCGACGGCGATCTCGCCCAGCGTCGAGATGGCGGGACCGGGACAGACGCCGCAGAGGCCCCATCCGACGCCGAAGATGGCCGCACCGGCAATGAGGCGCGGGTTGATGTCCTTGCGCGTCGGGACGCGCCACTGCTCCCACCCAAACCTGGGCTTCGGGTGGCCGTTGCTCTCCTTCATCATGCCGAAGTACGAGAGCGCATTGGGGAGCACACCGCCCAGCATCACCATGCCGAGCGAGGGGTCGAAGGAGTCCAGCGGAGGCGGGAGGCGGAGGAAACCCAGCACCTTGAGGCTCGAGATCATGCCGGACATGACGAGGCCGACACCGAACGACAGGCCGGCCCAGAGATAAGTGGCCAGGCCGGCGGGGGATTCGGTGATACGCTCGCACTCGGCAGCATCGGGCGCGGGGACGGTGGGCTTGACGCAGCGCGGGACGAGGCGGTCAATCAACTTCTTGGCCGCGACGAAGCCGAGAACAGTGCCGAGGAGCGCGAGCGTGCCCTGTCCAGAGAAGGGGGCGAGCTGGTACGCGGGAGGAGGGACGTTGACGGGCGCAGGGAAGAACTTGGCCGTCAGGACGGCAGTCATGAAGAAGACGGCGGTCGCGACGATCGAACGCGGAGACAGGCGCGAGACACCACAGAGCATGTGGCCGCTGGACGTTAGCCGCAAGCGAATAAGAGCAGGTTGGTTGGGCGGTTGTGGCAGATGACTGCGAGGGCCATTGTGGAATGCTAGGCGTTGGGCTGAGGTCATAACCAGGCATTCCCAAGATCCTTCCTCGGACCGAGTGAGTGGAGCCGGCGGCGTCTCCTGCCCTTCACAAGTCCCGCCGCCGCCGTTCTCAGCCAGAACATTGGGTACTCACGAAGTACATCCCGAGCCCATCTTCGATCCGAATCCGATAAGGCCGCCGGCGAGGGCAAGGCGCGCAGGGGACATGGCAGTCCACGTCCACGCCGTCGGGTCGGGGACGTACGGCGCGATGCCGACGGTGTGCACGAGCGCGGGACCAGCGACAAGACCGGCAATAACGGCCCAGCGCCAGCGCGCTTTGTCTCCGAATGCGGCCTCGGAGACGATTCCAGAGATACCGAAGACGCGGCCCGTGTCCTCGAGCAGGCCCTGCGTCGAGAGGTGCAGGAGCAGCCCGCCCAGGAAGGTCTGCACGGGCGTGAACATTGCGGAGGGAGCCGGTGGCGAGCGGGTTGCGAAACGAGCTAGAGCGCTAGGGAGCCGCTAGGCTGAGAGGAGTACCGCGGGGGGAACGAAGGGGGAGCCGGTGTCGAGTTGCCAGCCGAGATAACGAGTGAAGTGGTTTTCGATGAGCCGGAGTCGAAGCGGTGCAGGATTGTCGAAATCCGGGTCAGTATGGTGATGAGGGGGGAGCAAGGATGCATCATCTGGGACTTTATATTATGGCATCCCCCGCCAGTGGAGCTTTCGAGAGGCTGAAGCTGGCGCTGGCGGAGTGTCTGGATTCATTCGCCGTGTTCAATCACCGTCCCACCGTCCACCCGCAGCGACCGAAGGTGTTCAAACGCCGGACCCCGTCCCACCCCCCTGCGTCGATCAACTCGCGTGGCCGAATATTTGGCTTCGTTCCGAATCACGCCCTTACCATGAGTAAGCTTGCAATATCGACCTTCGTACGCTTTAAGCTTGGCATGCTCTTGTTCCAACTCCCGTCCTACAGATTGCTGGATTTCAAGGATCCGCGCGCTGAACATGAGTACCCCCTAGGTGGCGCCTGAGCGGAAAAATGCTATGACGTATCGTCATTGGCTTGCTTGGCTGGGGCCCGTGCTGTCGCTCGCTGGCTGTGGAGGCATCCATCCCGAAGTCTTGATCTGAGCGCAACGTTTGCGGCTTTCTCTGCCGCCGGCTCGTGTCAGCCGAGATTGAGTCTCCTGCGACGGTGCGGCGAAACTGTCGTGCACTCGTCGCCGCAGAGTGGTGTGTCAGCACGCCGCGCCCCTTCCACAATGCCACCGCCTTGCCCGCCGCCGACGAGGTCTATCGTAATAGCCTTCGGAATGCGGACTCTAGACACGACTCTGTTCCGAGTCGCTAATTCTTCCTGTGCTTCTCGCGCATCATTGACGTTCACGCCAGTGTGGAGGTACATTGCGCAACACGCTCTGAACGGAACAAGGCCACTCCGCACCACGTGCCGTCACCGCGCACGGAGACGACGGGTCCGGTACAGTTGTCGGATTCGCCCGTCATGTCCGCATGTCCGTCATCGGCTACCAGCGGCTACCAAGGCGGTAATGAACAGTTAGCCCACCTGCGCTATCAATAGACGCTGGACTTCTTGGGTGCATCGCTTCCGCATTCGCTCTACCACTCACTTGCTCATTGCTCACGAAATCAAGATGGGCTGCTTTGGTGCGCTGTTCAAGAAGAACTCGGAGTTCGCGCCTGCATACGCTCCCCCTACTGCCGAGGTCAAGAGGGATGTGTGCGAGCCGAAGCAAGTGCCCGCCAGCGTTCCCAAGGAGGTCGAGCACTTCGAGCCATGCGGCTGCAGCGACCTCTCTTCCGCCTTTGCGCGGATGTCGGCTGGCGACGCTGACCTTCCGGCGTACGAGGAGTTCAGCGAGTTCAAGGATGACGCGGTGAGTCCACTCGGTCGCACGCCCACCATTCCTGTGAGCTGAAGACTAACGGCCAGGTCCGCGAGACGATCCGCAAGACAATTGACAGCTACGCCTCGAAACTCACTGAGATCTCGCTCTACATCTCGGACCATCCCGAGGAATCCTACGAGGAGCACAAGGCGTGCGCGAAGCTGACCGCTTTCCTGAAGGACGAGGGCTTCGATGTCGAGACGCCGTACAAGAAGCTCGACACCGCCTTCCGCGCTTCCTACTCCCACGGCAGCGGCCGCACCTTCGCCTTCTGCTCCGAATACGATGCGCTCCCCGGTGTCGGCCATGCTTGTGGCCACAACCTGATCGCCGTGTCTGGTGTCGCCGCTCTCCTCGGCTTGCGCGCCGCGATGAAGAAGCACGACATCAAGGGCACGGTCGAGCTGCTGGGCACGCCGGCCGAGGAAGGCGGAGTGGGCAAGGGCGTCCTCATTGAGCGGGGCGCGTTCAAGTTCATCGACGCGAGTATGATGATCCACCCCACCGGCCTCATGGGCGGGCGGTACGGTGTCGGCGGCATTGTGCCGACGCTGGCGATCTGTGGCCTGAACGTCGACTTCATCGGCCGCGCCGCGCATGCAGGCATGGCGCCATGGGACGGCATCAACGCGCTCGACGCAGCGCACATCGCGTACGCCTCTGTCTCTGCTCTCAGGCAGCAGCTGCACCCCGACGTGCGCGTGCACGGTATCATCACGAAGGGCGGCGACCGGCCCAACATCGTCCCCGCACACACGCGGATGGAGTACTATGTCCGCGCCCCCGCCGCTGCGTCGGTCAAAGACCTGACGGCGAAGCTGACGACCCTCTTCGAGGCGGCAGGCAAGGCGACGGGATGCAAGGTGCAGACCGAGGTCACGCCGATGATGTACGAGCTGCGCAACAATGGACCCCTCTCGAACCACTACGCCTCTGTCATGAAGGATGCGGGACATCCCGTCCTCGTCGCGCTCGACGACTTCACGGGCGCAGGAGCGAGTACCGACTTTGGAAACGTCACGTACACTGTCCCCGCGGCGCATCCCCACTTCTCCATCCCGGCCACGGAGGGCAAGGCGAACCACACGCCTGAGTTCACGGAACGCTGCAGGAGCCCCAAAGCGCATGAACTCACGTACGAGTTTGCAGGCGGGATGGCCGTCACGGCGGCGCGCTTCCTGACCGACGACGAGTTTGCAAAGGAGGCCAAGAAGTGCTGGGAGAAGGACATGGAGAGGGTGGGCAAGCCTTGAGCTTTCGTCTGTAGCGATATATCAGTAGTATCAAGAAGGAACGGTTGCGGAAGTGTGGAAATGCATCATGCTAGGTAGTTCTAGGGACCGGGATATTTTAGATTGTGGAAGGTTGCGCACAGCCGATTAGTGGTCGACACCAACGGCGTCCGTGACAATCTTCATGGCGGGAACAGCCTGCGTGGCGGGGTCGTAGGCCTTGTTCTTGCGCAGCTCGAACTTGACGCGCTGAGCTGCGCCGTGGGGACCGGCAACGGTCTCGGGGATACGACCGTTGAAGAGCGAGTAGTCGCCGAGGCGGGCGAGGAGCGTCGTCTGCTCAACTGGGCTGTCAGCTTGGAACATGCTTCGTAAACTGGTCGTGGTCAGGCCGTTTAGGACGCTGTCGACAGAATCTCGGGGGACTTGAGGGCCGCACACCCGACCACGAGTTTTACTCACCCTTCCACCTCTTGTCTCCCGTCAGCTGCATCATGCCCTCAATCTCCTTCTCGGTGTAGCCCGTAGGGACGGAGCGGGAGATGGAGCGCGGGCCAAAGAGGTCGTAGGGAGATCCAGCCTCCGGCACCGTGACGAGCGGGACGGTCGCGGAGCCCTGCATCGTGATGCGCATGTTGCGGAACTCCTCCAAGAGCTGCTCCTTCGACTTGTACTCTCCCTTACCGCGTCCGCCACGACCGCCACGAGCACCACCACGGCCCCCACGGCCACCGGCGCCGCCACGGCCGCGAGCAGCGAAGCCACCACGACCGCCAGCAGGACCGCTGCGCTGGAAGTCGCGCGGCGGCCGGTCAC